TTGCGTCAGACGTGACTTCGGGTTTTTGATCATTTCTGGTTGTCTTTAAAACAAGAAAAAACTGATCCCGGATCCTAATTCTTATGGGAATTTTCTGATGGCGTTACAAGAGAAAAACGTTTTGACCGGTTTTCTGGCGTAAAACCCTCAATTGGTGATTAACGAACTTTCTTTCTCTTTTGCTTTTTTTCTTTTAACAGTTTCCTTGCAACTAATACATATAAAATAAGCATCAAAAAGAAGACTTATGGAACAATTACTTCAACAGTGAGCGAATATATTAGTGGATATTTCGTATTCTCGAAATCTTCATCCTTTCACACACCGTGACATTTATTAAAACACCTTTATATACTTTTGGATGCGAATGTGTTCCCCATAATATTGCCACTGGAAAAAAGCCAGTATAACTGCAACGGCAAATATAGCTGCGCACACGTATACAGCGGTTCTGGGCTTGATTTGCCAACCCAAAGGCTTGCATATCTTCCTGTAACGATCGAATGCGATAGTGAGTAGACACATTGCTTCGGCAGATACCGTGAAAACATTAAAAAATGATTTTATCTTACACAGTTCACGCTGAGGATACACATACCAATATAACTGCGTCACAATCTCTCCTGGAATCGTGGTCAAACTACTTGTGAGGTCAATTATCGCTAAACACATCACGAAATACCGGAAGTTACACACGTGATAGTGGAATGAAAACACATAGAGTACCAGTAAATTTCCGAAAAATCCGAGAACTGCTTCAAAGCCAACAAACACAGTGACTGGTAATACTGCCTTTTGAAATTCTTCATTCAGCTGTTCTGCCAGCGACATATTTGTTTTTTCTGAGATAGTGCTTGCTTGTACATCATTAGCGTACGTTCCATTATCAAACATTGTAGAGTTTGAATTTTTGAAATTGACTTCATCCATTTCGAATTAACAATTGATATTAAATATAACAATTTATATTTACTGTTAAATATAACAATTTATAATTATGTTTTAAGTGTTTCAATGCATCTAGATGTAAAGAATGGACTATTTTTTTAAAAGAACAATTGACACTTTAAGTACTATATACATGTACTTTCACTTCTTCACATGTACATTCACACGAACAAAGAAGTAGAAACTGTGGAGCATCAAGGTTTAATTATGTCATGTTGACGTTTTTGTTATGCCTCGTTCAACTGGTAACATCGATTCATTATGAACAGTGGACGTACTCAAACATATCGCAGCTAACAAAACTTTACATATTATGTTACTTCTAATATATTTCGAGATATTTTATTCTGATCACTGTCTTTAAAGGTGCCAATTTGAATGCAAAAACGGTATTGCACGGCTGTGCATAAATGCACTTTATTTGAGTAACAAAACAGCGCTAATGTTACGGTTTACAAAAGGTTTTTTTTTGGTGTTTTTTTTTTGTTTTAAAAATTTTTTCAATAAATTTATTGAACTTTAGTAAATTTAATTCCATAATAAAATATATATAAAACTGCAAAAATTCTCTTCTTATTCTTATTTAAATAAAATTATATTTACTTCCCTAATTTTCGTCTTTAAACGAATGCATTATGTAATTTTTAATAGTATGACGAGTGAACGAGCCTTGATTGATTTTGTTTTTGTCGCCTCTATCTGTTTTAGATAAGGAAGTTTGTGTTAGTTTGTTTAAAGAACTACTTGACTGTAACCGTACCACTCGGCTCACTGATACGCGAGCATCAATAAAGTAGTCCTGCAGATTACCTGATAAACACTGATACCTTTCATTTCTAATCTTCTAATGCCCTATGCGAAATTTATTCTCATCAAAAATAATTTTATAAAAGTGAAAGTCTTTCTCATTGATCTGTAAATTATAGTTTTTTTATTAGTAAACATTAATTTCTTAATTAAAAAGTTGTAGTATGTTTGATTAAATGGGTTGGGAAAAATTTTTTTTGTTTTAAAAGATGCCCAAACTTTTAAAAAATTAATATTGTGGTGATTAAATACGCTTTGTGGTTGTTGGCGCAGCGACAAAACGCAAAACGCCAAAAGGCGCGTTGTCGGATTCGTCTTGCGTCCGTCTTAGCGAAAGCACGCCAACGGGCGTTGCCGTGCGGGGCGTTGTCGCGATGTCGCTTGGCTTGTAAGCCAATCCTTCGATTTGAACCGAGCGACAATGTGACATCGCGACAACACGCTGCACGACAACGCGCCGTTTGGCGTGCATCGTTAGCGACAGGACGACAAGACGAAAGTCCGACAAAGCACCGTTTGGCGCTTTGTCGTGTTGTCGCTAGCGCCAACTAGACGCACAAAAGCGTACCAAATCAGCCACCATAATTAACCATCGTTTATACAATGACCTGCTGGTTGAAAAAAAAAAGTTCCTTATCCAAACTCTACTAGATTTAATACACTTTGGGTTTGTATTCTTTTACACTGTGCTTTGTACATTGTAGTATCTCGGTTGCATCTTCTCGGCCATTTCCGTCAAACTTTGGATATGATCTCTGCATATATTTTGATATTTTAATAGTTTTCTGTTGTAAATGTGACACATGTTGATTTAATTAAAGTAATATTATGCCAAGCGTTAATACTGAGCGAACAGGTAAAAGTCAAAATAAGTTTACATTTTGCCAAAATTCCTTTCAATTTTATCATATACATTGTTCTTTGCATGAAAGATAAATAAGTAACATAGCTCAAGCAAATTTCTGTAAATATCCATCGAAATCAGTATATAATCAAAGCACTGAAAGTACTGTATGCGGCACGCCGGCATATCAAAATTGTTGGTTTAATGATAGCTGTTCAATGAAATTATAAATATTTAGGAAGTTTGTTTTTAGAACATCGTTCTTAAATTTAAGAACGATGTTCTAAAACAAACTTCCTAAATATTTATAATTACAATATATACGGTTGAATGGGCATAATATTACTTTAATTAGTTCAAAATGAGGTGAAGATCAACATGTATATATACATGTAATATGAAAGCGTCCTGTTTGTCTGGCATTACTAACTAGGGGTAAGGATGATATACATAATTAACAAAATGTTCCAAATTTTAAGTTTTATAAAGATAAAAAATATATATTATGAAAGATATATATTATGAAAGATAAAAAAATATATTATGCAAAGTTAAAAATGAAATGAACTGATGAACATGCATGAAATTTGACTGATGTCATCAAATAGAACACAGAATGACCTTAAAGAGTGGCTAACAAAACAAATACATAAAACAAGACAGTACAGAAATACATAGATAAATATATACAAATCCAAAGTCCTTATTGGACTTATACCACAAACTCTTGATGTTAACATTAACCTTAATCTCAAAGTATTATTTATTTCCATAAATGAATGACAAAGTTTAGAAATATAAGCAAAATTCAGTTATTTGATTTTGACGATTAAGGTCATTTACCAGTCAAGGTCGTATCTAAATTACTCAACATGTCCGTCTGGTCACAAGTGTTGTTTGGTCGAGGTCAGTTCAGTCTTTTTAAAAGACTTGTCCGGTTTTGTTTTGTCCAAGTATGGAGATTATTCATTAATTAATTATAATGTTACAGCCAGTTAGAAGATTTAATAGTAATAGACCTTCAATGTAATGGTCATAAAATAGTATTCGTGAAGGTCTGATTGTAAAGGTTTTGTGTCTAAATATACAGTTAATCCATTCATAAATAAAAAAAAGTAATAGCCAATTATAGGAGAAAAAAACGACAAAAAAAATCCAAGAGTATCTCATTAATTTGTCATTTACGGTCAATGTCATTTAAAGGTCAAGGTCACATTAAAATTATTGAATATATTATGTCATGTTATGTTATGTTATTATATAATATATTATGTTTGGTCGCAAGTCTTTTTTGTGCAAGTATAAATGAAATCCGTAAAGACATAACAAAGTTATGACAATAAAGCAAAAAGATCGAGATTGTAAGTTGTGCAACATACATTTGACACTTAAATTAACGTGTACATGTTAAAAATGTGTGATACATGATCCGATATTACATACATTCATACAGCAGATAACAAAATATTATTACTCATCATATAAAAATTAATGGTCGTATTTAATCCATGAGAACTTTAGCAATATTTTTTTCAAGCAATTATTCATAAAAATAACTGAATGATATATTTCGATTGTATCTATAAATAAAATAAAATGGAATGTGCTAATTTTAGACTTGTTTACTTTAAAGCAAATTAAACCCACTTGTGCTCAAAACTTATCTTTTTACTTACTGACCAGATAGTTAATTACATAGTCCTAAATTCAATATTATATGTCCGATGGTGTTAGACAGTGGTACCATTTAACTCTTTACCTCATATATAGGCGAAACAACACACTTTCGACCCCCCCCCCCCTCTCTTTTAGGCCTCAAATAGTGAAAAAAGTCCTGTTTGGGCCCCAAACACATGTTTCCGTTTGAGAAATGTTGTTAAAAAAGTGAGCACTTTTTCGGCGCCGCCCCCATCCAAAATGTACATCAGGGGGTTGCCAGAAAGGGGATGTGCCCCCTTCTGTTTGGGGGGGTTCAAGGGGCGGCAGTCCCCTTCATCGCCAAGAAAATTTTGGACTTGTGAGAGGCTAAAAATGACAAGCCTTTGACTCTATCTCAATCCATTGAGAAGTTGCAGCACTTTGAAATCAATTTTGATGGAAAAAATCAACGCAAAATAGTGATTTTTGACAATTTTGAGATTTTCCCTCGTTACCATGGTAACAGAAAACTTAAGACTGAGCATGTTGTTAAAAAGTCAATGGTCCAGTCAACATTTATGCCAAGTTTGATTAGTATTGAAGCAGTTTTTATAGTTTTATAGCAATTTGAACTTGTAACGGGTGACTTTTCAATGAAAACAGCCATTTTTCACGAAATGCTCATGAAGTAATTGGTTAAATACATGTATATAAGTCCCGTATTGGGAAAAGTTACTAGAAGCGAGTACGTAATTATTTTAGGTGAGTCAGTAACCAAATGTTGCTGAAATTGTACTTTTGAGGTGTTTCACTACTTGTTTGAAATGTGGGTCCAGAACGCCATAAATGATTGGATTGATCACGTGGTTGATAAAGTAAAGGCGGAAGAAAAAGAAATAGACAGCTTTGCCGCTGTCGCTGAGCGTGTCAAGTATAGATCTCGCTATAAACGAGAGTAGCGTTAGATATAATATTGTTGTTATTATAAAAACAACAGTTAAAATAAACATGATCAATGTTTTTCTGCGAACACGTGACAGCATGTGGTATGTATTATGCACAGCGTCTCTATTTTGTTGGGTAGAGTTGTCTTCCTTGTCGGCGATTTCTGTTCGTTTTATCAAAGTTAATATATTACTGTGTCTCATGCGATTGTCATGGTCATCATCAACTGGTGTCATTGAAACTTTACTTTCCCTGCACTTTGAATTCGCACCTTTCGTAACATTTTCGTGCTCTATATTACCTGACGTAGAAGCTTCTCTTGGAGGAGTGTCCGTTTCACTAACTTCCTGTGTTGAAGTTATCTCGATCGGATTGCTTGAATTTGGAGGCGAATAATGTCTTCCCGGCGCGTTTGCACGAAACCGTTTGTTTTTCAAAAGTGCTCTAACCACAAATACATACAATACAAACATTATAAATAAACATATTGATATGATAACCTCTATAGCTACAGAATATTGTAGAGGGTGGTTAGTTTCTAGCCATTTCTCATCTTTTTCACATACAGTTACTAATATTGTTTGGTTTTTATACATCATTTCCTTATCGTGCGTTCCCCAAAGGATGTACACAGGGATAGCTAATATGAATGCAATTATGTAAATCAATCCACAAATAATAATAGCATGCTTTGGTTTCATTTGATGACCAAGAGGTCGACAAACTTTCAGATATCTGTCCACGCCAATTGTAAGTAGGCACAGAGCTTCAGCCGACACGGTGAAGACATTAAAGAAGGACTTGATCTTACACAATTCCGGTACTGGATACACGTACCAATAAAGCTGTGTCACCATCTCTCCAGGCATCGTAGTCAAACTGCTTGTAAGATCGGTAATGGCTAAACACAAAACAAAGTAACGGAAGTTACAGACATGGTATCGGAACAGGAACACGTAGATCACAAATATATTTCCAAAGAAAGCTGCGATCACCTCTATCCCAACAAAAATAGTTACAGGAAGTACAGCTCGAGTCATTTCATCATTTAAATCCTCTGCAAGTTCCATATTGTAATCACTAGTATTCACCTGTTTGAAATACCCCATTGTTACTGTATAATTATGTAATATTATCCGTGGCTGATCATGTTATTTTATGTAATAATTTCATTAACGTTTTGACAAATAGTTCGAAAGATATGAAAAGTTACATTCAAAGCACTTTTGAAATGGATTATTGATATATTTGTTTGCTCAAATAAATGCATTTATTCATAAAATTTTCACTCTAGATAGATACCCGGTGTTTACTTCCTGTTTAAAACTAGATAACTATGTCTGAAATGTTTGATTTTTGATAAGTTTGTTATTGTTAAAAGTAATTCTATATCTTGAGGTTTCGTGTATGAATGTAGATAACTGATGCAAACTGTACAAATATAAATGTATTTTCAATATGAAGGAAGTTAAGATAGTTGACTTGCTTTTTTATGATTTTTATGTTTTCTCACAAGAGGGAAGTGCAACTGAATATTTATTTTCTCCACCAATATTAATAACGTATATCAATAAATAACCCATTAGCAAAAGTTTAAGTTTTCACGCATGAATCTCCAAAATCTTAATAGTACATATACGAGTGTTATTTTAGTTGGTGGCGGTACGGGCGAAAAGACTACATGTATGTATTAAAACTTGTAATCTCTTTTCATTAACTATGAATAATGCCGATTAAATAAATTTCGACTTTATGTTGCGTTTTAGTGGCTTTCCAATGAAGACATCAGTTGTACCTTCGTGTATAATGTCAGGCATATAAAAAAAGGTAAAGGTCTTGTTTATTATAGTGTCACCCCTACTGAAAGGGCCAGCCATTTTGACTTATGAGACACATTTTGGTTGCATACCATGTACCTCCCAATTCCTACCACTATGCCAGGCGCCAGGCGGATTGAAATCGGTAACCATTCATTTTAACTACCTCGCGGCTCACGAAGCGGCCATTTCGGAACGAGTCCCACGAGAAACATTCATCCTTCAATTAACGCTCCCCGTGGGGCTCGAACCTTCGACCTCCCGATCCGAAGGCGGACACCTTAACCACTAGGCCAACGGTACCGGTTACATATAAGTAAAAACGCCGACCTGTCGTAAGCTATTTTGGCTAGCTTCCTCACATTCCAATGACGGGATTCAAACTCCCATAGATAAGGGACAAAAGGGCCAATGTCAACGATCATAGAACATTCGGTCATGGGTGCCCCTTCATTTGAACATGTCAAACGTTAAACTGATTTGCTTTTTCTCCTGTATCTGAAACCTTCCTAGTATCATTTCCTTTTGGTTAAACAGCTCAGTCTAGACCAGAACTTCAGAGGCAGAACCCAGTTTTGTTGATCTATATTACACGTTTTTATTAACATTTTACACTTTGAAATAGATTATTTAACTGCTTGTTGAATTGAGTCACGGTTCACTGGAACGTTATTCTTCCGTGTTGAATATTAAAGAAGGTACACGCGTTAAGCATTATAATACATTAAATTAAAGGAGATATAAATTAATAATGTTTGTTTTCAATATGATCGTACCATGACTTATGAATCATGTATTACGTGTTTTGTATTTATGACTTTGTACAAATGTGTATATGTTAATAAATTATATCTATCTATATATAATTTAGAAAACGGTTTTAACATAAATAGGTCTTGAAAACTCTTGATGATTTCTACTTCAAACTTGTACTTATTTACATTATTATATTGAAACTGGTACTGAATGATAAAATACATTGTGCTCATTTGTTGACCATTTATTATTTTGCTATTGTAACTTAGTTATAATAAAAAATAACTTGCAATTTACTAATGAAATCAACAGTATTGAAATGTTACAGTGATTTTATTTATCTATGTAGAGGTAGTGTTTTTACATTCAAATTATAAGTAAAAGTTTTAAATGTTCAAAGTAGAAATAGAATAACAATCACTATAGAAGTTAACAGCGTGATACCAACCAACTCCTTTGACAGACTACCTGAGAGACCACACTACTTACGGTTTTTACCTCACGGCCTAGCATGGGTTCACTATTTCAGTCAGAAAACTAGAAAGAAAATATGGCTAACCAAACACGGTAGAAAAATCCGGAAACAAAGCGATCCCTCGGAAGCATTAATCACAACAAAATTACATGAAAATTGCAGACTCGGTTTGATTGAGTCTGTACATGAGGGATAATGAATAAGTGCAACATCCCTCACGCCCCCTAGCACCGGCTTGAGGGGTACTCAATTCTCAACACTTAATAGTGCTGGCATCAATGATCCCGAAGGACCAGAAAAATATAACAACACTGAAGTGAAGTACGGGCAACTTTTTACAGCTGCCACACAGCACTTGACACCTGCTGTTGTGAAGTATAAAAATCTGGAAACAAAGTGATCCCTCGGAAGCATTAATCACAACAAAATTACATGAAAATTGCAGACTCGGTTTGATTGAGTCTGTACATGAGGGATAATGAATAAGTGCAACATCCCTCACGCCCCCTAGCACCGGCTTGAGCGGTACTCAATTCTCAACACTTAATAGTGCTAACATCAATGATCCCTAAGGACCAGAAAAATATAACAACACTGAAGTGAAGTACGGGGCAACTTTTTACAGCACTTGACACCTGCTGTTGTGAAGTATAAAAATCCGGAAACAAAGCGATCCCTCGGAAGCATTAATCACAACAAAATTACATGAAAATTGCAGACTCAGTTTGATTGAGGATGTACATAGACTTGACATTTCAGGAGACTTATAGTTGCCGAAAGGACCATGAGCACGAAGAAGGTCTTTTATTGCATATACTTCTCATGTGATGGTAAAGCTGTACAAATTCCGGCGCCGAAAAGGCAAAATTGCTATAGGCCGATATACCTATATAGATGTTACACTAACAATTAAGCTCAAGAAACGCCCTTTCTGAAGTAGTTTTTTTGAAATTGGAGAAGGTTACTGCCTTCCTACACCCAAAATACTCTCTAGATCTAGCCCGATGCGACTTTTTCCTTTCCCTAAAACTTAAAAGTACTTATCTAATCGCCGATACAAGTCCCGAAGAAGCTTTGGCTTAGTCATCAGTCAGTGCTTCAGAGGTTTTCCTAAATCATAGTATCGTGGTGTATTTCATGACTGGGTTCAGGGAAGAATATTTTTAAGGAGAAGAAAAAACTTGTACTAAAGCCCTAAGAAGGACCAATGACAAAGCATCAGTGGATATACAAAAAAGCAGAAACATGGCAATATGTGACAAAAAGTCGAGATGACCTGTGCATTCACGCGAAATAATTCTTTAGTTAAAATGACGTAATGTTCATTTAACTTTTTTGTGTCGAATTCTTTTGAGATGTCGCACAATACATATTACATATCAAACAACCTTCATATTTTATTATATTATATTTTTTAATGTGGTCTATCTTAATTTATTCATTTGTTTTTGTTTTTGATATTTCGACACATGATGATGCTCCTTGAAACGAAACGATATAAGACGTGTTATATCTTTTCAAAACACGTTTATGAATATTTTTATACAGTTTTGTTTGAATATAGATAATTTCTTCGGGGATTTAATTCAGGCTTCAAAAACATTTTTGTCATCAACATCTTTTTTCACATGTGATAACATTTATAACACTAGCTGATGTATTTCCAGAATTATCTCTTTAATTTATGCACTTTGAATTTGTTTGAAAATATTTCATCTTTGTTATTATACATTAAATTTAATGATATCTACTCTAGACTTAAGATAATAGTCCTTTGTCTTTATTCACATCATGCATGACCGACTACAATTAGGTCCATAACTCTAGCATCTTATTTCAATAGTTATTTCCTCTTTACTTTATTGACTTAAATATACTTTTTCTCTTATCAATTTTTGTTAGTGAAGGGGTTGTTTTCAGATTTCAAATCGCTGTCTTTTCAATAAGAACATAGAAATGTCTGTTTAACTGTTATTGGCCGCATGCATATTATGTGGTGCAAAAATATTGAAGAAAAAAATGAGTGGTGCTTTCTTGATACTGAAACAGAAATATACAGTTGAGTTCACACTAAAGGTCACACAAAGTGCACTTGGTGTGCATTTTGAAGTTCACTTCAAGTGCACTAAACCATAATGCATTGGACAGTGTTTAATTTCAACAAATATCTTTATGACTTAAAAAACATAGAAACATCAAGAAAAAGAAGTAATATTTCAGATTTTGGTACTGTAACTAGTGTTACATAATTTCTTTTGATATTATAATATTATTTGTGTAGGGTTTTCAATACGAGTGATAAACAAAATTTCTTTACCTATCCATCATAATAATTAAGATCAATAATTCTTTTAAATTATTAAAATAATGTGATTATATTCATCATAATAAGTATGCTTCAAATTTCATTCAGAAATCTTTATTTTTTAAGTAAATAGAATCATAAGTATGGGATATCTATTCGTTGAACTAACACGGTATTAGGTACGGTATTGACGGATTTTTTTTGTCGCGCACCGGGCAAGCTTGCATAGCAACCTAAATGTAAAATTGGATCAAAATTTATGTTAAAATGAGTAAAACAAGTAGAGTTACAAGAGAAGCAAGTGTTCTTGATGGGCATTCACCTGGTAGAATATTTTGTTGACTTTCATAAAGAATCAAATGATAATCATATTTTGTGTATTAATTCATTTTCGGATAGTTATATTTCGGACAAGATATTATAAATATTTTTATAATATATGTTTAAAAGTATGATTTTTTGCTAGACATTTAAATATGAGATAGATATAGATATGCCAATTATGTGTTCAGCAATTTAAAACGACTTTGACCAGCTATGCTGTCAGAAACATCATAATATCATGAATAACTCTTGATCCTGGCAAGAAGACATTACATGTACTGTAACTCTGTATTATCGGCGCAACTCTATTACCGGCATACTCTCTGTATTTTATCATGTGCCGTCATGCATACTGTGATGTTAAAAATCTTTGACCTCTTTCAATAAGAAATGTAATGATTAGTATAATTTGTTTTGCTTTTCTCAACATATCATTGTAGTCTCAACTATTAAATTCATTGATAAAATTCAATGCAGACATATAGAAAAAGTTAAATATGATGATAATACAGAGTTCCCTGCTACATTATGTCGATAATCTGATAATTCTGTGAAGAATTATAACAAAATTATGCCCCTTTTGACTTAAAGAACTTAGGTAAAGTTTTTTATGCTTTAAGGTTACTAAACTTGTTTTTTGTCACACCAGTTTTTTACTATTTTGTTTGAAGTTATACACTCATACTTGTAAGTCACAACCTGCATTCCTAAATCATGGCAAGAGGACATACATGTAATGTCATATATTTTGACAAAATGATTCCTCTGTCCTAAATTTGACAGTGGAATACAGGTCCTTATTCCACTGTCACTAAATAAAGTAGATCTTTAAAGGGGCGATACTAAACTGCTGACGAATTAGCTGACGATATAGAATGTATAGGAAACTGCTGACAGGTGAGTTAAACAAAGAAGGATTATCGAAAACTGCTGACCAGTTAGATAAAGAAGGGAAAACATGAAGGTGTCAAATTGCCGTTGGTGATATTATAGGCGAGGTCGAGAAATACTTAATAAGATGTTTTACAAAATGACAATATTACAAATGATTAATATTAATTATAAAAATTTCAATTGATAAATTTCTCAATTTCTTTTGATATAATATTTTATTTTAGTACCTTAATGAATTTTCTTCTATGTGTTACATATTGGTTAAAATTTTAAAAATGTAGTCAAAATATGATGTACGAAAAATCATAATTTGTTTCAAGTATGTATAAAGCTATGCATCATAGGTTGAAATATATACATGTACATATATGTAATGTATATTTTAACAACATATAATTATTATGTCGTATCACGGATTTATATATATAAATCCGTGGTCGTATTTAGTACAAATATGAAATAAAGTGATTTCTGTCTGTCTTATTTGTTGTTCGTATAATTGTACAAGTAATATTGAACAAAAATTAATAATGACCTAATTGTTAATGTAAATTGTTAATTAGCTTTTATTATTTTATAAACACCATTTTTCTACAGATATCCATTAAACTGATAATTTATCGAGACCGGTATGCCCCAAGGTCATATTAAAAGCAATTTCACACGTGACGTGTCATTCTTGATTTATCTGTGACAAAATACAATAAACAGTCCAAAATATGCTATTAAAATGCTGACCATATTGTAGAATCTGCTGTACAGTTAGATATATAGAGAAAAATACATTTTGCCATGAAATTGTTACTTATTTTATAAAATATGCAAAATTAATATATTTTATAAAATTATGTCGACATTTAATTTAGTAAAAACACCGCTGACCAATTAAATATTAATTAAAATTGATTTAAGCCGTAAAACTCTTCTTCTTCTATATGGTCAGCAAATTTAACGCCCTTTACATCCAGGCGAGAAAATGCTGACCAGTTAAACATATAGTAGAATCTGCTGACCAGTTAGATATATAGGGAAAATGCTGACCAGTTAGATATATAGAGAAAAATATATTTTGTTGTGAAATTGTTACTCGTTTTATAATGTAATCAAATTTAATATATTTTATAAAATCATGTCGACCTTTAATTAAGTAAAAACACTGCTGACCAATTAAATATTAATTCAAATTGATTTAAGCCGTAAAACTCTTCTTATTCTATATGGTCAGCAAATTTAACGCTCTTTACATTCAGGCGAGAAAATGCTGACCAGTTAAACATATAGTAGAATCTGCTGACCAGTTAGATATATAGGGAAACTGCTGACCAGTTAGATATATAGAGAAAAATATATTTTGCCGTGAAATTGTTACTCGTTTTATAATGTAATCAAATTTAATATATTTTATAAAATCATGTCGACATTTAATTAAGTAAAAACACTGCTGACCAATTTAATATTAATTCAAATTGATTTAAGCCGTAAAACTCTTCTTATTCTATATGGTCAGCAAATTTAACGCTCTTTACATTCAGGCGAGAAAATGCTGACCAGTTAAACATATAGTAGAATCTGCTGACCAGTTAGATATATAGGGAAACTGCTGACCAGTTAGATATATAGAGAAAAATATATTTTGCCGTGAAATTGTTACTCGTTTTATAATGTAATCAAATTTAATATATTTTATAAAATCATGTCGACATTTAATTAAGTAAAAACACTGCTGACCAATTAAATATTAGTTAAAACCGTAAAACTCTTCTTATTCTATATGGTCAGCAAATTTAACGCTCTTTACATTCAGGCGAGAAAATGCTGACCAGTTAAACATATAGTAGAATCTGCTGACCAGTTAGATATATAGGGAAAATGCTGACCAGTTAGATATATAGAGAAAAATATATTTTGCCGTGAAATTGTTACTCGTTTTATAATGTAATCAAATTTAATATATTTTATAAAATCATGTCGACATTTAATTAAGTAAAAACACTGCTGACCAATTAAATATTAATTCAAATTGATTTAAGCCGTAAAACTCTTCTTATTCTATATGGTCAGCAAATTTAACGCTCTTTACATTCAGGCGAGAAAATGCTGACCAGTTAAACATATAGTAGAATCTGCTGACCAGTTAGATATATAGGGAAAATGCTGACCAGTTAGATATATAGAGAAAAATATTTTTGCCGTGAAATTGTTGCTAATTTTATAATGCAATCACTTACAAGAGATTTTGATAAAAAAAAACATATATAAAACATTACTTGAAATTTTTGCATATCTTTAGAGGTATAAACGCTGTTTAATATATCTTTTTAAAATGTATGATATTATGGTACTTTACATGAATATATTAATTTAGTTTTATCATTGATAAACATAGTCATATAAATGCAAAAATTAAAAATATAAATAAAAGAATAAAAGTAATTTCCCATCTTTTTATTACCCCCTACGGCGTGTTTATATAACTTCACACCTTCAATGTTTCCCTTCTTTGTATAACTGGTCAGCAGTTTCCGATATTCCTTCTTTATTTAACTGGTCAGCAGTTTCCTATATATCTATATCGTCAGCTAATTCGTCAGCAGTTTAGTGCGACCCTCTTTAAAGTAAATGTACTTGTTTTAATTCCACTGTCAAGTACTTCAATAGTCAACTGTTCTGTCCTATCAACAGCTCTTGTTGTACTATTTTTCTTCTTTTCAGAATTTAAAGGTTTCAGTAAGACTTTGAAAAACATTTAAAATGTGAAAAAATAAAATCTTGTAATCAACATGCTTCATTTGACATGCTTTCTTGCCTGACGGTGTTGTGCTTGAAATTGTTGAAACTTTTTTAAGGCAAGAAATATTGTTTTGATATCAAATGGAGTAAAATATTTCTTTAATTATTCAGCATTTTTTTTCTCTATTTTGGGAATGGTGCCGGTACCAGACTGATTGGGACAAAATGCGTTAGTTTAACTTAAATTGGGATTTTTTTTATGCATACATGTATTTTCAGCTACAAATAAGATTAGTCATCATGAATAAAGATAGCTAACAGCTTCCACTGTCCAGGTAGAACTATTGAGTGGTAATTTATATGAATATGTTGGATTTAAATGATTTCAGAGAAATCAGTTGGCCTTGTGGGAATTTGAACAGCCATTTTGGGAATTTAAACATTGAGAATTGGGAATTTTAATGTCTATTTTCTATAGGGAACAGTACCGTTTTAGGGTAGTAGTTATATAAAGAAAAAAAAACACTGTTATTTATTGTTGTTGTTTTTTTAGTGAATCGCTATGAATTACTATGTGTTGAGCATATGGCTAGGGGTAAAACCGGCCCAGATGAAGAAAAAATGTTGGTGGCTTTTGAAGCATTTGATGCCCTGATTCCAAATCTTGGAGTATATACAAGAATTTTCAAGAAACTACGCGATGATCTGTATGGTAAATATGAAATAGTAATAATTGGTGAATCTTTAAACTTTATTTGAGTAAATGAATGAATGAATAAAAACTTTGAAATAGAAATTTATTATGTGTAATAGAGTTCTTCAAACTATTTTATATTATCTTTATACATAAAAATCCTTCTTTAATATATACTTACTTTCCTCATTGTACTCAAATGACAACTAAACAGCAGAAATATTGTAAGAAAAGAAAGACTCATATAACATTTTGGGATTTTATTTTGTTGACCCACAACAAGTCCATGGTTTTTGTCTTGACGTCTTTGTTTCCTCTCAACCAGTTCAGCTAGTGTGTTGCCATTTGGATCTTATGGTTTGACTTTTAATTTGAAACAAAATAAAAGCAACTACTGTATGTTTATAAGACTTTTGTATTTGATATCACTAGCTTGTTAAAGGGATATTTTTTTATTGTTACCAGATGCTGTATATAGTGATGACTTAACAACCACTCAAGGCGGCTGTGTCACCAAGATACCTTATTTCATTCACATCACACGAAGACAAAACCAACAGTCAGAAAAAATGGATGAAATGGAGGATCAGCTAGAAACAGTTAAAAAAAGGTACAACATAAAATAATGTTATAATTTCAAGCATAAATTTAGGTAATGTCATTCCACTCTCTTTATGAATAATAGAATAAGTTGGCCCCTTGTGGCTGAGGGGTTGCCTTTACTGGTGAGGCATCAGAATTGCAGCCACCTTTTGACACTGCGTTTTCATAAGCGACGACTAAATGTACTGGAGTCTTTGCATCTTATAGCTCCAGTTGGTGAGGTGGTTTTGACCCTTGGTGTTGCTTTAAGTTTGTAACACCCAAAAAAATCTTTTCCATTTTGGCGCCATATGACCTACCCGGTTACTTGTTTTGGTGTGTTCTAGAAAGTAACACATTGACCATTATACTTGAGCCATCATTTGTTTCTTTTACCTTTTGGCAATTAGTCAACTTATAGTGAATGATTCAGTATTTTGCATGGAGGAAAAAATACCACATATTTTCCTACCCTTATCACAAATTATTTCGCAATCAAAACTATTTTCAAAGGTGATAAGCATCTCACATGTTCTAAATCCATTATCACAGCATTATAAATCACATGTTTGCCCTTTCTACAGAAGGAAAAACTATTCGATACTTTTTAAGGCATAATGTTTCTTTAAAAGAGCAAAGAATTTTGGTTGAAAGATATAAACAGTTAATATGATAAAGACTGAAGTTTTATCAAGTAGATGGCTTTTCACATTGCTTAGTACTGGTTGGTTCCAGAAATATATTCAAGAGTGTTTAATTAAGCTTATAGTGTCCAACTCAACCAAAATAAAACAAATTTGTATAAACTAATATTTTATAGGCATGACTGAGTCTTTTTAGCTCACCTGAGCACAAAGTGCTCAAGGGTGAGCTTTTGTCATCACTCTGTGTCCGTTGTGCGTCCGTGCGTCGTGCGTCCTTCAAAAAATGGCGTCAAACTTTTCAAACAACATCTCCTCCTAAACCACATGGCCAATCGCAACCAAACTTTACAGAAATGATCCTTAGGTGGACCCCTTTCAAAAATTTAAAAAATCTTCTTTTAAAAATTCCTAATAGCTAGAGCTTAGATATTTGGCATGAAACATCTTCCAATGAGTGTCTACCAAGTTTGTTCAAATCAAAGCCCTGGGGTTAAAATTGGCCCCGCCCCAGGGGGTCATTGATTTTCCCTCTATGCATATAGTAAAAACTTAAAAAATCTTCTTTTAAAGAACTCAAAGAGCTAGAGCTAAGATATTTAGCATGAAACATGTTCTAATGGGTGTCTACCAAGTTTGTTCAAATAAAAGCCCTGGGGTCAAAATTGGCCCCGCCTCGGGGGTCATAGATTTTCCTTATATGTGTATACATAGCAAAAACTTAAAAAATCTTCTTTGAAAAAAACCAAATAGCTGGAGTTTAGATATTAAGCATGAAACATCTTGTAGTGAGTGTCTACAAAGTTTGTTCAAATAAAAGCCCTGGCGTCAAAATTGGCCCCGCCCCGGGGGTCATTGATTTTCCTTATATGTGTAAAGCAAAAACTTAAAAATCTTCTTTGAAAAAACCCAGATAGCTAGAGTTTAGATATTAAGCATGAAACATCTTCTAGTAAGTGTCTACAAAGTTTGTTCAAATAAAAGCCCTGGGGTCAAAATTGGCCCCGCCCGAAGGGTGTCTTTGATTTTCCCTATATGCATATCGTAAAAACTTAAAAAATCTTCTTTTAAAGAACCCAAAGAGCTAGAGCTAAGATATTTAGCATGAAACATCTTCTAATGAGTGTCTTCTAAGTTCGTTCAAATAAAAGCCCTGGGGTCAAAATTGGCTCCGCCCCAGGGGGTCATTGATTTTCCCTATATGCATATAGTAAAAACTTAAAAAATCTTCTTTTAAAGAACTCAAAGAGCTAGAGCTAAGATATTTAGCATGAAACATCTTCTAATGGGTGTCTACCAAGTTTGTTTAAATAAAAGCCCTGGGGTCAAAATTGGCCCCGTCCGGGGGTCATTGATTTTTCTTATATGTGTATAGCAAAAACTTAAAAACTCTTCTTTGAAAAAACCCAAATAGCTAGAGTTTAGATATTAAGCATGAAACATCTTCTAGTGAGTGTCTACAAAGTTTGTTCAAATAAAAGCCCTGGGGTCAAAATTGGCCCCGCCCCGGGGGTCATTGATGTTCCTTATATGCATAAAGCAAAAACTTAAAATCTTCTTTGAAAAAACCCAAATAGCTAGAGTTTAGATATTAAGCATGAAACATCTTCTAGTAAGTGTCTACAAAGTTTGTTCAAATAAAAGCCCTGGGGTCAAAACTGGCCCCGCCCCAGGGGTGTCATTGTTTTTAACTATATGTGTATAGTAAAAACTTAAAAAAATCTTCTTTTAAAAAGCCCAATGAGCTAGAGCTTAGATGTTTAGCATGAAACATCTTCTTATGGGTGTGGGGGGGCTATATACAGGTGAGCGACCTCAGGGCCATCATGGCCCTCTTGTTATATTAGGTGACTTTTCACATTGCTTAGTACTGCATGGTTGATTCCAGAAACTGAATTGATAGTGTTAAAAAATAAGTTTATAGTTTCTAACACAATCAAACTAAAATAAATTTGTATAAACTAAATAAACTTAACTTTATAGGCATGAATAAGTTTGTCTTGTATTTCAGGTTATTTGAGAAACACAAGCAGCTAGAGGAGAATCAGAAAGTTACAGAAGATCTTAAACAAAAGATGAATGATCTTGACAACTATATATCTGACTTGAAGAGTGATTTAGCTGATAAAGTAGCTGGCATTGAGAAGTAATATTTAATTTTAATCATTCTGTATTATACTGCAAATCTACTTTTATTCCCACAACTATTCAAACTTTGTGTAGATTTTTATTATCCCCCATCAAATAAGTAAGTAAAATAGTTGTTTATTATAGTGATATTGTGTATATATCAATTTCCAGTTACATATACATGATAAGAATACATACAAGGGCACCCGGCCCATTGTCGACCTATAAGTCACCTTATAATATATGTACAAATTAATATAGACTGTGAACAATACATAGCTTTTCAAATGGAACTTCTAAATGAAATCAAATATTTATGCTTTGAGGTAACTAGATTAACTAAGTAGCTTCGATTAAGTGATTTAAATCAGTTTACAGGGGATACTTATTCAAGGAATTTGCTTGTTTAACTTTTTAAAAATTTTAAATAAATTATTAATTAAATTATATAAATTCAGATGGATGATTTAATGTAACATGATTATTTTCAGTTTAGAGAAAGATCTGAGCAAGGAGAAATCTGACAGGGCTAAAGAAAGGGAGATATTACATGGAGACATTGAGGATTTGCATGTATGTAAAAAATTGTGATAAACTTTTTGATATATCACATGACTTGGGCAAAGTATGAAGTCAATAATAATCTTTTGAAATATATTGTCAATTCAGCTCAACTTCAAAAATGAGCTGAGCATAATCTCACTTTTTAAGGAGCATTAGAAGTACAGTTATTGATTTGATGAGGAAAAGGAATAAAAATAAAATATTGGATAATGGATTTAGCTCAATACAGGATTGGAGCAGTACCTCTAGACGCTTGCAGAAATCATGATCACAAAATAGACAAATATCGTTTTTTTCGCTGATTTTAACATTTTTCATGCATTATCATACATAAATCAGTGTGAAAAGATGAATTAGACCTATTAACGTTCATTCCGTTGCGTAAAAAAGCTAGATTTTGGCATTTTACGATTCAAGCGCCTTGTCCGGTATATACCGGAATACGGTATTTAGTGTGGTGCTCCAATCCTTTATTTAGTCTCACTCTTGGATAATAATCACCAATCCAAAATTAAGATTAAGTTAGTATTAAAATAGCCTTGTATCATTTAGTGACAAAGTTTGTACAGTTTTATAACATAACACCTACAGTTATCCATTACTTAAATGTTAAAGAACGTGTTTACATGATAAATATACGATGTGTGTTTTTCATATGAATTTCAGGCTGATATAAATGATAAGAAAGAAGAAATAGAATTCCTTAGTAAATACAAGAAAGGATATGATGACCTGTACTATGGTAAATATATATTTATTGTAATTATATATAGGTAAAATAAACATACACTGCGACTCCTTTATAATGGGGCCTGTTATATCGCTAACATCAGTATAACGTTCATAGACCTTGGCTCAAGAAAAAAAAAAGGTATAAGTGTTGATAAAGTTGAACTAGCACAACTCTTAAAAGTTAAATTTGTAACTATTAATGCAACCTTAAAGAGAGGTTGATTGTTGGTTGCTTCACTTTGCATGTTGCATGAACTTCAAGAACTATCTGAAATGTCTGTACTTATTTATGTATTTACTGACTTACTCGGAAAACCTGACCCTTAACAAGCTGTATTTGTCAGGATCTCTGCTGTACATATTTAAACTGAGAAGGCAATTTTCTTGTAGATTTTCTTGTTTTCTCCTTGCTTCAAGGGGATCTTCCTTACAAATATATTTTACTATACAATATTTCAGCATTTTTGGATCAACCAGATGATGATGAAACTCCAAGAAAGAAAAAGAAACCTGTTGTTTCTACAAAAAGGGTAAGTGTTTATTCTATAGATCCTTTCAAAGATGAAAAAAATGTACTAGAAATAGTTATTCAAAAATTGTGGAACGTAGGCAAGAGAGGCTTTGGGGTTATTTTGTGTTACCCAACATTAGATGTAATTTATATTACTGATCCATTGGGTTTTGTAATCCTTAAATTGTGAGATATATTACAAATTGATGCAAAACAGATGTAATTCCTTCATTTTGTAATATAAGTTACAGCTGTTTTGCAATAAACCCTGTATATTATCATTGGAATAATTTTAATTGTTAAAATAAAATATGAGTTGTAAGGTCATATTATTTCCATGTAAAAAGGTCACTGTTCCTTTTTCACAAAGGATTGTCTATATGGATAAGTTTTCTTCTATATGGAATATTGATAGCATTGACTGCACCAATTTACATCAAAATTTTGCATGTAATGACTGTATGTTAGTGGTTAGTTTTATCCAATATGTAAATTGTTGACTTGCAGGCAAACATTATGACAAATATTGAGTTAGCAAAGAAACTGGAAGATCAAATAATGACAGTTTTAAACACAGCTGTAGAAGGTATGTTGCTTATAGTGTTGTTGAAAAAAATATTTTTATTAAAGGACACGTTTGTAAGTGTCATTTAACTTAATTATATGCTAGAATTAAATTATTTAGCACTATTAAGCACTTAACAGTATTTTTTTATTCCATTTTGTATTATTAGTGCAATCTGAGGAATTATTCTTCTACTAGTAAAATTAGAATGTTGTAATATTAACAGCATCAAAGCCTGAACAAAATCTTAGATCTATTTTGTAAATGATTTTTTTTGTTTTTCACGTTCTCTTCAGAGTTTGATAAGTTCATGGAAGAGCATAAAGAAGATCTGAAACAGATTGAAATAAAAGAAGATATAACAGATGCTGAGTTTGAAGCACAGGAGATAGATATAGACAATGCTGATCAACAGGTATAGAAAATATACATGATATATAATAAGTGGAAGTTAAAATACCCTGAACTCTTACGGTGCTTAATATTATAAAGGGTATCTTATTAATAATTATGGCCAAATTTTAAAGCTGATGCCTTATGATTAGCTAAACTATTTAAGAAAATCAAACTTTAGAAAAATGTTCTAAGATTTTAAGAAAAGTAAAAAAATCCAAGATTAAATGACTTATTTTGAAGTATTTATCACCAAGTTTCTACTGCATTACAAACGCAGTAAGGGTTATTTTTGCAAATTTTGGCGTCAGTTTGGTAATTTACGTGGATTGTAAGTGCATTTGCAATGTGTAAATTAATATTTTATTTTTGTTCACTTCACAATTTTAATATACATTAATGAAAAATTGAATGAATCTAGAGACTAGATGCATGCTACTTTAAATGGATTTTTCCTTATTTCAATCAGGAACTTGCCTTATTTTAAGCAGGACATAACTCATAATCGGATACCCACGGCCGAACCATTAACATTGATTGCATGTTATGTGACATGTTTATCAATTGTGGGTATCCAACGATGGACATAACTGTTCCTTTGTACCAACTGAATAGCAAACATGGCAGATCAAAGGCAGCAAGGATGTGCTGGATGATCTTGGTTTACATTGGTTGCATGGGTAGAATCTACTGGGAAAGTTTCCCATGTGAATTTTTGAAACAGTTAAAATTTACTAATTTTCAGGTCTATGCTTCCATTAACAGAAATTTCTAGTATCAGAAAATTTAAGATATCATTATTAACTCAATATAATTGTTATTTTATATACAGTTGGAGGCTGTACAAGAGAGATTCAAGAACACAATAGGTGATATATCTAATGAGTTATTGTTGTTGAAACAACACAGTATCATGTTGATGGAACAGCTACAAATCTTAGAGGAAAACCATCCTACCCTGATGTAAGTAAAACTGCTTTTGTAGTAGTATTTTAATAGTATCATTATTGTTCGGGTGTATGGATTTTATCTAAAAAAATATTTTATTATTTAGTCAGGGTCTTTGTCACTTCAACAGTATAAAGGTCATATGGCATTTTTCCAGCTTTACTGGTGGAGAAGGTCCGCAGATGCCCCTCTTTGCATTATTTCAAGTAAGAGGATTGAGGCTCCTGAGTAGAACTATCAACATTCCATAAGCTAGCTGGATAGCTTCCTCACATGAAAGAATGGAAAGTCCTTGGTGGGTTTCAACCCAAAGTGGTACGGGGCAAGTAGTTTGAGGTCAACAACCTTAACCACTCAGCCATAGACGCCCCTATTGTATCAAATAAGCTTACAGATTTCATTGTTTTACCCAGCTGTTGCACCTAAGATTATGCAAACTACAATGTATTTGACATTATGTTATTTCCCTGTATCCATTGAAGCTTGACTGTTGCTGAAATAGATCTGTTGTGTCTATAATCAAAATATGAATAATTATCATATTTATTGGCATATTATGTAAAGAACTTACTTTTGTGTAAACTATGTTTTTTCCCCTATAAAGCTTCAACACTTACAAAATATAAAATCACACGTTTTATGTCCATGAAGTCAGTGTCAGAATGACCAAACTTATCAAATTATATCATTTGAGCTTTCAGTTTATCAAACAAAAGCCTGATTTGGATAAAGCTGTCTAAATTTATACAAAACATAAATGTATTAAATACCTAACTATTTCTTAATATTTATAACACACATGTTTTTGTTAGAATATAGTTATGAATTTTCCTACTTTGTATATGAACTTGTTTTTCTATGATAGGAGGAAAGGTGACAGGTTGAAGGTCGTAGACCCAGCAGTCTCAAAGTCAGGTAAGTTAATCAGTGACTTGTAATTCATTTTTAATTATTCACTTTTTTAATTATTTACTTTTTTAAAATTTGCTACTTGATAATTTTCTGACTTTAAATGTTTGCTGAAGAATTCTTTTTTATTTCAACTTTCTTATTTCAATTTTTTACTGTAAACCACAGTATTTTTTTTCAAATTTACTTTTGCTCATGTTTTATACTACATATTATTTACATATCCCATCTTTATAGAGAGTATGATAGGTGTCATAATGATAAACTATAAATATAGTTCTAATCAGGCGTCCGCTCATACATGTACATGAAATTAAGGGGTACCTGAGGTCGTCAGAATGCCACCAGTAAAGCTAAAAAGTCGCTTTTCAGTGTTGGTGTGACTTAATTCCCACCTCCCCACCCCCGCCCCTTGCAAAAAAATTATAAAAAAAAATTTAGTCTCATAGAATTCTAGAACTTAGTGTATGGAATGTACTGTTCAGCAATTAAAAACAGAAGTAATACATGAAAGGCTACCCCTCATTTTAAATTGAACTATTCTATATTCTTCATTTTATGGCCTGAATTTGGTTAGTTTTGGACTTTAATGCCATTTGTTGTGTATCGATATCTTTGGCTGGAGTTGATTGATAAAATGAGACTTGATGTTGTTATATAGGGGATATACTTTTGTCTAAGGAGGCTGAGAAAAGGGTAAAGCGTATACGTGAGGAAAGCTTAAATATACAGGAAGTTTTTGTCCAGTCCCCGTATCTGGGACTAAAAGATGAAAACTGGAAGGAATTGTTAGGTGATATACCCTGCACAATATTGGAATGGTTCTTTATATTTTTTGCCAGTGGTTTTGTTATGATTGAAGGTGCACACTGAGTGTTTTTTTGTGTCTATAGAATGCAATAGATTGAAGAAAGGTGTTTTTATAGGATAATTTTTTTTATGTCAAAGTATTATATGGAAAAGTACAATGTATATTCAATTTCTGTGTTTGAATAAATAATGGAAATTTATTCACATATTATTTACATGTTATACTTTTATGACTTTCTATGCAGTCTGATCACATTCTGTTATTATAATACTTTAACTATGAACAATCTAAGTGTATAAATTGATTATTACTTATATGGGAATATTTGATAACTCAAGTTCAGCTTGGAAGCAACAGTTATTATGCATAGTATTGTTGATATGAAATAAATCCTTGACAGAACAAGAAAATTAAGTTTTGCTTGAACTAGATGTGGTGAACAGGACTGATCACAGGTGTGAATGTTAACATTATGGTCATGAAATAAAGTTATGAGTATTTATGGCCTAAGATGTAAAAGAATGGGGTTTATGGTTGCACTGCACATTTTATATTGTAATGACTTTGAAACAAATCACTTGAGGACTGAAGAAAGTTATCACATGTCACAGAACATATTTTGCATGAAGTTTGCATGAAGATGGACCTAATGCATGTATAAACACGTGCTTTATGCACTTGTGGAATTTAGCACATGTATGTTAAACTATCTCGTGATGTTACTTTGTCTGATAGACAATTATTTTGTTCAGAGTCCTGAATTAGAAAACGAAGATTTTTGTGGATTGTAATGATAATGCTATTTACTTACATTTTGAAACTATTTTTATAGTTATGTTTGAACTAAGAGGTAATGTTTTTGATGATACACATTTTTACTCAACTTAATTAATTGCATTTCTGTTTGTGTTATATATACTGGTATGTGTCTAGCTGTAATGACACAAAATATCTAAGGATACTTTTTAATTTTAAAACTTTTTTTCTCAACACTGCAACTACTATAACTATTAATACTTCATATAACATGTAGTCAAACTAGAAATGGTAAACAGAAATGTTCTTTTATGTATGTTAACATTGAAAACAGCCATTATCTAAAACAGCTGCTATCTGTTTACATTAATTGATATAATTATCATTTCAGACTCTATATTGTCTGCTGGACTTGGAGATGATGAAGATGAAGCAGATTCAGACCCATTTATCCCACAAGAACGTGTATTCAGTAAATATGCTGCAATGATGTATACCTCTAACAACCACGGGAAGTCATTTGAAGAGTTTAAAGAAGCCAAATACTGTCCAAGTTGTGGCGAGAAGGTGCATATACACTATTGAATGATTTTAGTATGACTAAATTGGAAAAATGAATTCTTTGGACTCTACATTTTAAGCACACCTGAACACAAGGCACATTATTGTAGTCCTGTACTAAAATTATATAAATTGTTCCCCTGGGATCAAAATTTGTGCCACCTGGGGGCTACTTAGTTTATATTGCTTTATATAGGAAAACACAGATCTCTTCTTGTGTAAAACTATTATGCCAAGAGCTTAGATTTTTGGCATGTAGCATAGTTTGTGGTGAATATAAAATTGAAATAAATCATGCCCCTTTTCTCAACAAAGATCCAGCCTTTGGGTCTTTTAGTATAAATAGACTAAAGTAGTAAACACATTTTTTGCTTGACTATTCAATAAGAATAAGTAAAGCTATCATAGTCACCCAAGTGTTGGCATTGGCGTTACCACTTATGTTTAAACTTATGTTTAAGTTTGTGTATCACCTCAAATATTTTCAAAGTCCATTGACAGAGTGCTGTCCTTCCGACAGATTTGCTTACTGGGTGAAATTACAATTGCAAGAGCTTTCAAATATGGTATGAAGTATTTCCTAGCAGACGTCTACAAGTGTTTTAAAAATTATGCTGCTTTAGTAAACAAGAGCTGTCTGGAGGACAGCAAGCTTGACTATTCTTAGTGCTTGATAGTAAAGAGCCTTGATAATGTAAAATTTTCTAAGTTTACAAAAGGGTCAATTTTTTTCCAAATCCATGTTACAGTTAAAGGCCTTGGAGAGAGTCCTATTATGCTCTCAAAGAAGTGTAAAAATATTCAACTTGTTTCAAAGCAAGATGTCAATGAAATATGAAAATATCTGAGGTGGTACACAAACTCTTACGTAAATTCTAAGTCGAAAAAGGGGCTTAATTCTGTCGAAATGCTTGGTAGAGTTATCTCCTTCTGCCTACAGGTTTGGGGCATGATGGTGAACAAGTGTGCAAAGTTTCAAAGCCATATGTTAATGGAATATTTGAAGTGGTACACAAACTTTAACATAAATTCTAAGTGCAAAAAGGGCATAATTCTGTCAAAGTGCTTGATAGAGTTACTTCCTTTTGTCTACAGTTTGGGTCATGATGGTGAGCAAAGTTTCAAAGCCATGTCAATGGAATATATATATATATATAAATATTTGAGGTGTTACAAAAACTTTGACATAAGTGGTTATGCGGAGGCTTGGGTGACTAGGATAGCTCTACTTATTCTTATCGAATAGTCAAGCTAAAAATGACTACTTATGTGAATTAATTAGAAACTTTTGCATTGAAGAATTATGATCTTTTCCAGCAATGAATCTCATGAGAGAGATCTAGGGCCATTAATTGGTCTGCTTGCTTTATGCTGTGGCTGGGGAACATTGCTAAATTCTGAAGTAATTTTAAGTCAGCTATTGAGTCTCTAAGAAAATTTGTTTATGAATTACATTAATGTACATTCTAAACCTACAGTTGCAAAGATGCATGGTGTTAACTTAGGCAAAGATACAAGGACCAGAGTACAAATGTATGTGCTAATTCCACCAATATCATTATTCATATTTGTTGTTTTCAGACTGTAATTTGTCCTCACAAGCTGCCTGGATCAGAGAAGATATTACCACTGCCTATTAACTGTACACACCTTAAAATTTCACGTCCAAAAGTAAAAATCAACAAAGAACTAATGAGGTGAGCAATATTTACTTTGCCGACATAATTTAATAAATATTTCAATATTATTTTTGTTCGTAACAAGAGATATTGCTTAGTTTAAGATCACAATTTTTAACTATGGTGGCCATCTGTACAATGTTTTGCTACAATACATAGATATGCAGGTTAGATAATAAAGTGAAAAACTTGTAATATTTTTTTAATGCATGTGTATTATCAGGGCTCCTGACTTTTGCTAGTGACTTCCAAACTGTGATGCTTTTCCATCTTTACCTATACAGTATAATGTGACTTCCAATGTCAGAGATTTTAAAATCTCAGACTCTAAATTTTGAAACTTTATGGAAGCCCTGTTTTATAAAAGCTAATTTATGATTGGGAGGCATATTAGGTCATTACTGTAAACATGGTCTATATTTTTATCAAATACAATATACATACATGTACATGAAAACTTCACAATTAATTATGATCTTTTTAGAGAATTAATGAAACCTGAAGAAGAAGATGTGACCTTTGATCTTCCTGGTTCCCTTGGCAACAAGCTAGATATCAGTAGAGAACATAGTTTACGTGCTTTGTCAGGGTCCATGATGTCTCCGGACTCGAGCAGAGATGGTACTAGTGCCACTGGCAGTGAAAGTCACCTGGTAATCTTAAATATTATAAAAGATATAGTTGTTTCATTTCCCCTTTTGGTGAATTTTTTCAATAACCAATTATTTCATCTAATCAATTAATTTATAGAATCTGTGTAGGAATGAATTTAAACAATGAAATGAAATATCTAATGTTAAATTGAACAGTTGATTTACACCAGGGACATACTTTAGCTTTTATCTAAATTAAAGCATAAGAGTTTTGTCCCTTTAACTGTTTAAATACTTTTCACCAAATCGTCCAGTCAAATGATTTTGAAAAAGAAAAAGCAAGAACAAATCTTTTACTTGAAACGAAATGCTAAAACAGAATAATTGCATTGTGATCAGCTGTATTTTATAATGTTAAGGTTTAAAGTTTTCGATACTTGTAAGAAAGGATAAAAAAAAAAATTGTGTTTTTTCTATTATTTTACAAGATTACCCTTACAATTTAAGAATGTTTGTTGTTTTGTTACCTGATGTAAACAGAAAGTAAGTAATACTAATCAAATATATACTGTAACAATGTTGTAACTAGTTTATCTGAATTATTTATGAAACTTGTTCAAATAACCTCGCAAAATGTAATAAAGATCTGTATGTACAATATAATCATTTACATGTAAAATATGATTTTTTTTCTCTTTGGAGTTCAGGTGTTAGTTTCTTTTCTTAGCTTCTAAAACAACATAGCTGTTGAGTTATCTTGTAGGTTATTATTAGTTTGTTAAATTTTTGGATGTTAATTTAGATATTATGATACAAAATGTCTTAACCTTCTCTCAGCTTTTCCGTATGAAGGTGAGTTATGGTCACTGTATGAGAGAGTGAATGTTGAATAAATTTGGACAATAGGTGTTAGGTGGTATCCTCCTTATAGCCAAGTCAATATGGTTGAAATGAAATTTGTAAATGTTTTTTTATCAAATTTAAATGTAACTGTGTTGTTATGTCACCTTGTATGGTTATTTTGAAAAAAGACACTTGTATGGTAGTGGCTTTAGGGGAGGTGTTTTGAGCACATTAAAGATAAAAGTATGTTCACCTGTGTGTTGTCATGTCAGTAGGGAATGTTCAAATGTTTGTTGCACAAAAGAATGTGATTCTCTTCTCTTTTTTTTTTTCATTGCACAATATCTTGAATTGTTTCAAACATAAAACAATGTTTACCTTTCTTCTAAATTTTATGTATGAAAATTTGTGTAATGAATTTCTATATAAAAATATTGTTTTGCAGGTATGCAACCAGTTTAGATAATGCCCTAATTTATGTTGTTGTTTTCTTTTTGTTGTTTTTTTTTTAAATCTTAACCAAAAGGCTATTTTTTATCAGGTTTTTTTTTTTTAAAGACAATAGTGATTATAAGATTGGCGAATGTTGATGTTTGATTGGGCAGTTAGGATTGAAAATTTTTCCTGTTCAAAACTTTGCCTACATTTTTTAACCAACTTTTCACCGAACTATTTTTACCTAGTGACCTTGTACATAATATCAGGCTTTATGGCACTTGTTATTTTCAACTAATTATCATTGGAGGAAAACCTGCTATTGTCACCATTATTGCTTCAAATTGTTCTGTATCATTTGTACGAGAAATTGATAACTTAGTATTATAACTTATAGAGAAGTTTTTGATTGTGTATCTACCCGTCAAAACTTTTAAAGAATTGGTTAAAGTAAAACTAAATATGAATAAGAATTTTATTCCTGTTATTTTTGAAGGGACACCATTGAATGTCAGAGCTTGGTAGATTTGTGAATGTTATTATAACCACTTTCTTCACTTTAACATGGCCTTTTTTTACAGTGTCTGTATGTCTGAAAATAAAATTAAACACTTTCATTCCTAATTTAACAAATGAAACTCCAAATTATATTGATAACAGTGTATATTAATTGTTGTCCATTTATTTTCATATTTATAGAGATACAGTCTGTTGAGCCTATATGATGATTACAAACAGAGAACCAATCTGGAGAGAAATATTCCACGCCCACTCTCACAGGTAATAGTTCTTTCGTTTCCTTCTACCAGTCCATTTTACTGTTACAATTACAGATAAGGGCCACGATAATGTTGCAAAAACTTTTGGCCCAACCCTTTTGTATATTGTGTAATTATGTTCATGTAATAGAATTGATGTATATTTATATTTGCAATAAAATATTATGAAAAACAGTTATTTTATATTTTGGTAACTGAAGACCAAAAGCATACTAGGTATGTAATTAGATACCAGTAGCAAAATATGATTTTATGAGATAAAATTTAAAGTAACATTTTCTAGGACCTTAGTGACTGTATTATTACATTTTTCACTTTAAATTTTTCACCCCTCACTGTAAGTCGGAGCATGACAAGAATTTTACAGCTAACTTACATAAAGTCTATTAGTAACTTTACCATTAAGGTGCTAAATTGTGTCTGAAAAAAAATCATAGAGCCCCATTGGGAAATACTGGGAAGTTCCCATGTTGTTTTTATCAACAATGTCAGTTTCACTTTATACCCAAACAAAATATCTTATTAGCAGTATTTTTCATGTGAGATGTGGGAAAAGGTTACATATGTATTTCTATATTCAGGAACGTTGTTTGTCAGTGATGGAACAGTTTTGGACATACGTGATCTGGGAGGATGATAATGGGAAAGAGGAGGAGATACACAACTCTATCATTGTAAGTAGAACTCTAGATGAAATAAAATAGTACAATGGTCAAATGGTAAAATTGTGTGCTTTTTAACCAAAGGATCTTGGCTTTGAGTTCTAGCAGGGTAACAAATGCCTTATGTTACATTATTACTTGATAGTCAAGGTATTGTGTTTTAATAAAAGAACTCATTGATAGAAGTATGTATGGTTTGATTGACCACCTGACTTACCATTTTGCTATTTCCAATGCCTAAAAATATTTTTTTTTTGTAGTATTAAGTCAGTGAAAAGTAATTGTTTTCATAGGTACTTCAACACTTGTTAATTGCATTACATGTTACTTGACTTGTTCATTTCATTTCAGGATAAATTGTACAGATATATGGAGGAAAGATACATGGTGAAGGACATCATGTTTTTATGTAATCATGATTTCATCTCCGGAATTATAGAATACTCGGATAATGACAAGGTAGGTAACTCTTGCTGTGTTAGTAAAACACTGTATGAAGCTAAATTTTTGTAATTTGCATTTAGAACTGTTCAATGTTATTTTAAGAAGTTTTTATTTCAAACTATTGGAGTTGATCAGCTAGAATTAAACCAGACAGCAAGTAGATACTAGTGTCAAATGTCTCTTTTTTAAGATTGATTATGTTTAACCAATCAGCATGGTTACCTGACTGTTACCTCGCTAAATATCTTAAATATTTTATAAACTGGACAATACCATTCACCACTTGTAGGGACAGGCTTGAAATATGTACTGACTGACTAGCTAGCAGTGCAGACCATAATCAGACATCATATACAGGGTTGAATGTACTGTCTGATCTTCAGGTCTGCACAGGTCACATAGGTAGAATCAGTTGCCACCAACTGGCTAAGCATTAATCTATAGACAAGCCCCCTTTCCATGCCAGTCTGTACCTTTGTTATGTAAGTAAATACGATTTTTGATTCAAAACACAAAGGCAGACTATTTATTCACTAGAATGCCCCACAACCATCTCAGCTTTTACTTTGACAATAATACTTGGGGGGGGGGGGGGGGAACACTCCTCGTTGAAAAGTTGGCAGTTTTGATGAAATATTTTTAGAGAAAATCTACAAAGGTTTGAATTGTGTGTCAAAGACAAAAGTAAGCCATACAATGATGATTTATTTGATTTGAATCCCTGTCAGCACAAGCCTTCTTTTTATATACAAAAATGAGACAGTGCTGAAGCCATGTAAAGTATAAGTTATCCTGTATTTTTCCTAGAATATTATTGACATATTATATCTGAGACACAATAGATCTGAGACACAGCCTTTACCTCTCACTACATGTTTTTTTTAGGGATTCTATTTCTCTGTCTGTTTTTGCTACTAAAACAATGAATGAACTGCAGATATACATGTACACAATCATTTTAAATGCTCTGACTTAATCCTTTGTAACATTTAATCAGTAATATATTAATACTATTTAATTAAAGCATTGTTTATGCCCAGAATTAAAGATATGTTATAAATGTATTATTTATTGATTAGTTTTTTTCTGTTAAATCAAAATACACCAATTAGTAATTTAGTAGCATATTTAATTTAGCATTTTGTTATTGTAAATTTTCGTCTTGTAATCTTTCTATTGTAATTTTTTGTAATATAAAGGTAGCCATAATATATACTATTCTAAACAGTGTATAATTATATGACTTATAATTCAAGTTAGAACGATTCTGCATGAGGTAATGATTAAAATATGACCTTGGTTTTACAGGTTATACAGCTATATGGTCATGTGTTGGTTAGTAACCTAGAGGGTGCTTGTTTCCGGTACATGATGTTACTATGTGATTTTATCTGTGCTGTAGAATGGAAGGAGGTTGAAGATTTTAGGGCATTTGCTGCGGTTGTCTACCCATTCCTTGGGGTAAATTATTCAGTTTGAATTATGAAAAAAAAACAGACTTATTCTTTTAACTTTAAACAATCCATTGTTATTGTTAATGGATTTCGATACTAAAATTTTGAAATTGTCAACTATATTGAGATGTCAGAGATGTAAGATGTTGGTTTATGCAATATTTGTTTCTCCTTCCATATTTTCAAAGAAAATTTCAATACATTAACTACAACCATGATTGAGTAAAAAACTTAAAGCTTATATCATCACCTTAGTCTAATAATTGGTTAACTCTTCTTAAATTGAGATGGACTTAACTTTTTACTGCACTTAGGTGACAGTATGAAACTCTCTCCTGAATGCTTTTTATTGGTGGCAAAGACAAAGCAGTATTTCCAGTAGCAATCTATTATTCACAATGTTAACTCTTTACCTACTGGAACCAAAAGTGAGATTAACCTTTGCCATCAGTAGATAGAAAGTCCTGAGATTTGAGCAGTAACTTAAATTTATAACCTCAAGACCAGATTATTGATTACTATGCACTATGTTATTTTTAAAATCCTCTGTATTATCATTACAGGAAGATGATCTGGAGACATTACAGATGAGTTATACCTCATATAGTGAGAACAAGATCTCTAAATCTATGGTGGCACAGTTTATTATTCATCTTATACTTAAATACAGGGAACCAAGATTTCAAGATGTAAGTTCCAGGACCATTTAATATTGGGTACCAGTCTCAAACTCCTTGCTTTGTGATTAGTTGATTTTATACATATGACGAGTTTGACTTTTACAAAAATCAAATGACTGACATGTCAGTGTTATTATTGAATGAATTTTAAACTTGAATAATACAAGTTTGCTATTTGATTTATGTTATACACATATGTGTGTGAGATAAAAACATACAAAAAAAAAAAGCATATGAAATCTATTTACATTGAAGAAACAATTTCTTCTATATTTACAGTAAAGTAAAGTGGATGGTAGTTTTATATAATACACAGGTGTTTGGTAATAATATCTACAAATGTATAGTCAGTTGTCCACATAAAGTCACTCCAATGAAAGCATTTCAAGATCAGTAGTATTTCTTTATTGACATCTTTTTCCTTCAAAGAAAAAAAAATGCTTTGATATGAGCCGTGTCATGACAAAACCAACATAATGGGTTTGCGACCAGCATGGATCCAGACCAGCCTGCGCATCCGCACAGTCTGATCAGGATCCATGCTGTTTGCTTACAAACCCTATAACAAGTAGAGAAACTGATAGGGAACAGCATGGATCCTGATCAGACTGCGCTGATGCACAGGCTAGTCTGGATCCATGCTGGTCACAAACCCATTATGTTGGTTTTGTCATGGCGTGGCTCATATAGTCTTTGCTGCCTGAAAATGTTCTCAAATAGTACAGTATATACGCTTATTTTATACCAGTATAATAAAAATATAGCTGTTACTATTGTACAATGCTCAATTGAGAATCATTTTTCCCAATGGTTCACCATTGTAAAAAGTACGAAATGTACATAGAGTCCCAAAGTGATATAAAAAAAAATCAAAGTATCATATCAGCAAAAAAATAAATAGTAGTTATTGGTTAGAAATATAATGCCTGCTAAATAAATCTTTAATCTGTACTATCATAATTTGACAAATTGTTATGTATTTATTAGAGAATAACCAGATAAAATGGAATCTATTTATAGATGGAGCATCGTCTGATGCCCTTCCAGTCTCCAGATAGTAAACAGCCGTCCATGTCGGAGAAGGAGTTTAAAGAAGCTATAGATAACATCCTACCATTGACCAATGATAAGCTGAGGAGGCGTCTCTTCTTTGAGTCTGAGAAAATGATGAGGAAAGAAGGGCTGACAAATAGTGTACCTGTAATGAGGCTAGCTCGTATCCTTACATTTTATCATTCAAGTGTATAATTATCCTGATGAAGGTTCGATAGAGCTGAAATCGGTAGAAAATAAACAAATAAACAACCTGCTCTGGTGTTGACGTATTGTACTTCTCTACTTTCCTCTTATTTTAAATGTGTATGATTAGTATACAGTTATTTCATATGTGATTTGGGAACAGTCAAACTGTTGGCCTGAGGTGGAGGGGGTAGTGTTTTGAACTGTTGCCCAAGGCCGTAGGCCAAGGGCAACAGTTCAAAACACTATCCCCCGACACCGAGGGACAACTGTTTGACTGTTCCCAAATCACGCATGAAATAACTGTTTTATTACCTGATCAACTACTGTTTTAACAGTATTTGCAGAAGAAAAAAGGAACAAGAAAATAGTTTTGCACATATGTTAATAATTAAACTTAATATTTTAACTATGTCACGTCACGTCTGGGTCATGATCAAGATCGATGGACGCTGCAAGTGGGAATCCTCTATGACGTCAGAGCACGAGAGAGAAACAGTCGAAACTATTGACCGGTCAACAGTTCGCGAACGTTGACGTTTTTAGAATTTCAGAAAACAGTAAATAATAACAAATTGCATTTATATAAGGTATCAGGTAATAATATGATATATTAATAATTAAATTAGGTTAGAAATGACCTTGCATGATATAACTATACAAATCCTGTTTAACATACATATACATACAAGTATAAATAAAAGATCATTTTGAAGGAAATTTGAAGGACTTTGATGTGATTGCTCCTGCATGTCATTCTTATGCAGTTTTGAATTTTTTTAAAGTTAATAAAAAAATAAACAAGAAAAAAAACCAAGATGTTTTGAAATTTGCTCTTTTCCAGGACTTTAAATTGAAATCCCATTACTCAGTCATTTTGTTGGTACAATGTAATTTCATATTTCTTCTGTAACTTTAAAGATTTATAACTGATGCCTTATAAGACATTTATTTTTCAACTATTAGGATTTGGTAACTTAAATAGGGTCCTTAGAAAATCTACATGGTAGCTTCTGTTCTGTGTCAAAATAATGACATTCAACATTTATTTAGTGGTGACCTGGCAGAGTGGTTAACATGTCAAACAATTAATCCAAGGATCTCTAGCCATGTGGGTTCAGACCCTGTCAAAGGCAAGTCCTTGTTTCCTTGATTATAAAACTGTTCACTGATCGCTCAGTGCCCGTTGGTCATAGGAACGGATTGAAGAGTGTGGCTTTAACAAAAAAGAAAAAAGAATGGTATAAACTAAGATTTATTTCAGAAGACACACATTAATCTGTTATTGATAAGAGACATTCTTCCTTGACAATTGCTAAGAAATTGCCAGTTACCTTGGTTTGCTACAGATCACAAATATTGTAAGGGAGACAATCAATGTAAGGATACAGGAATGGAGGACACGGCCCAGCAGCTCCGGCTCGACGAGGGTTTTACAAGATCACGAGTCACAGATCCTCCATGATGAATATGGTCAGCTGATTACTATGTCAAAGGTCAAACTATTGTCTACAAATATTTCCAGGTAATGTGTAAACCATTAAATATTCATTACTATTTATGCTGTAAATTTGTCATGAAGTAAATGCATCAAGGTAAAAGGTATTTTAACACCCTGTTTACAGCTACTTGACATTATTGATTAAGGAATAAAATTCCATTAAACAGATTCAGTTATTGATAAGACATTTCTTATAGCTAGTCATAAAGCTAGGCTAAAATATAGAATGTAAAATGAAGCTAATGCAGTGGAATAAAAGTTTGTATTTAAAAACCTTGGTCTATTGTCCTTAAATTTTGCAGGGCATTTAGTATTGACTAGTGACCATGTTTATACTTGTGATAACCCTGTTACATATAATCACCTCTAGTAGGCATAACATGTATTTTTATCAATGTTAATAATTGTGTCATACTTTATATGCATTTGTTCAGTTCAAAACACTTCAAACACATCTCATATCTTTCAAGTACAAAGATAATAAACTATGTTGTAACTTTTAAAGCTGAACAAAGTGCAAAGTCTGGATCAGTTTATCTTAATTTGGAACAGTCCAATAAAAAATTTAAGGACTTTAATATAAAAAAAAAGAAGAAAAGAACTACCAACAGTATAAAGCTTTGTGATTGCACAGATATGCAGGCTGGCCTGACTATATTGGCCTGACTCTAAACTGGCCTTACTCTATATTAGCCTGATACTAAAGTAGCCTGACTCTATATTGGCCTAACTCTATACTGGCCTGACTATATACTGACCTGACTGTATATTGGCCTGACTATATACTGGCCTGACTATATTTGGCCTGGCTCTATACTGGTTTGACTCTATATTGGCCTGACACTAAAGTAACTTGACTTTATACTAGCCTGACTGTATATTGGCCTGACTATATTGGCCTGACTGTATATTGGCCTGACTGTATATTGGCCTGACTGTATATTGGCCTGACACTTAAGTAACTTGACTTTAATTTTGGCCTGGCTTATTATTTGCCTGACTCTACATTGGCCTGCTGACTCTATATTGGCCTGCTGAATCTATACTGGCCTGACTCTGTACTGGCGTGAATCTATACTGGCCTAACTCTATATTGGCCTGACTCAATATTGGCCTAACTCGATATTGCCCTGACTATACTGGCCTGACTCTTTATTGGCCTGACTATATTTGCCTGACTCTATACTGCCCTGACTCTATATTGGCCTGACACTTAAGTAGCCTGACTCTATATTTGCCTGACTCTATACTGGCCTGACTCTATACTGGCCTGACTCTATACTGGCCTGACTCTATTCTGATCTGACTCTATATTGGCCTGACACTAAAGTAGCTTGACTATACTTGCCTGACTCTATATTGGCCTGACATTAAAGTAGCCTGACTCTATTCTGGTCTGACTCTATATTGGCCTGACACTAAATTAGCCTGACTTTACTGGCCTAACTCTATATTGGCCTGACATTAAAGTAGCCTGACTCTATTCTGGTCTGACTCTATATTGGCCTGACACTAAAGTAGCCTGACTATACTGGCCTGACTCTATATTGGCCTGACTCTATATTTGCCTGACTCTATACTGATGGCAAATGCTAATCATTTTCTGTCCATCAGGTAAAGAGTTAAGTGTATTTTTTTTCAAGGGTTATTTTTTTTTCAAATAAACTTAGATATGCAACTTATTTCTATGCATATTTTGATCGTTGTATCAGATATATAAAATACAGTATATTTCAAGAAATTTAAAAATGTATCTTTCAGAAATATTATTACAAAATAATGAAAATCCAGAATTTTTGAGAAATGTTTTTAAGATGAAGTTGTCATATTGATTATGAATTCATGGCCAAAACATAACCCTGGTTCTACAGTTTTAAATAAAAAATCAAAAATGATAATACTGAAAGTATTTCTATGAGGTTTTTGTATAGGAACAAATCAGCTCAATACAACAGTTATAGGAGATTGTTTTAGTGATAGACATTGTGTTTTATTTGCAGACGCATCAAGTTACGTCAGGAAAGATATGACATGGGAGAAGAGCAATCTGACTGGTAAATCAACACAAGACATTGATGAGTGAATCAACACAAGACATTGATGAGTGAATCAACACAAGACATTGATGAGTGAATCAACACAAGATACTGATGACTGAATCAACACAATGTATTGATTAGTAAATCGACAATACAAAACATTAATGAGTGAATCAACAAAAGACATTGATGAGTGAATCAACACAATGTATTGATCAGCGAATTAACACTTAATACGAACAAATGAATCAACACAATGTATTATAATAATGAGTGAATCAACACAATTCATTAATGAGTGAATCAACACAAGACATTGATGAATGGATCAACACAAAATATTGATGGGAGAATTAACACAAGATATTGATGAATGGATGTACACACAACATTGATGAGTCCATTAACATCAAATCATACAACACATTAAAACTATTGTTAAGGTTAGTTATTCAAAACAAAAAAAAAATAGGACCATCATCTTTGTGAAATTAAAAAAAAATATATTTGTTTGTGTGCTGTTATAATATACTTCAAAGAAAAATTGTGTTAAATTTCCGAAATGAAACCTAATGAATATGTTAATGTTGCCTGAGATTATAAGATTATGATGTCAGATTGGTTGTAACTTTATTTACATAAAGAATCTTATACAATACCCTATTACTGAGACATTTGTTTCCAGTGATTTACTAACTGATCAATCAGTACTGTTACAGTTAATTAATAAAGTTATTTTATATTTTATATAAATTACAGAAAACGTTTGATTTCAAGATTTTGATACACAGAGTGATTTTGAGATGTTTTTTTTTAATTTAACAGTTTTACATAAATATGAAAAATATAGTAGCATTTTTGCTTTCATTGGCATTTAATTTTATTATTTTTATAACTATAAAATACTTGTAAATGTGTCAAAAACAAATGACAATGATTAACAGTAAATAAAAGATTAGTCTTTTATTTATACATGGATAATTGAATAAAACAATCTTATTTGGGTTCATGGTGGTATATATAATTTATACAGAAATCCACTTTAAACCAACCTTGAACTTTTAGTATAGGAAGGTTGTGTTTAAAAGAGAACAGATGGGTCAATTACTTGTAAGTAGATAAGGAACACAGATAACTTATTTATGTTTCAATTAAAAGCAGGTTTATCTCAGCTCAGTGTATTTTAAAATCATAAAGTTTGAGATATTATATCTCCAAAATCCATGACTTTTTTCCCTCTTTAAATATATTTTGAAAACTTTCTCACTTCAAAAATAAAGTCGTTCATCTTTTGAATTTATATACTTTGTTGCTGTTATTTTGTTTTTCATTTGAGTTTGTTTTTGTCTATAAATCTTTCTTGTTATTTAGCTGCATGTGAATTCAAGGGTTATGATTTTATAACTTTTATTCAAGTTTTATTACATTAAATGTGTGTAAACAAGCTCATTATAATGTTATACTAGCATCTGTTCCAGTCTGCTAGACTGACATCTGCTGAATTTGAATTATACTGTTAAACCTGTGGTATGAGAACACCTCAGACTGTATTATACTGTAAAACCTGTGGTGTGACACCACCTCAGACTTTATTATACATGTATGTCCATTTTCCCTTTTGATCTCATACGGTGTTAACTTACCTTTTTTGTCAACAACTTCCATAACTCATTCTGTAAGTGAACTGCTATTTATTGTTGTTTGATATGACTTTTCTATATTTCAAATATTTATGCTTTAAAGAAAACTGGTCAACATGTTTTAAAGTTGCATGCCCCCAGGTTAGTCAATATATTTAAAGAAAATTTAACTTCAGAAAATGTTCTAAGATTTTAAGGAAAGTAAAAAGATTCAAGTAACAATTTATATGTTTTGTGTGATTAACAACTGCTTTTGCAGTATTTATCATCATAATTCTACTGCGTTACTAACATAGTAAAGTTTATCCTGTTTTTGGTAATTTACGTGGATCGTTAAATGTTATTTGCAATTGTAAGATTACTTTCTTTGTTCCCTTCAAAATGTTTAGCTTTTAAATACATTTTTAAAGTTTTCATGAAAATTAGCATGAATCTGGAGGCATGCTGCTTTAATATTTTTTGTGATACGTTTTATACAACAATATATTGTGATAAATTTTAAGTATTTAATTGTTTGTATATATTTCTACTTTTTGAACATATTTTATGTATTCATTATTTAGTTTTGTTGTATACTTGATCAAAAGAATCAGACACTTTTGTGTTTCTATAAAATAAAGCTTTTGATACATCGATGTTTGTTTGTTACAGTTTTTAGTACACAAGGTTTTGAGGTATGTCATAGATCTTGAACCACAGGCCCTCTGAGTTTTAGACATTACTGTAATGCACCAGATTCTTAACATAGGGTTTTTTTTTCAGCTAAAAATTACAAAGGATTTGACATACTAAATGTTATAATCAGGGCTTTGCTGGTGTCAAAGTTGAATATCTCTTCTGTTCTTAAAAGATGGATGACTGGGGTTACATAATTATGGTAGGTGTATAGTATAAAACTTCCCCCCACAAACACACACACATATTACTGGTATATTTAGAGAGCAGCAGTATATATATATTTGGATGTTATCAGTTTGGGGTTTAAGTCCCCTTTTGTTAAAATCTTAACCTTCTGTTAATCTCCCCCAGATAACATTGAAGACATATAGGTTTAACTATTAACTTGAAATCCCTGCATTGAGGATTTCAATAAAATCTTTTTAAGTTTTTATCATTTAGAAACAGAATAGAAGAAGATGCAAATTAAAGGCATACTGATTTTACATTTCAGACAATACTTGTTGAAACAGGTTAAAAACCCAACCTGTTTATTATAGTCATTATGTCAAAATTAAGTATAAGATACCTAACAAGAGTTTAGCTTAGATGGGGCAATATACATCCTGAATTGCAAATTTACACAGGGTACTATCATGAACAAAAAATGTGAGTTGAAGATCAATACTGAATTCATTGGTGAAAATTTGCATTGATGACAACTTTCCAGTGTAATATTTTTTGAGGGAACAAGATTACATATAGGCTATTAGAATGTAATGAAACTTATTTGATTTTATTTTACGAAACAAAGTTATATCAAATTTGCAATAGGTTAATTTAAGAGAAAATCAAACTAAGGATCAAATATTTGCATGCCAAATATAAATACAATCAATGAAATGCTTCAAAAGTTATTCAGCCAAAACCAATAATTTGACAGAATATTTGCTTAAAAGAGGCATATTCTCTTATCTGTTATAAGTTCAATCAGAGCACCTGGATAGTTTGACGAAAGAGGGTCAAAGAGATGCGACCGTTTTATGTTGATTGTAGTTAATTTGAAACGTGTAACATTTTTCATAGCATGCAAAAATATAACGACAATCACTGAAATCCTTAAAGCTATCATTACAGAAACCAATAATTTCACAGAAAATATGTTTAAAAAGGGTCATAACTCTTATCAATTATTAATTTTGATACTTACATGCAAAAGATAAAAACAATCAAAAGTTATACTACTGAAACCCATTATGATTTCAATCCAAATTGGATCAAAAAAGGGACATAACTATAAATAATAAGCTGATTGCAGCCAAAGTCAAACTTAAACTGTGTTTTGATATAACATATACATACATGCCAAATATAAACAAGTTATTGATATCCTTCAAAAGTTATCATATAGAAACCAATTGTGTAAGGACAGATGGACAGACATGCGACCAAAATGGAATAAGAAACCATTTCTTTTAATTCACTTTGTTTCATCTTATAAAGGGCCATTGTGGCCTTTTATTCTATTGAATGATTTCTGTTGTTATCTTTGTACTATTTACAGTAAGGTGGCCACCTATTTATTTTTGGTAGTGCAGACAGACAGATAGACAGACAGAGTCTGATGATTGCCGTTTCATAAAATGTTCTGAAGATCTTTAGGGTCCCGAAGTTCATGGACTGTATGAAACTAACCAAAAATATTTTCATATTTAAGCTATTTTACTTTAACAGTCTGTGCATACGTCTGCACAAAGAGAGAAAATTATTATCATCAAATGTGTAAGATTAAAGGCCAAAACTGACAAAACTTTAATATAACATGACATAACAAATGCATGATCATAATTAATTTCCCATGCAGAGGCCTAAATTTACCATTGGAAGTTATTTGAATTTTAACCTCCCAGTTTCAATTTTTATAATAACAAGAGTATTGTTTACTAACGTTCTCAGATGTTTACAAACATGTAATAAAAAACGTCCCTTACTTCTGCTTTTACACTGCTAAACCTTGTTTTTTTTTTTACCTTGACATTGAAGGATATAAACTATAAACTCTTGATGTAACTATATGGACCTGTAAACCTGATACTTACTGACCTGTTATATTTTATACAAAAACTTAACACCAATGGTGTTTTTCTTTTTGTTCTTTTTTACATTAGATTAATATCAAATCCAGTATTTTACCATAATCTGTCAATTTGGCAATGTTGCATAAAGTTAACCAATAGAAATTCTTCAAAGCATGTTAAATGATAGCCACAGGTAAAACATACATGTCTTATATCATAAAACTTATACCTCAATATATTTGTTCAACAAAATAAACATAGTAGCAAATAAAGTTAAAATTTCCCTCAAGGAAAATTAAACACTTAGACTGCATTTGAAATTGCCTCAGTGATATTTATAAAATTAGATAGTATTTCATGCAGTATTGATTGGTAGTTATTATTTTCTGTTTAGGAAAACCAACATGTTTATAACCTATATCTGACGCATGTTTACTATTATTGTTGACAATAAAGTTGGCTGGGGACTGTCTCAAAACACACTTCACATGACCTCTGTCTTCTACAGCTATGATTATGTTGGTATAACCTCAGTATAAATAAAAATTTATATCAAGGACTTGTACATAAATTTTCCTCTATTTAAACACAGGTGCACACAATTTTATTAGCTGAACACTTCAATTTTAGTTTGAATATTTAGATAATCTATGCCAACTCTTTCACAATCAGCCAAATTAAGTTTATTTATACAAAAAAAACCCACTAATTTACTGACATGGCAGTACAGGAAATATTTTTTCTCGAGTTTTAAACAATTTGATGTAGGTCTATACTTATAACTTTAGTGCAAATTTTTAATCATTTGCTAACTATCTTTCCAGATTTATTGTTTCTATTGTGCAAAATTACCCTAAATATACTCTTTATCACTCAAATAGGGCTAAAAATTGCACCAAAATTGCACTGATTTTCAACTGTGTACAGTATTTCATTGTTGCCTGTTTTAAAAGCCCATGTTGATCTATGTACGATTTCCAAAATTTTATGTTTAATGCCTTATGACCCTCAGTCACATTTAGGCAGTAATATAAATTTGTGATCATGTTTTTCTGAACAAACTTTGCTTTCTTATTCAGCATTCCAAACTTGCAAGTGTATGTACAGTAGTTGGACCATCTTAACAATCAAGAATAAAAAGAAACCATTTGAGTGTTTTTTTCTTCAGTTACTTGATCATACATGTTGATACAACTATAAAACAATGCAACGGCAATACATCTTGCCAGTTTAAACCTTCACAAAAAGAAAATATGAATTTTTAACAATTTTTCATGATATTCTTTTAATGTTTTATCTCGCGTGTCTTTAGATTCTTGCGTTATTGAACAAATCTTCAGTTTTAAAACTTTTCCATGCTTGCAGCAAACAATTCTACCTATGGGCACCAGAGCAGATATCAAAGATATGCCAGCTCATTTCTGTTATCTTATAATGATCTGCAATATGATCTGTAATGTTTGCTATCTGGTTGGTTATATTTAGACATTTTACCTAAAACTGATACATGGATATCCATGAGGTATTCAGCATGGAAAGGGTTACTGGGATTTCGGATATTTGTTTTACAAGGTAGCTTTAATTATGGTTATACACCATACAGTCTAGAGTACTTCTCTTCTTATAATAGATCCATCAATGTGCATAGATGTCTGTCAAACACTTAATTTGATCAAACAGTAGATTGGTTAGATAAACATTTCAAACAAACAGTACACTTTTATTTTAGCACACATTCAATTGAAAACAAACAGGGCACATTCATTTTTCATTTTTTTTTTATTTGAAATAGAGCAGTTGAATTTTCAGTAAGTGTGAACACATTCTATATAATTATTTACTATTCAGAAAGGCCAGTCTGTATTACATTGTTCCCCCACACCTTTTCTTCCTGTTGTCCGAATAAAAAACTTGTTTCTACAGATGTCTCATATTTTAAGAATTTTGTTAAAGTTTGTTTTTCATCTATGTCTTCTTCTTTGTTCAATATAACATGCATGACAAACAAAATTAATCCCCGCAAAATAATTTTTTTACGGCTCTTAAACAAGTTTATTTAATTTAGTTATTGACGAACCTGGACAATAAATTTACAAAACACTCTACGGTATCAACTGAGTGAGCAACTCTGCTATGAAAACCTTCATCTAAATATCTTACACATTACACTGTAATACAGCCCTGGACTTCCTAATACAAACAATACATCATATCTTTTTTACTAAGTGAATATATATCAACAAGTGTATACATCAGACCAATGACCAAGCTTAAAAACGATTAAATGTTTTCACCACAAAACATAATAAATTTGTTTTTGATATATCTCTTGTAAGGTTCGATCTGAAACATTGCTATCCAAGCTGGATTTTAAAATGTTTCAACAAACTTGTTCAAAGTCATTATGAGGACACACAGTTGTTACCAAATAGGATTCAAACCCACTCTTCCTCTATGACGAGACCTTGACCAGTAGGCTATCTACTCCCCTTTCACTTTTGACTTATTTAAAATTTCAAACATTTTTTTTTTATCCTTACAAAAATCAAATTTAATGCATAACAATGCGTAACAAGAAAACATGTCTTAAAACTTACATGAAAATCTTTAATAACAGATATAACTGTAGATAGCATAATGTAATACTGAGATTTCAACAACAGCCCTATACCTTTGTTTCAAACGATAAAAAAGAAAAGAAAAATGATGTAAGAAGATTATCATTCCAATAGGTTAATAAACATGCTTTAGGTCTTTCAAAGACTCAAACCAGTACCATTTAAGTCTTTCTAATTTTAGTATAAAAAAGACCATGTACTTTACCCCCAACCAATATTATGGCATGCCCCAAGCCCCTAACAGTTCACCTAGCAATCCTACCTCCTTTAGTCCGGAACTGCAGTGAGGTGTTTTGAAACAGCTTTCCTCATTTAACCAAATCAAATGACTAGATGTTTGAAAATTTAGCAGAGAATATTATTATCAGACCTCATGTGATCTATTTACTGTAGTATTATTTTCTATGTCAAGAGGGTAGCAGTCTGTATTGTCACATGGCAACATGACATTTCCTACCTGCTGACATTACAAAATAACCCTTATATGCATATACCAGGTTCTTTTTATTTTAGTTATTTTTTGAAATGTCTATCTTGAACCTTGATATGTTTGTTATAATAAAATAAATATCACATCCCACTGAGAGTGATACAACAGAATGTTCACATTTGACAATGTCAACAGAGGCTTTGTTCTCTTGTCCCCGTTCTATCACTCTCTCTATGATAAGATATTTATATTATTATATAGATAATCAAAAATAAAGTTCAAATGGAATGGTAAAGAAATGTTAAATAGATAGTAAATAGATAAAAAAAACTCCAAAAATACTCATATTTTCTGCTAATAAAAAATGAGAGGTAAAAATCATAAGTAAAAAAAAGATTAAGCAAGATGAGTGAAGACCAACACAAGAAATGGGTGTGCTAATAAATAAATGCAAAATGTAAATGTTATATAGACCACACATGCTCATAGAAAAATGAAGCTTTCAAAAAAATTACATTTTATGCAGTGTTTCAATCCTGGAAAAAATATTCTATTTGTAAGTTGAGTGATACAATTCTATTCTAATTCAATATGGTTGTTAAGTAGATTAATATAAAACCTTTCTATATCAATTCTATAAGAAGTGGGTTATTTTCATACCACACTTGAAAAGCTCATATTAAAACACCTTTCTTAATTCTGTTACATAACTACAAAACAACTCAGAAAAGCTAATTATGTTTTAAGAAGAAAATAAGAGAAAATTGGAAAATGTAAGTGATAAAGTGATAAACTGCAACTATTGTAAAAGGGTAGTAGTTATTCCAAAACATTAAATCTATTATAAAAATCTTATAATCATGACTAACCATCGTGTTTCCTGCACTTTATGCTTTACAAACTTTTGATAAATCAATTCAAGTTGTAAGGCTTAAGCAATTCATATCTCTTATAGCATGCAAGATCTCTTCTTATTTTAGACATAATACAGAAACAACACCCCCCCCCCCCTCCTTAACCAACAATGATACTAAAGTCATGGAAAACTGGGATGAATAAATCACTTAAAATACATAATTTAAAATCAATATTGCTTTTTACCAAGTCAATGTACGTCTCGTTTAATCAATTTCAGGGACTTTACTTTCATGATTCTGATAAAATAACAGTACATCAGTGATTGAATATATCTACAAAATACATTACATAATTCACTAAATCAAGATATTATTGTTTAATTTTTCAATAAAGAAAATAGCACTTCAAAATTCATTAACATAACAAAACATGACAGCACTTTTTTCACATCAGAAATTTGTTAAATGTTCATTGTACAATATGTAAAACTGGTAACAAAAATTAAAAACATTAACATACAAGAGAATGTAAATTTTACAAAACCTAATATATTAGATGCCATTCACACTAATCTCACCAAGTGAATTATCCGTCCACTTCTTTACACATTTTGTTTTCACCTCAATTACACAAAAATCTATGTACATCGTTATATTGACAAGCTGCACCTTCTACCAACATGATTTCCAAGTTTATATTTTTTCTACTATAGTTTTGAAAGTCAGGTATCTTCCTGCTGCAGATACAATGCCCAAATATGTTCAAACCAATCATGTCGGACACTCAAGTCACATGACATACCGTGTGACCATTCCAAGGCAGCAATTTTGAAAGAGGTCAATCACAGAATTGCTGGTTTAATTCTTCCTCCATCACCCTCAGAAACAAAACGTTTTCTGCCCCTAAAAAATTAAAAGATTTTTCAAATTAAGGGTATTTCAATTATATATCATATAAGTATCATAAATTGTGTTAAAAGTATCTATCTTAAAACAATCTAGTTAAAAGTATATATCTTAAAACAATCTGTCCTAAAACCATTTTTGTCTTCAATGTCAAAATGACAGTAACATAATAATAATTGAAACATGGTATAAATCAATGTATTTCATGTTAAACAGTACTTTTTAAGCAACCTGGGCCAAAACACCATTTTTGGGGAAGGGGCCTCAGCCTTTTTCTTGGGAAAAATATGCTTGATTTTGGCATACTTTGGGAAAAGAGGTCTCAAATTTAACACAAACTTTTAACAAGGTCTTCAATATAGGAAAGCAAAAACCACTGGGAAATACTTATAAGGCAGTAAAAGACCTTAATTCAACACCATCATTTAATTTTGTTCTAAATTCTATGGGAAATTTCAAAAGACTGGGGAATTTTGAGGACCAAATTGGGGAAAAAAAGAGGCTGGTTTGGTTGTGGAAGAGCCTATATTCGGCCTCTACAAAGAAGGATTTTTTGGCCCTGGCAACACAATGTTAAACTTTGTTATCAAATCAAGTCTGAGTAAAAGTTGGTAAACACTGAAATAGCCTCTTTAAATATGTTGACAATAACATTTTTTTTATCAAGTTGTCTGTTTGCAGAGGTGTTACGAAACAACCACATTATATTGTTCAAGTTAATATAAACTGAAAATACATCTCAGATGTTGCAATTCAATTACAGTATTCAAAAATGCCTTTACATCACTTTTGTATAACAAAGATTGTCATGTATTTAAGCAAAAGAATTAACAAACTGCTTGCGGGCAAAATATATACAAAGATGAATTTAGGTAAGCTAGTTCTTATCTAAAGCTAAACCTGCTGTCAGGTGGTTTTGTTAATGATTTTGCCCAGCCTTGACTAAAGACTAGCCATTTTAAGGGATTTCATTATCAAGATCCCAAAATTGAGCTACTAACAGTTTCAAAGCCTCAGGTCAGACTTTACAGATGTGCAGGCTGGGCTGGCTCTATTAGTAGCAGCAAAGACTTATTCCAGTGATTCACGAGTTAATAATGCCTCATTTATATACTTTCTAGGTAAAGCATGATTTAAAGGGAATTTAAAATCAAAATACATGAATTATATGCTGCCAAAGTTCAGAGTCTGGTCAAATAACTCAGAAAGAACTGAATAGCTCCATCCTAGTGTCTCAAGTTTCTCTTGCCACTTGAGATCAGAAGTTAAAATTTATTGTTGAAATGAACCTACCCCTTCGGAAGATCTCTGTATGTTGGTGGGGACATAACTCCGTCTCGGTGACACATTTCACCAAATCTTTCTAGTATCACATAAGCATTCGGGACGTCTAAGTTGATATCTGGCATGTTATCAAACACTCTCTTGAATCCCTGAAACAGAAAAACTATTAATGATCAACAGTTTTCTAGATTATGTGAATAAGTTTACAAAACCACTTCCCACTTACATTTTCTAAACAGGCAACACTACAAATTTCACCATTTTTCAAAATGATGATACAACGGCTTTTTTACAAAACAGCAATAACACATCAAAGTAAAAATTTCTTTATCTACCAGACACAACAAAACATTTTTCATGGAGACTTCATCTCTGTGATATTAGATTTTCATTCATTTACAGAAAATGTTGTGCAAGTTTTTTAATCTTCTTACTCTTACCCTCTCATCATGGAGAAGAAAAAAAAATTTGCCTTAAATGACATTAAACATTTTTCACTACAAAAGAATAAGTAGAATTGTGAATAAGAAACAAATATAGTGATTAAATATAACTTGAATATTTTTTTTTTTGGTATATCCTCTGTAATTTGATAGTTGAAACAACCTTGTAATGTCATCAACAATAATTTTTATCTGCTAACATGAAATATGAATACCTGAGACATTTGTTCGGGAGTGATGTAACAGGCTTCGCTGAGCGACTGTAAAAATTTCACCATTCTTTCGGCTGATCTTTCTGTACCATCCTCAATCACCATCACTGTTGCCTGTTTTATATCAAACAATTTATTAACAAGTCAATTAATACCAATAATTGCAACTATCTGAAGTAAAAAGTTATTTAAGTAGCAGTGTATTTAACCCCTTGACACCATAATTGACTTGACACCATAATTGACTTGACTTGACACCATAATTGAAGGCAAAAGCAAGAAAATATGTAGAACTACCAAGCCTTTTCCTAGTCAAGTTTACTGGAAAATAAATTATCACATGTAAAAATACTTCATCACAAGTAAAAGGTCAATGATGACACAAAATTCAAACTCACGTCATTGAGAAGGACAAGAAATTATTAGTTTGTTGCCTTAACCGCTTAGCTTACTGGTGGCAAAACTGGTGGCAAAGTAATTCAACCCATGAGACCAGTTCGCTTTTTCATTGTTTCTGTATTTTGAAATTTTTGGGTTTGTCCAGATTGAAACATAGACAAGACCATTTAAAATATTTAGTGGTAAGAGTTATGCATTTGAGCTTGTTTGTGTTAAAATGTAATATGGCAACATTCGAGATTTACAGGTATTTAGCGTAAGTGTATATGCAATTCTGCAAAACATTTGTACAACCACCAATTTCACATTTCCCATATAGAACATCATAGAACAGCATTCAAACCCCTATCAGTGGGGTTTGGGGGTGGGGGAAGTGAGCAACCGTACCCACTTTGAACACAGACAACCATTAGAATAGTATTACCTCATAGACTAGTTCATGATGAAAGTGAGGTACTTCTAATTCTTGCAAACATCTTGTTGCCTCCTTCACGTCACTTGATGACAAGTATTCCTTCAGTAACAACACCATCTACAAAATATGAACAAAACAACAATAAGAGATTATGATGTTCAACATTTTTCCTCAGATGGTTAATGTGTATTCTGTCACAGACTTTATCCTTTAAACCTTTGCCACTTAATTTGATCAAGATATAATGAAGTTTTATTATGCAACAATTTGTTTGTATGTGGCTCTACAATGTCCTTTATACTGCCCAAATGATAATACAAGTAAGTAAATCTCACAATTTTAATAAGTGTTACCATTGGCCATTTGAAACTATTCCACTTTGCATGTCTTATTTTTGACTAATTTTCAGTCATTCAAATCTGCTTTACAGCTTATGATGACTATGTCCAGATCATTTTCCTTTGTTGAATATACACTAGTTTACCTGTTTGATTAAATATTTGACAGGTCTGATTCCACCCCCTGTTCCCCAGATGTTGTCCAATCGTACAATGCCATGTTTCTGACTAAGTAAAAGCTCCGCCTTTTCTAGTGCCTCTTGTTTAGCCTCATTGTCCACAAAACCTTTGTAAGTCTGGATATATTTCGGTGGTAAACAGTCATCAGCAACAGCTCTCGCAAGGAACATGCCCATTACCTACAACACAATATTGATCTCTATTTAAGTGCATGGAGTCCAACACTGGGTTTTTAGTCCAATCATCACAGCAGAAGCTATGAGGCAACATTCCAGCTTTACTGGTAAATGCAGACCAAAGAATTATTTATGGCAAATGCTGCCACATACATGCAACCATCCAACTGCTATGAGCTAGCTTGTTGTTTTTTCACATATAGGCTTAGTTAATTAAATCTAGCTCTTTGGGTTTTTTGAAAGAGGATTTTTTAAGTTTTTACTATACACATATAAGGAAAATCAATGACAACTTTGGCAGGGCCCAATTTTGACCCCAGGGCTTTCATTTGAACAAACTTGGTAGACACTGACTAGACAATGTTTCATGCCAAATATTTAAGCTCTAGCTCTTTAGGTTTTTTAAAATAAGATTTTTTAAGTTTTTTCTTTCGGTTGCCATGGCAACCAGAGTTCTGCATGAAATTATATTCTTTGAACAATTTTTACCAAAGGAACATTCCTGTGAAGTCTGGATGAAATTGGCTCAGTGGTTTATGAGGAGATGTCGTTTAAAGTAAAAGTTTATGGACAGATGCCGGACAGCCTCAAAGTTTGGTATTTAATTGGCAACTCTTTTGTTCTCCCTTTTGTTCTTTTAGCCATGTAAGAGAAAAAATAGCCACATTAGAGCTTACTGAATAAATAGCATCAAAGGAAATTTACTGTTATATATTGTTCCCATAGCCACATAAGTATCTATACGTTTGTACAGACGGACGGATGGACACCAGACAAAAAGTGGTCACAAAAACTCACCATGTCACTTTGTGACAGGTGAGCTAAAAAGTTTACATCAAGTATCCAAACATTTTCTTAAAGGAAACTAAAATGTCAAATCTTCCCTATCAAATAGTTACAAATTTGAACATAAATATTATATTTAGTTTTTTTTTTCATACAAATTACAAATGTACAATCAATCAGTCATGCTAATTTGCATGCAAACTACTAAGTCAAACTTCAAGAGTTTAAATTTAACATCTTTTATTGAACTTTATTTTTCACAAAGCATACATTCACTATTATGTACTTAGGAGTAAACACCCAACAACTGCAGTGTTGAATACTGACTAATATCTTTGAAATAGTCATAAGTGTTTCATGATTTTTCTCTCATCTTTCCATTATTATGATCATCAAGATCTCTTTAGAAAATCTAACATTAATAAATTCATATCACTGGTCAACCTTGTACACTTTCTGTGTAAAATAATTTCATTGAAATGGTATAATTTATTATAAAGTTTTTTGAAAATGCCAAGTTTGTTTGTTTGTTTTGGCTTTTACGTCACATAGACACAGTATAGATCATATCCCGATGTTCCAGCTTTACTGGTGGAGGAAGACCTCAGGTGCCCTTCCGTGCATAATTTCAGACACGAACGGGTACCTGAGTAGAACCACTGACGTTCCACATGCTAGCCGGATAGCTTCCTCACATGAAAGAATCCAAAGTCCCTGTCTGGATTCGAACCCACAGAGGTGAGGGGCAAGTGGTTTGAAGTCAATGACCTTAACCACTTGGCCACGGACGCCCCTTAAAATGCCAAGTATAAAAAGTTTAAAGAAAGAAATTTTAAGGTTTTTACCTTTGGAGCTTCTGGTGAGTCAATAACAAGATCTGCCAGTATGTTGAGCAAATTATCAAAACCTTTCTGTATATCTTTTGCCACTATCACTTTACTATACAAGTCTGAGATCAGAATGGATACAAGTTCACGGTGACAGGCCTTACGATCCAACGCTAAACTCACAGCTAACTCGACTATCCGTGGCTTCATCTTAGATATGTTTAATTCCTCTAAACTTGTCTGAAAAAAAAGTGATGTTTAAAGTTTATTAATTGAGCTTCAAGAACCCTGTTATGCAACCTTTGTTATGATAAATTTATACAAAGTCAAATTGATCAATCACATGCTGTTCTTTGTGTGCATGTTTTTTTTCCAAATATTCAACAAAATATGAAAATTTGACATTACATATTTTCGTATCATTTAATCAAATTCTTTGTTTAAATCTCTACAGTAAAATCTTCCAGCTGTGAAAAAAGCACTTTAAATGAAAACCTTGTTAAATATGAACTGTAAACTATGAAGAACTTCCAGAAAAGCTTACCTCAACTTCTTTTGTTATGCTGTGATCAAAATATTCAAGGAGAATAGGAGTTACAATACGGTCAAACTCGTCTGCTGTTACCACAGGTTCTATCTTTTCCACCACATAATCTCCCTATATCAAAGACACAAAAAATTAAATCTTCATGTTTAGGTGACTACCAAATCAGGTAAATTTGGTGCACATAATTATGGAGTATCTTCACATTTAAGTAGCATTATAAGGACTATACTATTTCCTTCACATTTTTTTATGTGCTACAAAATAAAATTCATGTTTGTAGGTTGTTTTTTCTTGAAATCGCACAGATCTCTAATTATGTTTTTATTATAAACAAGTTCAAAGAACACCAGCCCATTTACATGGAATTGATAAAACTTGGTTAGTAACCGTTAAATGATTGCAGACATGGGGAAACGAGATGACAACGATGGTATGATACAGACCTGGGGTAATCATCAACTGTAATCATTGATTTTGTAATTGATTACATGATTCTCTGTAATCATCATGTAATTGATTACCTTGCCCAAAACTGATTACATTAATTGTAATTAATCAATTACAGCTTAAATTCAGTCAGTAATTATGATTACATTTTGATTGACATTGATTACTTTCAGATTTAAAAGGAAACTATTTAAGTTCAAAGGATGCCTTTATTTTAAATTATACAGTTTAACTTTTGTTTTTTAGTTATACAGTAAAAATCCTCAATTAGACTGATAAAAATGAACATTCTTATCATTGCTTACATACTTTAAGACCATGGTCTACTTTAGTCATTTTGTATGAAATTAAATGAACAATATGTTTATTTATATGTATCTACAAATACATTATAAAAGAAACTATCAAAGAATGCTTTGATATTTAATCTGATAAAAGGAAAACCTATTTCTGGAGAAATTTAACGTTAATTTTACAGTATCACTTATTATATGATGTACATAAATCAAATGAAAATTTAAATTTTCAAAAAAATAAATGTGCTGAAAGCAACAATGTACCACTCTAAAATTGACCTTCTCACCTAATTTCATACAATAACCCAATAACAGTTTTTCACACCTTGTGAAATCAAGTGTCATGCTAAAGAGCATTCAAGCAGATCATAACAAATTTAAGATCTAGATAGGTGTTGACTTCTGAATATCAGAGGTCTCAATAGTCACATTAAAATTAAAACAAAAAATTGGACTGGCTAATAATGGTGGTCTTAAAAGTGAATAAGCAGGGGGTTAAATCTGGATCACGAAACCATTGACTTAAAGAATATTTTAAAGATGGTCTTAATAGCAGGGTGGTCTTAATTCTGGGGTGGTTTAATGTACATTCAATGTAATCAATTATCAATCAATTACTCTCTTAAAAGTAATTGTAATTCAATTGATTACAGAGGCAAATGTGAGTAATCAATCTTAATCAATTACAATAAAATCTGAAAGTAATTGTAATTTAATCAATTACTGATCAATGTAATCATCCCCAGGTCTGGTATGATAATAGTCGCGCTTGTTTATTGTTTTCATTCGAGTTATGTTTCTTTCTTCAGTCTTTCAAAAAATACGTTTGTCCTTATATTCCTGGAAGATATTGTTAGTGTATTGCGATACCTTCCCGCTGTATCGATACATCGGGAGGTGAAATATATATTGCATCGCAATATATTGGAATTTTTAATTTCATTACGATGCATACATCGGGGACAAGAAAGATCGCGATGAATCGTTACACCTCTACTTCTAACAAGTTTGCTTGTCACCTTTACCTCTTATTTATCATAAAATATTTACATTCCACTTAAAATGTTATTTTTTCACAACTAATGATCTACATGTAGGAGTCACTTATTTTCTGGTAGAGCTTTAATTTTAAAGAAAACTTAAAAATCATATTACAAACCTGACTGTCAGAGTCATAGTTTGGATCATTGGCATCTCTACAGCTTCCATCAACAAACAATTCATCCCCAGGAGCTCCCCATGTCCCTTTGCCACCAGCACCTCCTATCAAGCAAACATTATTTTAATATTATCATAACTTGTGTAAAAGAAATTGCAATTTTATAACAGGCAACTACAATTAGAGAACCCATGGCATGTTTGAAAAAAAACAACAAAATGTTTTGAAAGTGGAATATCTCAAGATAGTGACAAAATGGTGGAAACCTAGTTGTCCCAGATCAGTCGTCATCAAAGATGGATATATTTATCAAACATATTTAGATCTATAGGTTCTTTATTCCCAAAATATGCAATTTTCAAAAATGTATCCATTAACTAAAGTTCAGAATTTTATTCTGTATCTGCTTCATACAATATGGAGTTCAGTAACATTCAGATTTTCAAAATTATTATCCATAAGTAGGTCAGACTTGAGAAAAATATTTACACTCTCACAAAATGCTAACCTTGAGATGACCCCTGCTAAGATTTCATGAGGTCAGCTGACTTAATTATTTTGTAAGCCATCATAAATAAGGTCAATCTGTACAGTATCTCTCTCTGAATCACATATTTCTATGAAAATGTAATTAAGGCCGAAAAATTGTCTCAGGCCAGGTATTATAAACGCAATTAGTTCATCGACTCCTCTAATATCGAAAGTAGGTCAAACACTCGTGAACACAACCAATTTAAAAACACGATTTTATTGAACAAAATCAAAGTAGCAGTGTTTCACTATATGCTGACTGAATATGTATTTGCAAACCTTTATATTCTAAGAATGTTCATGTAATGACAAGATACCCTAAAACAAAATTTCACCTTTCTTTGGATCTCCTCTGCCTCGGCCATCTCGGGATTTTCTGCTATTTTTCGCTACTGGAAGACGCTCTGTTTGAGCATTATTTTGAGTTGCATCCCCTCCAGAGTTGGTCCTTTGGGTTCTTTTAGCTTTTCTTATGAGTCTTATTGGTTTTGCAGGGTCCTCTAGAGAACTCATCGGATCAACGTCGCCAGAAATCGCCATCTCTTCTTGTTCATCTACGTCGCCATTTTGAAGAGCAATTTCGCCATTCTCCATTGCTAGTGCCATTTTATAGAAACGAACAACCTACCACACAAAACAGACCCCTAAAGAAGAATATGAATTGCTGATGAACAATTTTACACTGTCTTTTTTAGATGACTTTGCTTTAATTAGAAAATATTTGATATTTACTCGGTTTGCGTACACAGCTTTGTTGGTTGTTTACGTCCTCTGCATAAAATATATCACGTGACGAAATTATTACCGTTGATTGGCTGATAAAATGTGAAATTTCCCGGGGCTCTAATGTTTACATCGATCATTCGGGTTCATTCTGACTTTGAATTTTCGGAATCTTTGATGCACGTGAAACGTGCATTATGATGAATGTATTTAAATGACTGTCTGGTAACACAATTGTTATAAAGATTACATTGTGACAATTATCAACGAGTTTGGTAAAATTCAAAATGAAATAACTCAATTGTCTAATTGTATTAATTAGTGTCTAGGCCTAGAATTTATTTAAAATCAAAGGGCTGCAAGCTCTGTGGTATTTTCTGATCTTTGCAATCTAAATCATACTGACTATCTGTATATATTTTCCTGTATAAGTTTATTTTTATATACTATAATTCATCTTACGCAGCGACTGCGTATAGATTTTTTTCTGTAACAGTTTGAGATTGATACATACATGTATTGAATTTTGCATGACTAGAGTTGCATCAAAAAATCATTTTTCATTTTTTTATGACAGCCACCCTTTATCCTTGCATATCGTGGCTACTTTCTTAAAAAAGACACTTCAAAAAAAAAAAAGTTGCCTGGACTAGGATTTTGAACATATGGCCTCTCACACCCTAAACGAGCGCGTTACCTCTGCACCACGGTGAAGTAATACGTATGTAGCTTGAATAAAAACAAATGCATTGTGATTCTAAATTGAGAATTTCCATTTCGTGTTTGTCATCCTTATTAATTTCGAGGTATTTTGTTCATGATAAACCTGTGAAAATAATTTAGCGAAAATCTATACCGACATGTATATATTCCACTACTCGACAGTGTACTACGCTCTGGAGTATTCGGTAATCGACATAGCTAAAAATAGCATTTTCATTGATTAAGCTTTACGGAACTAGCCGAACATTTTTCATTGGGTAAAAAAGATATTCATCCGCGAAATTTGTGATTGCAACCTCATATTTCTATTGAGTAATCTAAACTTTTAATGCACTGAAATTCGTTTAATGCCTACATTAAAAATTATTCTTTCTTTTAAATTGCTGGTTTTTAAGCAGTTTTGAGTGAGAACTACTTTGCATTGTTAGGGCTGTTAGAAATTTTGTGTTAGACCGTGGATGTTAGCTTTGTATTTACTGATCTTGCGATCACAAAATACAAAAACCATTCAGTATTGAAATAGATCTAACTGTAAGAATATGCGAATCCAACTTTTCAAAGAGTTTTAAATCTGTTAAGGTAGATCTCTTCTGTAATTTTATTTCAAAAATAGGGGTCTACTTTAGAGACTGACAACCTGCAAAGTTGGCGACGGACTGGATTTTTTTCCCATTTCTGGTGGTTGAAATGCATCATTGTTGAAAAGTTTACCGCCTCTTCTTGTAGAGATATATAGGATTGACATACATACAATGTACATGGATAATACACGTAGAATAGAATTAAAATTGCATAGTAGACAGTCCCCCCTCCAAAATGACCAAAAGGGGGAGTTGAAGATATTTTTAATTTTAACCCCCCCTCCAAAAGTTTTGGGGTTTTTTCCCACCCAAAAAAAGGGAAAAAAAAATGAAAACATAACTGAAATCTATTTTCAACACAAAAAACATTAAAATAGATGGGGGTCCAATTGGGAAATCTTTTTATTTTCGGGTTTTAAAAAACCTAGACGGGGAATTTTGTCAAAAAAACCTTACATGGGATGTCAACATAAACGGGACACCAAAGGGAAAGAAAATTTAAAAACCCTTTAAAGGTTTCCCTATCCCCATAGAAGAATATTGAAAACCCCTCCCCCAAACTTTAACCCACCCCCTGTTTTTATGGGTTATTCACAAACTCAGACAAATTAAAAATTTCCCTCCTTTTTTCCCCAAACGGAACCAGCCATAACTGGCATTGAACATGTCTCACCTTCCAATCTCCACGCAGTGTTCTCTTTAACCCATTACGCGATATACACGCCTTTTAACGCCTTTTTCACCCCCCCCCCTTTTTGTTGTCTCAAATGGTGAAAAAATGCCTTATTTAGGCCCCAACACTTGTTTTTGTTTGAGAAATGTTGTTAAAAAGTGGCCACTTTTTCGGCGCGGCCCCAACCAAAAGATACATTAGGGAGTTGCCAGAAGGGGGGGGGGGGGTTGAAGGGGGCGGAGTCCCCCTCGCCGCCAAGAAAATTTTGGACTTGTGAGAGGCTATAAATGACCCCAGATTGATCATAAGGTAACGTGTAACCAACGGTGGAAAGCATCTGACTCTATCTCAATCCATTGAGAAGTTGCAGCACTTTGAAATCAATTTTGATGGAAAAAAAATCAACGCAAAATAGTGATTTTTGGCAATTTAGCGTATTTTAATACACCTGTTAAAATCGATTAATTCTTGTGAATGATAAAGTTTTTATTTGAATCGAGTTGTTCTCTGGTTATATCAGCTTATCTCGTTGGTCAACGGTTTATTTTTTAGATTTTCTGATTGGATTAATTCAAATTTCTGTTATGGAATTTGATAGGTTGTTTAATTACCTATATATAGGTTATTTTGCTTTTGCTCGCCATTCTGTTACTTATTTTGTAGTCGAGATCACGTTCTAGTCTTTTTTGCCCACCCACCCTAGCCCATTTGGTTTAGCAATAAGTTTTTATTGCATTCACAGACATTTGGGGTTTGGAGCTCAAAACGCCTTTAAAATCCAAATAAAATGCATATTTGTCAATCCCAGCACATGTACTGATCATATATATCAAAAAAAACTTAATAAAAGCCGTTTTGAAAAAATTTCATATTTCAACATCTATAATAATACATTACATATAGAAGGTCACGTGATTTCAAGTGTAAACAGATATTTTTGGCGGAGAAAAAAATATTTTGAAAATGTGAAATGTATATGGAATAAAATGATTTAATATGTTATATCTTTTAATGGATACTTAAGTGTTGAGTGTTAAAAATGCTCGATGGGTAGAAAACAAAAGAATAAGCGTAAAAAGAGTGATAACAGTGACAATAATGACAGTATATGTAAGGCGGGAAGATATGCAACTTCGCCAGAGCAGGTTTGTGTCAGTAGTATTCTAAAAACGGCAAATTCTGTGCTATTTAATGACAGTAGTGATACAGAAGATAGTTTAAATCAAAGTAGAGACAGTGTGATAAATGAAAAATCGTCAATTAACGGAAATATGGCAACAGTGCATACCCCACCCACTAATACGGGACATGATATAAATGCTATTGGTGAAACATGTTCGCCCACAAATGCAGATTTGTTAATTTATTTGAAAAAGATAGATGAAAAAATTTGTAAAATGGAAAAAAAGTTAGATAAACTAGATGTTCTGGAGCAAAAAGTAAATAATTTTGAAAAAGAAATAAACAAAGTGTGGACAAATATCTGTTACAGTGGCACTCTACCCAAAGGTCATTCTCACGGTTAGTACTTTTCACTAGTCACTATTTGTACATGTACATGTAGTTTTGCATGCTTTTTTCATGCCTTTTCTGTATGCTGGACTCTCTCTTCTCTCTTGGACTCCGACGTGTACACACACCCTCTTTCGAGTAGAAGACTGTCAACTGTAGTTGATATTATATCAGGTAAGTGATATTATTGTCTACATTGTTTCATTTACTTGGTGCAAATCGTAACAATTGGCGCTGCGAGACTAAATTTGGTTTATTCTTGCGGGTTATTTTTTTATTTGTGATAAATTCTCAAGTAAATTTTGACAATTTTTTTGTTCATTTTGAAACTTTATATTTAATTTGTAAACCCCATTTTGACCATGTGGTAGCACATGTTTGAAATTTTTCTGGTAAAATTTGCATACCTATTATTACTATAGGCCTGCATTCTTGTTAGTGTATTTATTATTATTGATAAATACATTCATTTTTATAAGGTTTCTAATTATTTGTTTTTTGTTTTGAGTAGGTTAATTATTTGACATTACAGTGCTCCTTTATTTTAAGCCCTGTAACCCCCACTGCACATGCTCTCATAATTGTGTTAATTGTTAACACGTGCCATCATTCTTTTTCTTTAGGAAGTAAATAATATTTAGGTTTATACCATTTTAAGTGTTTACATTAACGTTAAACACTATTCTTTTGGTATTTCAATTAAGTTATTAGGTAATTTGACGCTAAATACTTATTTTCAGTTTACACTTAGTAAACTTTTTTCCTTTTTGTTGTTGTAGCACTTTGTTTTATACAGGTTCCACCCCCTATGCCATGTGCTTATAGTATTCATTAAATAATATTGTAAGCCTTTGTTTTATAAAGGGTAAACCCCATATGCCATGTGCTTATAGTATTCATTAATTAATATTGTAAGCCTTTGTTGATTTGTTTGCATTGTTGTAAACAATTTCATTTCATTTGTAGTATAAGGTTATATTTATATAACTTTTACAATAATTTACCTTAGTTTTTGTTCCCATATATATAAACATATATAAACATTTATAAACTTAGTTTCAATTGACAATGGGTAGTTTCCAAAGATTGCTCAACACAATGGACAAGGTGTCAGAGCAATTGGCTCTTTTGATAGCTAGAAGTGAGCCTGGCCAGACACCTTTGGCATACAGGCCACCAGGTCAAGTTAAGCAAAGCCAAGTAAGCCCCCCACCTGGTTTTAATAACGATCAATACACGGGCCGAGGCTTTGAACCATTACCAAAGGAAGTTGAGTACTCCAGCAGTACTCATAATGAGTCTGTCTACCCTGGACAGACCTCACCGAAATCTTTGACTGGTACCTGTACCCTACCACCACCCCCAGGATTTGAACCTTTATCAAAAGTAGTTGAGTATCCCAGCAGTACTCAAAAGTGAGACATCACCAAATTACTTGACTACAGGGTTTGAACCTCATGCTTCAAACTGTTTATGAGATAGACAATTTGACAGATGAACAGCTGGGATTCGAACCCTTGTCCGACAATTTGCAGGATGATATTGATGAGTTTTAGGTTTCATCAACAGCATTTGCCCCATAAATGACAGTAAAATCTGTGCTGAGTCTGCCCATGAACAGGGGACTCAAGTCCAAGAGCAAATGCAGACCAAGGAGTATCCGACATCCTCATTAACTAATGAGAGAACTTTTCAGTCCCATGATAATAAGAATAAGAAATCCTTGTTAACTTTACCTCTACCTCTACCTCAAGATAATCAATCTCATTTACTTGAGGTCTCTAATAGTGATGTTGGAGTGACCATACTTTCTTCACCTCCTTTTACCAAACTATTTTCACCTCCATTTTCTTTTGGTTACCTATATGGAGGCCCAAAAAAGGTTACATCTCATATCAATAGTGTAAGGTCACAGGTCATCAATTATAAAATATTCACTTCAAACATAAAATGTCTCATTTGTGGAAGTAAAGTTCAATTTGTTTACTTCTACCCTGATCCTGGAATCCTGAACAGATCTTAATTGGTGGTCAATGCCAAGGTTTGTGAGATAGATCAGCTAGTCTGTGCACTTTAGTTGGTCTGTCTGATAAACCTATCCTCTTGTGTGGGTAAAAATGGGACTAGTTAGCCCAGGCTGTGTACTTTAGTTAACTGGTTCCATTTTAGGTGCATTGTTGTGATACATTGGCCCAGGCTGTGTACTCTAGTCACTGTGTCATTGCAATGTATTCAGCTTTCATGTAATTGTCTGTTTAGTGACGTTTATATTCACTCAGATCTGCGACCCAGTCTGTGTACTTAAGTCAATGGTCTGTGCTGAATTTAATGTCTGTATTTGTCATTCATGTATTATGTATCTTTAGGTTGGATCTGCCCAGGCTGTGTACTTAAGTAGTGAAAACCTTAAGATGCATAATTTTTTTTTAATAAATTTTTCTAAGATTTTCTTTTTTTGATAAATTTTTCTTTTAGAATTAACAAACTTTGGTTATTTATGTGTGCATAAGGTAAAGCTTTTCCATATAAAAATAAGTCAATAGGTAAATTTATATTTAAAAAAAAAAAAAAAAAAAAAAGAGGATAAGAAAGTAAGAATATGTACTTAAAAGCCTAAAAGGCATTTCTTTTTGTCTTGTGTATCATGGTGCACGAGTCCTGCATATGCCTGCAGAGACTGCCAAAATTCAAAAACCTCTTAGGTGCAATTTTCTGAGTTTCACTCAGGGCATGGGAGATTCACTCTGGGGACAAACATGTCCATTTGGTTTTATATAGTCAATGGTTTTCTTCTGTTTATTGAAGTAACCTTGGCATGCGTTGTATGAGTGATCTCCTTTCCTATGTAGTGGAACAAGGGTAATGCACTCCAGAGACCCCACTATCTGTGAGGATGAATTAGTCTTCCTTAGAGGTTTTGACCATAGAGCAGGTTTAGAGCCCTTTAGGAGTATATCTTATTACCAGGTTACTTGTCCAGACAGAATTAGTCAATGCCTCCACTATACCGCATTGAAGAATTTAATCAGCTGTCTGGATACAACATGCAGGGAAAAACTTATACACCTGTATGACTACCGTCTCCCGGATGGCTCTGCACCTCCGAAAGGACATCCAGGGCTGGATGTGGTAATCACTGATTGCCATACTCACCTTGATGAGCTTTTTGGGAAATATGACCACCCACTAAGCTCACTGGAAATCTTGATGGATTCCCCGGTTAAGTTGCGGCATGTTATAGCCAATAATGTTTTTCTACTAAAATGCGGGACTGTAGGGACTCTTGTAATGGGCTAGCAGCCAAGCAAACCCTGTTGCTGTTTAGGGAGTTAAACTTAACTCATATGCCTGTTCAGCGACATTGTTTCATTGGCAGTTCTGAGGAATTTGTACAATGGAGTACTGTCCTTCCTAATTGCATGTTAAGTCTGTCCATGCGCTCCCTACAAGACCGGAATACGTGTGAAGCTTTAGTTCAACACGCTGATGCTAAAAGGTTACTCTTTGAGACAGATGCTCCCTATTTAGCTAAAGACCCTACAGAAGTTTATCAGGTTGCTAAAAAAGCATCACAACTTCTGAAAATCCCTTTGGAAGAATTTATATCTCAATGTTACCAAAATGCTTCCAAATTCTTCGGGTTACCTTCTTAAAATTATATTCACCAGTCTCAGTGAATATGACAGACTTTCTATCATCCAGTTACAAATATAATAATCTTAATTTGGTCACACCCTGTATATATCTTATATTAATAGTTATATATGGTTTTCATAGTAAATATTGGCTACACCCTATATATACAGTTGTTATTGAGCACTGTATGATGGTCAATGTAAAATAGTGGCACACCCTGTATCTACATAATATATATGTTGGCTATATTTTTCATATATATGGTTTTGGTCCACTTCATGTGCATGCCTTTGTTTTGTTGGTGCATTGCAGAAGTTCCTGTACTTCATTAATGCTTGGGTAAGTTGAAACCTTGCAGAGGTCCCAGCTTGCACGCTTTTGACACTGCATTGTTTTAACACAAAATTTACAATTCCTTTATTTGTTCACCCCAGTTTGCACACTCTTGGTGAACATGTTTGGGAATTTCCATTCTATTTTTCTAATCAAAGCCATTTTTATTTCAAAAATTATGTTATAACATTGTTGGGATTTTTTCTGGAGGAATGTACTACTGTAATAAAAATTCCCTCTTACTACTTATCCAAATTCTATATATTAAAATTACTGTATTTGGTATGATACTGTTAACAAACCTTTATATTTTTTACGGAGTCATCAACATGTAGTAAGTAATTGCGTGTATCATACTTTGTAGTTTAGTTATCCTAGTTACTCAGAGTTCAAACAATGCTAAAACTGAAAATTCCAATTAAAAAAAAAATATATATATACATGTATATAATATATAATATTTGACAAATTGTATGTTAAAAAAAGAAAGGTACAAATAATGTACAATCTACAAAAGGAAAAAATATATATGTACATTACATAAAAAAAAACAACATAACTATGAAAAAAATAATGTATGTACCATAGAAAGAAAAAAAAAAGGAAAGAAAAAAAGAATAGAATGTAAACAATGAACTGTCACTTCATGTTGATGTATATTTCAGTCTATAAATACTAGTAAACTTCATGACTGTGTAAATTCCAGTAAACATTTTATAAATAGGACTGCCAAACTATTTCAGCCAAAGTTCAGTCTGTAATTTTATTTTTAGTTTATGTCATGTAATTATGTTACTAACCCTTTGATATATACTTGCTTTACTGTAATGGTATTCTCACTTGGCATTGTTTGAACAATAACTATCTATCTACCCAATAATTATTTCCAAATTACATTATATTTTTTGGTCTGGTTTGTGTTTCTTTTCTTTCCATGTTATTGTTTTATTTGTCAAGTAGTACAATCCGTCAAGAGCTTTAGTGTCTAGTGGTGTTGGATTTGTGATATATTCTGCCCCTTTTATCTCGATGTATCAATCCGGCACTCTGTCAGGCTTAAGCTATTAAAAATGTATTTACTAACTTTTAAAATGAATGTTTGTAGTTTCTATACAATTAAACAAGGGATTATCAAAAGTGAAAACTTTCACTTCTTTAATTTTATATGGTTAATTTAAGATTCATGCAGTATTTTTTCACTCTGAAGATCTGTAAAGAATAAAGTTTATTGTTATTTTTTGTTTCGATAATCCTGTAAAAGTTTCATACTTATTCTTATTTAAAATAAGTATTGTTCATGTTCCTTTCTATATTTCATGTTAAATGAATAATTTATTTAGAGGGACTCTTATTAGTGACTCTTAGTTTTGAAGGAATTTTTTAGAGTTTAAATTGTCAAATTATTTTATCATTATTGAAGCTTTTTGTTAAAGGCATAATGGCATAATGGTTTGCTGTGTTACTCTTTGTAAATACACAATTTCAAGAGGTTTTCTATGACTTCTTTTCAGTACATTTTTGAACATTCAAATTCCAGTTCTTCTTTGTACTTATTACTTCTATTAAACTTTTTGATGAATCTTTTATAAGGTTAATCTTATAGTGACAATGCTAAACATTTCTATTTGTTAATTGTCTGGTCAATTGTTAAATGAGAGCATGCTAAGTTCTTTTTTCAAAGAAGGGGACGAGTGTTACAGTGGCACTCTACCCAAAGGTCATTCTCACGGTTAGTACTTTTCACTAGTCACTATTTGTACATGTACATGTAGTTTTGCATGCTTTTTTCATGCCTTTTCTGTATGCTGGACTCTCTCTTCTCTCTTGGACTCCGACGTGTACACACACCCTCTTTCGAGTAGAAGACTGTCAACTGTAGTTGATATTATATCAGGTAAGTGATATTATTGTCTACATTGTTTCATTTACTTGGTGCAAATCGTAACATATCCAAGACCAAAATAAAAAAATTGAAGAAAGATTCATGGTAGTTGAAGAAAAGGCAGAAAGTTCCGATTTCAATTTAGGCCTAACGAATGATAAACTAATTACAATGCAAAGAGAGAATAATGCTCTAAAAGATGATATTGTCTATTTACAATCGCAGTCAATGCGGAATAACCTTGTATTTGCGAACATCGACGAAAGCCCGTCAGGGGTGCTGGAAAATACGGAGCAAAAGTTAAGAGAATTTTTGGAGCAAAATATGAAGATAGCTAAAGAGCAGGTGGAGAGAATGGCTTTTGAGCGAGTACATCGGATGGGGAATAAAATACCAGGTAGAACAAGAAATATCGTTGCGAAATTTACATTTTTCAAAGAAAGAGAATTAGTTCGAAAACAATGGAAAACTTTAGATAAAACCAAATATTATGTTCATGAACAATTCCCCAAGGAAATTATTGCAAAGAGGCGAGAATTGGTGCCAAAGATGAAGGAAGCGAAGCGGAACGGTCACAATGCTTGGATCTCATATGATACGTTATATGTAAACGGAAAGGCGCAGCGCGATGAACGAAGCTAGGACCACGAAGGGGGTGGTTTGAACGTGTTGGCGTGGAACGTTAACGGACTGACGAACGTGAAAAAAGAATGTCAAGGATTTGTAGATATTATTGACAAAAATGATGTGATATTTTTGTTTGAAGCGTGGACAAATTCTAAAAGTATTGTAGATATTGAAGGTTATGTATCATATAATTTTTATCGAAAATATCAACATCGAAATGCTAAAAGATGTAGCGGAGGCGTTGTTATCTATGTTAAAGACAATTTAAAAAAAGGTATTTCAGTTGTTAGAAATAATCACGATTCTGTTATCTGGTTAAAGATAGATAAGTTTTTTTTCAATATAGAAAATGATATATATTTGTGTGGGGTTTACATATGGCCTGAAGGATCGCCATTTTATAATGTATGTAACGTTGATTTATTTGATGAAATTCAGAATGATATTTTTGAGTTTGAAAATGAAGGGTCTGTATTTTTGATCGGCGATTGGAATAGTCGGGTAGGTCTTAAGGCGGATTATATTATATGTGATACTGCTATTAAGTCTATAGATAATGATGATTATATTCCCGATATATCCTCCGTCAGGGCCTCCTGTGATAAAACGTGTAATTCTAACGGAATAAAACTTCTTGACTTATGCAAATCTACGTGCTGTCGAATAGCTAACGGTCGGATCAGTAATGACTATGGTATTGGTGCGTTTACATTTGCATCACGTCAAGGGGCATCATTAATTGACTATCTACTCGCGAAAGAGCGTGATTTTGTAAATATTAGTGATTTCAAAGTACACGACTTCAATGAATGGAGCGACCATTGTCCGATTTCCGTTACTTTAAACTGTAATGCAATGCCCGAGGAAGTAAATAATTCAGGATTTATGAAAATTAGATGGTCAGACGAATTTAAATCTGAATTTCGTTCAGGTATTATTGGTTGTTTACCGCAATTTAACCGATTAACGGAGGATATGTACATTCAAGATAGAGCTTCTGTAAATAACATTTTAAATGAATTCACCGATACGGTTCGTCAGGTAGCTGACCCTCTGTTTACACGTTATGTGTCAAATCGACGCGATGTACATTTTGTTGATAATCGAACCAATGATAAAGAATGGTTTGACCTTGAATGTAAACATGCAAGGCAAAGGTATATAGAAGCTCAGCGTGTCTTTAAAAGATGTAACTCTGAATATAGTAGAGAACAGTTTTTGATGCTCAAAAGCAGATATAAACAAATAGTTAAGAAAAAGAAGAAAATATTTGAAATCGAAAAAGGATCTGATATCGAAAATTTACGTTTTCGAAGGCCTAAAGATTTTTGGAATTATTTTAAAGCTAAAAAAAAAGAATAATGACATAGATATATCGCTTGAATCTTTTTACAAATATTTTTCAGAAGTAAGTAATGATATTTTTCAAAATGAAAATATTGAAGCAGAAGATTTTTCTACAAATCATAATTTTAACTCAAATTTAGAAAATGATGATAACACTGACGTTTTGAATAGTTCAATTACTATTAACGAAATTTTAATCGCTGTTAAATCTTTAAAGCGTGATAAATCCTGCGGAAACGATTTTTTGCTGAATGAATATTTTATTGAAACTGTAGATATACTGGCAGCGCATATATGTGATATTTTTAATTGTATTTTTGATAGCGGTTTTTTTCCTGAAAGATGGACTGAAGGGGTTATTGTACCATTGCACAAGAAAGGAGATAAAAACAATGTTAAAAATTATAGAGGCATTACTTTAGTAAGTTGTATGTCGAAATTATTTACGACAATACTTAATAATAGAATTGTTAAATATTGTAATGAGAATAATACCATATCAGATGCGCAGTTTGGATTCAGAAAAGGCTATTCGACAACTGATGCCTTGTTTATTTTGCATAATTTGGTTCAAAAATATTTAAATGAAAATAAAAGATTATATTGTGTTTTTGTTGATTTAAAAATGGCATATGATTGTATATATAGAAATGCATTATGGCTTAAATTGTATAAGCATGGGGTTAACGGTAAAATTTTGAGAATAATTAAGGACATGTATGAAAAAGTAAAATCATGTGTTCGGTCGTGTAATTCGTACTCTGAGTTTTTCAAATATGCTGTTGGTTTAAGACAAGGGGAGGTAATTTCACCAGTATTATTTTCACTATTTGTTGAAGACTTAGAGTTATTTTTGCAAGATGATATAAATTCAGGTGTAAATATTGATGATATTATTCTTATTCTACTTTTGTTTGCAGATGATATGGTTATTCTTGGGAAGACTCCGGATGAAATTAACACTAATCTTATATTACTTTCTGAGTATTGCAAACTATGGAGTCTTGAAGTCAATGTACAAAAAACCAAAGTTATGGTATTTCGTAAACGTGGGGGACTTAGAAATAATGAGACTTTTGTGTATAATGGGACAATTTTGGAAGTTGTAAATGATTTTAACTATCTAGGAACTGTTTTTAATTATACGGGAAGTTTTGCATTAAATCAACAACAACTGGTCGGTAAAGCTTTGAAATCAATGAATGTTTTATTAGTTAAATGTCAAAAATATAAAATGAAACCTAAAATTCTTTGTCAACTTTTTGATTCTTTTGTCGGATCAGTACTAAATTATTCAAGTGAAATATGGGGGTTTACAAAATCAAAAGAAATCGAAAGAATTCACCTTAAATTTTGTAAGAAAATTCTTTTTGTTAAAATGTCGACTCCTAATGTTGCAGTTTATGGCGAATTGGGACGATATCCTTTGTATATTTCGAGATATATTAGAATATTAAAATTTTGGCTTAAACTTAACAGTACAGATAATATAATTTTGAAAACTGTATATAATATGTCATATAATGATTGTATAAATGGTAAAAAGAATTGGGTCTCAAATGTAAAAAAATTATTGTGTGAAAATGGATATAATTATGTTTTTGATAATCCTCTTTTTGTTAAAGAAAAGCCGTTTTTAAGTATTTTTAGACAGCAGTTAATAGATTGTTTCTTGCAAGGTTGGCATAGTAATAAGTCAGGTAGCACAATGTTAAACCTTTATCACCATCTTAAAGAAAAATTTGAATATGAAAGGTATCTTGATCTATTACCTTTTGATTTAAGAACCTATTTAGTAAAACTAAGAGTGTCAGCTCATTCATCACGTGTACAAACAAATAGGTATGGAATTAATAGATTAGCCAGAAATTTACGAGTATGTCTTTTCGGTGATACAAGAGACATCGATGACGAATTCCACTTTATATCTAAATGTCCATGTTTCAATGATATACGACGGCTATATATTGATCGATATTATTATATTAGACCAAACATGTATAAACTTCTCGAATTGTTAAATTGCAAGGAAAAAGATACTCTTGTTAAACTTTGTAAATTTAGTAAGATTGCTTTTAATCGTAGAAATAAACAAATGAGTCAAGATATATAATCATTATCATCCTCTTAATAACTCATTGGTTGATATAACATTTGTATTGTTTTATATAGATTGTGTGACTATAATTGTGTTGTGTAAATATGTTATTTATGTGCACGATGTACATGATGTACAAGTGAAATAAATGTTCTGTTCTGTTCTGTTCTGATATAGAATGTATAGGAAACTGCTGACCAGTTAAACAAAAAAGGATTATCGAAAACTGCTGACCAGTTAGATAAAGAAGGGAAAACAATGAAGGTGTCAAATTGCCGTTGGTGATATTATAGGCGAGGTCGAGAAATACTTAATAAGATGTTTTTCAAAATGACAATATTACAAATGATTAATATTAATTATAAAAATTTCAATTGATAAATTTCTCAATTTCTTTTGATATAATATTTTATTTTAGTACCTTAATGAATTTTCTTCTATGTGTTACATATTGGTTAAAATTTTATAAATGTTGTCAAAATATGATGTACGAAAAATCATAATTTGTTCCAAGTATGTATAAAGCTATGCATCATAGGTTAAAATATATACATGTACATATATGTAATGTATATTTTAACAACATATAATTATTATGTCGTATCACGGATTTATATATATAAATCCGTGGTCGTATTTAGTACAAATATGAAATAAAGTGATTTCTGTCTGTCTTATTTGTTGTTCGTATAATTGTACAAGTAATATTGAACAAAAATTAATAATGACCTAATTGTTAATGTAATTTGTTAATTAGCTTTTATTACATTATAAACACCATGTTTCTACAGATATCCATTAAACTGATAATTTATGGAGACCGATATGCCCCAAGGTCATGTTAAAAGCAATTTCACACGTGACGTGTCATTCTTGATTTATCTGTGACAAAATACAATAAACAGTCCAAAATATGTTATTAAAATGCTGACCATATTGTAGAATCTGCTGACCAGTTAGATATAGAGAAAAATATATTTTGCCATGAAATTCTTACTTATTTTATAAAATATGCAAAATTAATATATTTTATAAAATTATGTCGACATTTAATTAAGTAAAAACACTGCTGACCAATTAAATATTAATTCAAATTGATTTAAGCCGTAAAACTCTTCTTCTTCTATATGGTCAGCAAATTTAACGCTCTTTACATTCAGGCGAGAAAATGCTGACCAGTTAAACATATAGTAGAATCTGCTGACCAGTTACATATATAGGGAAAATGCTGACCAGTTAGATATATAGAGAAAAATATATTTTGCCGTGAAATTGTTACTCGTTTTAAATATAATGTAATCAAATTTAATATATTTTATAAAATCATGTCGACATTTAGTTAAGTAAAAACACTGCTGATTAATTTGATATTAATTCAAATTGATTTAAGCCGTAAAACACTTCTTATTCTATACGGTCAGCAAATTTAACGCTCTTTACATTCAGGCGAGAAAATGCTGACTAGTTAAACATATAGTAGAATCTGCTGACCAGTTAGATATATAGGGGAAATGCTGACCAGTTAGATATATAGAGAAAAATATATTTTGCCGTGAAATTGTTACTCGTTTTATAATGTAATCAAATTTAATATATTTTATAAAATCATGCCGACATTTAATTAAGTAAAAACACTGCTGACTAATTAAATATTGATTCAAATTGATTTAAGCCGTAAAACTCTTCTTATTCTATATGGTCAGCAAATTTAACGCTCTTTACATTCAGGCGAGAAAATGCTGACCAGTTAAACATATAGTAGAATCTGCTGACCAGTTAGATATAAAGAGAAAAATATATTTTGCCGTGAAATTGTTACTCGTTTTATAATGTAATCACTTACAAGAGATTTTGATAAAAAAAACATATATAAAACATTACTTGAAATTTTTGCATATCTTTAGAGGTATAAACGCTGTTTAATATATCTTTTTAAAATGTATGATATTATGGTACTTTACATGAATATATTAATTTAGATTTATCATTGATAATCATACTGGTTTGGGAGATAAACTCGGCCGAAAATCAGTGTTTTGGGGGCATATTTCATTTATTTGTTTACGTATTCTGATGAATCTTGCACCATGATAAACTTCAGCCATTCGATTTTCCGGTATCACCATAAAAGTTATATTTAGAAACATAATGGGTAATTTTGAGAGGCCCTGGAAGAGGTACGTAAAAAGGATATTTTTAACGCGCGCGAGTAGATAATTCCGGCTCTTTGTTTTGCTTCTTAAATGAGTAAGTTAAAACGTAAAATAACATGTTTAGACATTTTATTATTTCTTTGCTGCTCATTTATGTCAAATAAAAATTATTTGTTTCCAAAATTGTTGAGCATTACGTTAGTATAATGAATATCTATGATAACACGATATTTATATCCAACGTACTATGTAACATATAAATCATTTTTACGTATAAACACAAGCATTATCATTTATTAACGTATAACGAAATATGTAGTTAAAGAATAAGTGATTCAGATTTATTTATGCTTAGCTTAACAGAGTGAAGAAGAAATTAATTTAGTGGTATGCAACCTACACATTAACATATAAAAGGAGCATTTAACATCAGTCTTTCAATCCATTCCACTAAGAGATTACAATTGTGTAATCAGCCTTTTTTCTGAGTTAGCAAGACAAAAGTGAGTCTGAATTTCATCTACAAAATGTACGTAACGTCGTCTGCTTTACCGGTAGTCGGTCAATATATAAAAGTACCCCTGTGCGGGCCTCAAAATGAGCATCTGCTGCACATGCGCACAACAATGGGATTCCCGTACTTTTTATAGGCATGTTTTATAAACAAAGATAAGATAAGATAAGATAAGATAAGTTTTATTTCAAGTCGGCAAGTTTTCAACATTACAAACATAAGCTCTAGGAGCTTTTATAACCGACTGTACAGTAAATAACATAAAGTATAAGATCAACAAAGATAAAACAGCTACAATAAAAATGATTAGACATGATATATATACATCACATGCATAAAATAGACCTTTTAGGATATATTTATAAAAACGAATCATATGCTAAAAAACTAAAAATGATAGTTTACCCAAATCTACATCACTAGCAAAGTCTAGTATCTAAAAATTTACTTAAAGTTCAATAATATACCGAGTAATCAATTAAAAATTTAATGAATTATTTAAATAAATGAATAAATAAAAATACTAAAAAAAAACAAAAAAAACAAAAAAACAACATTTTTATATATAATTTAAATATGAAAGACTATGGATTTTCAGACTACACAAAGACAGAAGGTATTAAACATGTAAGTCATTAGTTGAACTCATTTAACAGCTAGCTTGAGTCTTGCTGGAAAAGATAAGCAAAAAAAACAAAACAACAAAACAAAAAGCAAAATCAAAACAAAAGATCACAAAATAAAGCAACATCCTATCTAGAAACTAAATGATAATATTAACATAAGCAGGGAAGAATAGCAAAAACACATTTAAAGCAAGCAAGAAAAAAAAACTGAAGAAGCTAAATGATAAATGTGACCCAAAAGAAAATGTTCATACCCAGAAAAATAAATAAAAAAGTGGAGTAAATCAAGATATAGAAGTTAGCTGCAAGCAATACATTTACACTGTTTACCATTCCAGGATGAAATTAACTTTTTAAACTGAGCAAAATTTGAACATTTTCTAAAATTTTCGGGTAGAGTATTCCATAAAGCAGGTGCAGCATACCTGAAAGATTTTTTACCTGTAGTTGTAGTTCTTACTTGCGGGATCTGCAAAATATTTGAATATTTAAAATTAATACCAGTAGTTTTCTTGACAATAAGGTCAGACAGAACAGCAGGAGACATATCATGAAAAATTTTTTTAAAAGTTTCAATGGCCATAGCCCTCATTCTTCTTATTTTTAGAGTTGGTATATTAACTTTTATCAGCATATCTTCATAACTTGAATTAAAATCATTATATACAAATCTGAGTGCTCTTTCCTGTAGTTTTTCCATCTTGTTTGTATTATTTTCTGAGCAGAAATGCCATGCCATAGGACAGAAATTAAAATTGGACAAAATAAAAGTATGAAAGATTGTTAGCCTATTTGTTTGATTTAAATTGTGACCTATTCTTTTGAGGATGTTTAACTGATTAGCAGCTTTTTTACATATATTGCTTATGTGAAAATTAAAATTTAATTGTTGATCAATGTCGATGCCAAGGAGTTTTACAATTTCGTCACATGTTATTTCACTAGTATTAATTTTGAAAGCTGGGGATTTAGTGAAAGTTTTCTTCCCTACAGCAATAGCTTGAAATTTATCAGGGTTAGCTTGCATTTTATTAAAATGAAACCAATTTATAAGATAGTTACTTTCTTGTTCTAAGGTACATATTAGTTCATCAAAATATTTAGTCCGAAAAGAAAGGGTATTGTCATCTGCATAGTTATATAAAGTACATTTTTTTATAAAGAAAAATATGTCATTTATGAAAATATTGAACAGTAGAGGGCCCAGGATTGATCCTTGAGGACACCTTTGATATATTAGCCCATGAACTTACAATATTGCCTATTTTTATTTGCTGTTTCCTGTTTGACAGATAAGATTGCATGAGGTTGGTGGCAGGGCCTGATAAGCCATATGCTTTTAGCTTATCTAAAAGAATGTCATGTGGCAGACAATCAAATGCCTTAGATAAGTCCATCAAAATTGCTGCCACATATTCATTGTTATCCAGGGTAAAAGTCTGTGTTATTTTTTAAATCTCTTACCAATCTTGACAAAATTTCCAGATATTGTCAAATTCCAGCGATAGTATGAGATGGTGAGCTTGATTAGATTAAAAATTCCGATAACTCGATTTGATTTTAAAAAGCCGAGTTTATCAACCAGCCGAAGTTATCTCCCCAACCAGTAGTCATATAAATGCAAAAATTAAAAATATAAATAAAAGAATAAAAGTAATTTCCCATCTTTTTATTACCCCCTACGGCGTGTTTATATAACTTCACACCTTCGATGTTTCCCTTCTTTGTGTAACTGGTCAGCATTTTCCGATAATCCTTCTTTATTTAACTGGTCAGCAGTTTCCTATATATCTATATCGTCAGCTAATTCGTCAGCAGTTTAGTGCGACCCATACCGGGCCGAGTTGACTCTTTTCCATGAATAATGACGTCATTTCAAGATGGACGCAGAAAGTTTTTCGCTCGTTATTAAAAAAAAAAATAATTCAAAATTAACACTATGTTTACCATTCTACTATGTATCTGCCTTGTAACAGCTAGTGCTGGAACAAAATCTAGAGTGTATGATTTAAAAGAAGATGTCAGCGGCTCATGGTCTTTGTCTCATTTTGCGGAAATGGTTCGAGGGGCGATACAGGTGCCCTTCCCATGGGGTAAAAGTGTACATGTTATCAATTAATTTATGCATATGGTGATTCCCCTCTGTATGTGTGTGTGCATCGGTTATATCAGGTACGTATGTTAATATACGTACCTGGTTATATAGATTATTTATTTAACTTAAAAATCTTGTCAAAAACCACATCAGTTCGATTTTAACCAAGGCTTCCAGGGTTTTTGAACATGAGTGAAAGGCTTCCAAAGACAAAGTTGTGCAAAGAATTTGATTCCAGGCAGAAATTTGGTTGCCATGGCAACCAAAAGGAATGATAGGAAGAAACTTAATTTTTTTCTAGAACAACAAATCCTAGACCATAGATATTTTGCACAAGCCATTAATATCTAGTGAACCTCTAGGCTCTTTAAAGTTTTTTAAAATTATAGCCCAGAGACTTGTATGGCTACTCATACTGGTGCCCCATATTTCCGTGATACCCATGATTCCAAGGTATTAGGCATAAACAGTCTCAAGTGCGTCCTAGACCTCATGCACCTGTCAGAGTAGTGAAATGTTACATATTTGACTGAGAAAACTTATTATTTCATTCAATTTCTTTCCTATGATAAGTTCTTGTTTTACTTAATCTGAGAATTTTTCAGAGCAATTTAAATTTTCTCTTTCTTTTTAATACAGAAACAGTTGAATCAACCCTTGATAAAGACACTCAAGTTGATATTAGCCATCTGGCTGAGGAGGTATTTAAAACAAAACTTCTTTAATTGTTTGAAACAGATAAAAATTGACAAAACTTAAGTGATTTATAATGAAATGTGTATTACAGGCTGCAGTATAATGAGAAAAATTATTCCTCTGAAAACTGGAGTCTTAAGCTTTGATAAAAGATTAGCTTGTTGATCAAATTCAAATCAATGTTTACCTGTTAGATTGATTTCAACAAAAATACTTATATAGATTATCTCTCATAATAATGTTTGTCAATGTTTCTGTGACAAAACAAGTTAATTGTACTATTTTCAGATGATAACACATGAGTTACCATTACTTATACCTGCATGTATTGGGCTTGTATTAGCTGTACTGGTTCCTATCTTCACATTGTTGTTTTGTTGTTGCCACTGCTGCTTCGGTTGCTGTGGAGGCAAGCTGACTGTACAGAATGTCGGGAAACATAAGTGGAACTTCATGTTCATCAACTCTTGCGTGATTGTCATCTTAGTAGGATTTCTCAGGTAAAGCAGTATAGGTCTGACTGGTCTTGATATTGAATACAAATTGAAAATATACCAGACCCAAAGTAAATGTGTTAATAATTAAAATTGATAATATATCACATTACATTAGATGAGGCTTTTATATTTGCTCTGTAAATAACAAAGGCCATAATAATAAATTATATGTATTTCTAAGGATTGGACACATTTCTAAGTACTTCCTAGTTCTTACTCCTAGTTCTACATTTGATTGATTTAAAGGGATTCCACTGAGTTTTTTTAAAATGATAGGACTAGAAATTTTTTTTTTGAGATTTACAAGTATGTATCATTTGACGAAGGGATTAACCAATAACATGTAAAAATTTCAGATAATTCGCTTAGTCTCACTATCATTTTAATTGTGAAAAATGACCAAAAAACGTTTCAATGCGCTTTAGCCCAAATCTTGCTAAGAATTGCACAAAATTTTATTTTCAATCTAATTCTGAGAATGTATTGTTATAATCTTTTGCATTATCTATCCCTTTTAAATGCCTCAGTTGATCTATATAAAAAATTCATGGTGTTTTTTTTAAAGGTATAAAGCTTAGATGATATCTAGTGTGAAATATTTTTTTAAAATATAAAAAGGGTAATAAAGGTTGTTTTTCATAATTTTATGGTTGATTCTCAAAAGAGTTGTAACATTTAGATATACTGGTATTCTAAACATGAAAATTGCGTGTAATTTGAGTATAAAATGATTCATAACAAAATATCATGCTGCTATTTTAAGTAGGTTTTCAACCACTTAGTGATGATTTCATGAATACGCCATCCGCTCATGCAAAAGGAAATAATAAAATTATTATACCAATACTTCTTTCATACAGCTTCTTTGGAAATATCCTGTTTCAAAATTCAAACAAAAATTTGGTAAACTAGCACAGATGTACCATTATACACTGTAAGGCTTTTTAACATGAAACAAGTAGTCTTAAAAGAACTTTTAAACAAGACTTAATTCTTATTAGCTTGACTATTCGCAGAATAATCAAGCTAATGCAGTCTGACCCATTTGTCGGCGTCCCTGTGGTTAAGTTTTTGTGTGTAAGCTAGTGTCTCCATAACTACTGAAGGGAATGGATTGAAACTTCACACACTTGTTCTCTGTGATTATCTTAGATGATTGGCACAAGTCCCATAACTCTGATTTGCTTTTTTACATAATTAAAGGGAATGGATTGTAACTTCACACACTTGTTCTCCGTGATTACCTAAGATGATTGGCACAAGTCCTGACTCCCATGACTCTAATTGCTTTTTTGCATAATTATTCCCCTTTTTCGACTTAGAAATTCTAGGTAAATTTTTGCTTGTAAGCTGGTATCTCCATAACTACTGAAGGGTTTGTACCTTTTCGGACAATTTTATGTATTCATATAGGTAAGCATGATTATTATAACTCAATGAAACACTCTTGTGACAACTTTTTGAATAGTCGAGCATTACTGTCCTTGGACAGTTCTTGTTTTTTTAAATTCTCACACTTATTATACACTTTGATTTATGAATATTTATGTACACATGTATACAAATATATTTTACATCAGTCAGTATTTGACAAAGGTACCTAATATAAGATGATTTACAGAGTAAAATAAACTTGATTGGTAGCAATTTAGATCTTTAAGCATGTAAAGTAATTTAAGGGTGACTGGCATGATGTTTCAAAGATCAAAGTTGAGTAAGGACTTTTTTGATATATCAAAATCAATCAGATGAATCTTTTATGATGATTTATCCAAACACAAATATCATGTTTGCCTTACAAAATGGCAGACATGTTTTTTGTTTACAGAAGTGTTTGTAAAGCCTATTCAATGTAATATATTTTGTCTAATTATAAATAAATAGATAAATACAGTACCTAAGGACACTTTATTTTTGTTTATTTCCTTCAAAGAACTCCGCCCGTGACCTTTGTGAGAAACACACAACTTCAGCCTTTTCAGCCACATTGGAAATGCATTTTCAAAGTCCTTTTTGTGTCGCCTTGAAAAGGTGACATATAGGGATTACTTTTGTCGGCGGCGTCTGTGTCGTCGTTGTCGTTGTCGGCGTCGGCGTCCCCTAAAACTTGTCCGGAGCATAACTCAGTCACTATAAGTCCGATTGACTTCAAACTCGGTATGCATGCTTCTTTCAATAACCCGAAGTGCAGTGCACAAGGACCGGTACTCTGCAGTTCTTATTTTTTGAGTTATTGCCCTTTGTTAATTTTCATACTTTAATTTTGTCCGGGCCATTTCTCTTCAACTAAAAAAGCTATGGACTTGAAACTTCATAGGATGATAGATCTTATTAAGAAGAAGTGCAGTGCACAAGAACCGGTACTCTGCACTTCTTATTTTTTGAGTTATTGCCATTTCTCCTAATGTATAAAAGCCATGGACTTGAAACTTCATAGGATGATAGGTCTCATTAAGAAGAAGTGCAGTGCACAAGAACAGGTACTATGCATTTCTTATTTTTTGAGTTATTGCCCTTTGTTTATTTTCATACTTTAATTTTGTCTGGGCCATTTCTCCTTAAGTATAAAAGCTATGGACTTGAAACTTCATAGGATGATAGATCTCATTAAGAAGAAGTGCAGTGCACAAGAATCAGTACTCTGCATTTCTTAATTTTTGAGTTATGGCCCTTTGTTAATTTTCATACTTAATTTTTGTCCAAGCCATTTCTCCGAAAGTATAAAAGTTATGGACTTGAAACTTCATAGGATGATAGATCTCATTAAGAAAAAGTGCAGTGCATAAGAACTGATACTCTGCATTTCTTATTTTTTGAGTTATTGCCCTTTGTTGATTTTCTCACTTTATTTTTGTCCTGGTCATTTCTCCTCAAGTATGAAAGCTATGGACTTCATAGGATGATAGATCTCATTAAGAAAAAGTGCAGTGCATAAGAACTGATACTCTGCATTTCTTATTTTTTGAGTTATTGCTTTTTGTTGATTTTCTTACTTTATTTTTGTCCTGGTCATTTCTCCTCAAGTATGAAAGCTATGGACTTTGAACATCATACAATGATAGATCTTATTGATAAGAAGTGCAATGCACAGAAACTGCTGCTCTGCACTTATTATTTTTTTAGTTATTGCCCTTTGTTATTTTTCCTATTTCATTTTTGTCCTGGCCATTTCTCCTAAACTACATTGTTCACAACGCGACACATCCGACTCGCGGAGTTCTAGTTAGTAAACTGTTGATAGTTGTATATTCTCATGAAAGGAACATGTTTTCAGTGCCATGGCATGCTAAACTGTTGATAGTTGTATAATTCTCATGAAAGGAACATGTTTTCAGTGCCATGGCATGCTAAACTGTTGATAGTTGTATATTCTCATGAAAGGAACATCTTTTCAGTGCCGTGGCATGCTAAACTGTTGATAGTTGTATAATTCTCATGAAAGGAACATGTTTTCAGTGCCGTGGCATACTAAACTGTTGACAGTTGTATATTCTCATGAAAGGAACATGTTTTCAGTGCCATGACATGCTAAACTGTTAATAGTTGTATAATTCTCATGAAAGGAACATGTTTTCAGTGCCATGGCATACTAAACTGTTGATAGTTGTATATTCTCATGAAAAAAAGTTAAGGAACATATTTTCAGTGCCATGGCATGCTAAACTGTTTATAGTTGTATAATTCTCATGAAAGGAACATGTTTTCAGTGTCATGGCATACTAAACTGTTGATAGTTGTATATTCTCATGAAAAATACTTAACGAACATGTTTTCAGTGCCATTGCATACTAAACTGTTGATAGTTGTGTTTTCTCATGAAAGGAACATGTTTTCAGTGCCATGGCATGCTAAACTGTTGATAGTTGTATAATCTCATGAAAGGAACATCTTTTCAGTGCCGTGGCATGCTTAACTGTTGATAGTTGTATAATTCTCATGAAAGGAACATGTTTTCAGTGCCATGGCATACTAAACTGTTGATAGTTGTATATTCTCATGAAAAAAAGTTAAGGAACATGTTTTCAGTGCCATGGCATGCTAAACTGTTGATAGTTGTGTTTTCTCATGAAAAGAACATGTTTTCAGTGCCATGACATGCTAATCAGTTGATAGTTTTATATTCTCATGAGAGGAACATGTTTTCAGCTAAACTGTTAATAGTTGTGTTTTCTCATGGAAGGAACATGTTTTCAGTGCCATGGCATGCTTAACTGTTGATAGTTTAAATTCTCATGAAAGGAACACGTTTTCAGTGCCATGGCATACTTAACTGTTGATAGCTGTATATTTCTCATGAAAGGAACATGTTTTCAGTTCTATGGCATGCTAAACTGTTGATAATTGTATATTCTCATGGCGGGAACATGTTTTCAGTGTCATGACATGCTAAACTGCTGATAGTTGTGTTTTCTCATGAAAGGAACATGTTTTCAGTGCTGTGGCATACTAAACTGTTGATAGTTGTATATTCTCAAGAAAGGAACATGTTTTCAGTGGTATGACATGCTAAACTGTTGATAGTTGTATAATTCTCATGAAAGGAACATGTTTTCAGTGCCATGGCATACTAAACTGTTGATAGTTGTATATTCTCATGAAAAAAAGTTAAGGAACATATTTTCAGTGCCATGGCATGCTAAACTGTTGATAGTTGTATAATTCTCATGAAAGGAACATGTTTTCAGTGCCATGGCATACTAAACTGTTGATAGTTGTATATTCTCATGAAAAAAAGTTAAGGAACATGTTTTCAGTGCCATGGCATGCTAAACTGTTGATAGTTGTATATTCTCATGAAAAAAAGTTAAGGAACATGTTTTCAGTGCCATGGCATGCTAAACTGTTGATAGTTGTGTTTTCTCATTAAAGGAACATGTTTTCAGTGCCATGGCATGCTAAACTTTTGATAGTTGTATATTTCTCATGAAAGAAACATATTTTCAGTGCCATGACATGCTAAACTGTTGATAATTGTATAATTCTCATAAAAGGAACATATTTTCAGTGCCATGACATGCTAAACTAATAATAATTGTATAATTCTCATAAAAGGAACATATTTTCAGTGCCATGGCATGCTAAACTGTTGATAAATGTATATTCTCATGAAAGGAACATGTTTTCAGTGTCATTGCATGCTTAACTGTTGATAGTTGCATATTCTCATGAAAAGAACATATTTTCAGTGCCATGGCATGCTAAGCTTTTGATTGTTGTATATTCTTATGAAAGGAACATATTTTCAGTGCCATTGCATGCTAAACTGTTGATAGTTAAATTTTCTCATGAAAGGAACATATTTTCAGTGCCATTGCATGCTGAACTGTTGAAAGTTGTATATTCTTATGAAAGGAACATATTTTCAGTGCCATTGCATGCTAAGCTGTTGATAGTTGTATATTCTCATGAAAGGAACATATTTTCAGTGCCATTGCATGCTAAACTGTTGATAATTGTATATTCTCATGAAAGAAACATATTTTCAGTGCCATTGCATGCTAAGCTGTTGATAGTTGTATATTCTCATGAAAGGAACATATTTTCAGTGCCTTGGCATACTAAGCTGCTGATAGTTGTATATTCTCATGAAAGGAACATATTTTCAGTGCCATTGCATGCTAAACTGTTGATAATTGTATATTCTCATGAAAGAAACATATTTTCAGTGCCATTGCATGCTAAGCTTTTGATTGTTGTATATTCTCATGAAAGGAACATATTTTCAGTGCCATGGCATGTTGTATGCCTTTAAGTGGAAACAGGCTGCTGACCAGTCCGAGGTTAATGTTCCGTGTAATCAGCGCCAGTCTTGATGATATTGCAGATTTCTTTGATAACTTTGTCAAAGTAAGATTTTGATGAAATTTTGGATATACAATACATTTGATTTTAAAACTAAATAAATTAACACTAAATGAGTTTCCAATATGCATTTCTTATGTAAAAATACTTAAAAGGTTTCTTATCAATAATTTACTTATAATACTTAATAGGTTTCTTATCAACAATTTTATAATAGTAATTTTGTAATAAAGTTGCATAATATATAGAGACAAGTAATTTATCATGAAGCCTAACGGCAAAATCAAAATGATTCATAAGCCATACTAACAAAAGTGTCCTAATAATTACTCAAAATCATATTTTATTTTGGGGTAGATCAGTGAGTCTTTCATTTGACAAAAGTTGGTATTTTACTCAGGGCTAGAACTATCCACCTAGCTTGAAATTATATTCATTGTCCTACAGTAGTGGAGGGCATGTGATTATAGTATTGTGTCTGTTATGTACAGTGTTAAAAACTGTTGTTTTGTTTTTTGTTGTTGTTTTTCTTTTTGTATTTATTAATGTAGATATGTATATTATGATGCATATCAATTAAATTTATGTGCTTAACCTATGTTTAAACCATGACCTATATTTATTATGTTTAAATTATTGTATAACATGTATTGAATGTGATTGTATATACACTGTAATTTTTTCTATAATGTTTAAAATCTATGAAAATGGGAAATAAAGTGTAATGAATAATGATAATGATCAAATTAACACACTTTAATGTTTACAGGATACATCAGACCTCGCTTTGGATGTCCTCGATACAACTGTAGGTGATATCAAAAAGAATCTTGATGGTAATTTATTATACTCATAAAATATTTTTAAAAAATTATTATTTATTATATACTGGGATCCTTCATATTACTGGACAAAATATGCTGTTTTTTAGCTATAACTTTTATTTAGAACTATAAAAAAGTCAGTGGAGTTTTACCCAATTGATTTTAGCATTATCTTATCAAGCCCGAAATTTTACATTTTACCATAAAAATGTGTCTAGAAGTGGGGGATTATAAGAGAAAAAAATCCTGTAGACAACTCAATTTACTGGACATTGTGTTTCACAATATTTTGAAGTCTTAAATTGAAATTAATCTTTAAATAATAAGCAAGTGAACTATAAGTTGAACACGATAATGTTTACATTAATCGGTCAAACCATTATTATATATAATGGGTTGTGCAAGTTATTCAGTTATTACTTTTTGCATTTTTGCTGCAATAAAGAAGAATTAAATTTGATATAGGCATTTAAATCCGAGTAGCGTAATGGTTAGAGAGTTGTGATTATGACATGTATGAAGAATGTAAAGAAAATGCTTTCTTTTCGAGTTCAAATCTGGAATTGTGCAATATTTTTTTTATGTCTGACTCTGTATGGTTTTTACTTTCTTTTATGAACCTGTGATTAATTTAATATTTTGTACAATTAAAGTTAAACTTATAACGATTTAGCAAAATTAAATGTATTTGATTTTTACAGTCATCAAACAGATTGAAAAATATTGTCAATTTAATTCTATTTAAAATTCTGAATTCAGTTTTCTACATTTTTTTTGACAATTTCGGCTCATTTGTATATTGATATATGTAAATTTCTTCCATTATATCACTATAATTACGACTGTGTTGCCTCTATTTTTACTTGTTAAAGCGAATGTGTGTTAAACTAAATGTTCTCAAATAGAATTGTGTGAAATAAATGCACGAGGAACTAAAATCCAGTTCTTTAAAAATATCTAAAAACAAAAAAATAAAAGAAAAGAAAAAATGCCTTTTCCAAGAATTGAACCTCGGTCTCTACACTGACGAAGCGGTTAAAAATGAGTAATTGTTTAGGTAAGTTAAAGATTAAGGCAATAATTAGTATGCTTTTATATATTAGAATTATCGACACCCCTTTTTGTCAATATTGATGTAAACAGATAATGAAAGGAATAGCGAATTCGAGCTGTACAACTGTTGAATGGCAAGGTTAAGATATTGGAAAACCCAAAGATGTCACTAGAAATATACATGGTAGCCATGCTTTTTACTAAGAGGCCTATATAAGGGGTGTAATGGAAATTCACATTATTTTATTTATTAACTCAATAATCATATTGATTCATCAAAGTCAGTAAACATTAATATCGATATAATCATTTGTAATTTTATTCTTTGTCATACACTTTCATTTTGGTCATCATAAGCCAGTAAAATCCAGACAATATATTTTAGTTACATTTCATGAAGAGTTTCATCCCTTTGTTTGAAAAATCGGGCATGACCTGATTCTCAATGTGGTTTTTACTTTGCATTTCCTTATAAAATACAACAACGAAATACTGTCTGAACTAAATTTAAATATACTTTTTATCATTAAAATATGTTATGATTGTCTGCTGAGATAATTCAGAGAAGTTAAATTAAAGTAAAACCTGTATAAAATAAGGGCCTCAACATTTGGGCATACGCAGAACACATGATTCCCCCGCATAACCTGCAAGTATGAAATAAAATAGTAAACATAAGGACAATTGTTATCTAATAAATAACTGAATCAACAATATTTGCATGAGAGTGATCTTGTTGTTATTTACTTTGAAATTGAAAGTGTGTGTGCAATTCAGATTGGATGACTTTTGAATTGAAACAAAAATAAAGCCCTTATTCAACAGGAATAGATTTTGTCCTTTAAACTGATTGTCCAGTAAAAATTGAGGATCCCAGTACCTATAAATGAAATTGAGAAATTTTGATGAAAAAAATATGTATTTTCATTTTCCGTATTTTCACTGTAAAAAAAATATTTTTCACTGCAGTGAAACATATTTTCCGTATTTTCACTGGTGTTTGCCGAACTACTTTCTGCTATAAACAGCCAATATACAAAATTTGGGGAAAGTCATTCCAATTCTGATGTCAAATAATAGAAAATGTATATATTAAACAGAAAATTCAAGATTTCCTACAAATACAGGATTAATTTTCATCTTGTGGTATGAAAATTATCATATTTTACTTGTGGCTACCGCCACTCATGAAATACTAAATATTTTCATACAACTCAATGAAAATAAATCCTGTTTTTGTAGAAAAAGTGAATATCACCTATCTACAATATATTAAGAAAGTTTGGTTGAAAAATATTTTTACAACATACATCTGTATAATGAAGGAAAGAAGAGTCACTAGAATATCAGTTAAACTTTTTAGCAGCAGTTTTAAGAACTGACATAATTAACCTGAGAAATTTCTAAGGAATACCATTGTTTAATTAAGATATTATAATTATATGTATGTCAAAGGTTGAGAAAAATGTGCCCCTTTCGTAATAATGTACTGCGGCTCTACCAACTGAGCTATCTGGCCGCTTACACATTCTCACCCTGCACATTTTTCAAAATTAATTATTAATTACAGCTTTGTACTCATCCATTAACTGTGACCAATTTACATGATTTATGTCACAGGGTGAGAAAATGTGCAGCCTGACCAGGACTCGAACCCGGGACCCTTGGACTACTGTACCGCCACTCTACAGACTGTCTATCAGGCCGCTTACACATCTCCCCTAAATAGTGAACAGTTCTGAACCATGTACAAATATTATGGAAGAATGGTAACATCTGAAGAATGACCTTTAATATCTACTGCAAATTCACTTATATTCTTGGGCATGAAATTTCGTGGTTTTATCAAAACGGGCATTTTCGTGGGTGTTAAATTCGTGAATTTTCAATTTCTTGTAAAATAATAATATAAATAACGTAATGCTATATTAGTATTCTTACACTTAATCGCCGCACATTTTACTTACGCATGTACATATCTTTTTAATCCTTGCCTCTGGGCATTTTTTACACAAAATCGGTGGAAAAGCGCCGATGCATGTTTGTAATATATAGAATAGAGACATGGCAAGAACTATTTTTTGGGATAAAATTTTGTCGGATCTTAAATTCGTGGATTGACCTACCCACGAAAACCACGAAAATTTGTGCCCCACGAATAATAATGATTTTACAGTATATTATAAGATGAGGTACGTCAATGCTTAAGTTAGTTTTGCTTGAAAATAATATTGACAATGGTAAATAAAATATTTATATATAACAGTATATATATTCATGATATTACTAATGTTTAATTAAGTACTTCTGTTTTCCTTTGTAGATTTGCCTGACACATTGTCAGACCCTGTCACTGATGGAGCAAGGCCAATAGTAGATGAAATAGAGAGCAAGATAAATATCATTTCAAGTGGTGAGAATATTTCTAGCTTTTGAAATCTTTGATATATGGAGATTTTCCTTTAAAATCAAAAAAATAATTTGAAATTATTTCTATTTTGTACTCTGGGATGTTGGTTCCATGATCTTTTGGGTTAATATTTTGCCTTCAGGTAGAAAAGTTTCTACTCTTGCTAGCACCTCGTCCAATATGGTTTTAACTGCTGTGTTATTATCCAATCAAATTCAATATTGTACTCTACAATGTAAAATAACATTGTAATATTATATACTTATAAATGTTTTCCTTAAATACACACAAATAATGAAGCGCTTATACAATTCAATGGATAGAAAAATTTGTACTAAAATTGTTAGTGAAAAAAAAATAAAATATATATATATACATGTATATATATATATTTAGTAGTACTAATATTCCTGGTAAGAATTAAATTGTTAATTATAATACTGATTGTTCTATGAAAAATGTTATATATCTTGTCACTTGTGATAAATGTAAAGAGCAATATGTTGGTCAAACGAAGCAACAAGTGTCTAAACGTATGAATAGCCATAGGTTTGATATCAACAATTTTTCAAATCCGTTATTTTCGAGCAATGTCGCTACACACTTTAATAAAACCAGTCATATTGTATTAAGGATTTTAAATTTATGCCTATTGAGATTGTCTCCATTGATATGGAACGCTTATTAGTATTACAAGAATCATACTGGATTCATAAGCTTAACACATTATCTCCTAATGGTATAAATGCAAAAGTTTTGTACAATATGTAACTTTGTCATTATTGAGCAGGTATACATATACATGTAGTATGTTTTTTCTCACATCAAGGTTTTTTTATTATTATTAATTATGAGAATTTTTGTATCAGTCATGTGCAGATCCATATTATATGTGTAATTTATTATATATTGCTGTATTTATATTCATGACAGATTCTAAATTTATTTGACAAAGTTTTTTATTCCCGCGTTAACGTCATGTTCTGTTTAGCGTATAGTTAAAGGGACGTTGCGTCATTTGTAATTTTAAAAACGTCAATTTTTTCTGAAGAAGACTAAACGTCGAACTTACCTTAAGAAAAACGTTTGTTTTTATTGAAATGATTATATATTATGTTAGTGACAAATATGTTATCATATATAGAAGTGCCAGACTATTTTTCCCCGTTGGTTCCCATCTTGACTGTGCATTTAAATGTAGTACTGGTGCTACTGAGGGTATGACCTCTTTTGCAAAATGATGTAATTATCCGACAATTATATCTTGACAGCTATATTATTTTCGTGAAATAGATAATAGAATTTCAATAAATTGAATCTCTTTTTGTCTTAGAATTTATAGGTATATATTATTAATAATAGAAAATTATGTTGTAGTAGCTTTCTGGAGCAATCCATTTTGCTATTTAATTGATATTCGCACGCTGCAAGTAGCAAAATAAAAAGCCTTGGAACACAATATGTTATATTTAAAAAACCTATCCTTTATTTGTAGAAAAGCATGTGTTTATCTGTGATAATTTTCAGAGATAGATGCCCTTCGTGTAGCTGAGGCAGAGATTAAAACAACAGTAAATGCAATGATTAAGTACAGTAATGACTTACAGTCTGGAATAACTAACATCAATGGTCTGTATGCAACAATAAAGACAGAGTGTAAAGATGATGGTAAAACATTCTGTGACTCCCTGCCTGATAGTGCAGGACCTGATGCTCTTGATATTAGTATAGATAACAGTAAGGTATGAGCTTTTTTATTGTGCTTTTTCACTGTCAATTACAGTTATGTTTTTACTTACATGTAGCTAAATAATATTATGTGCTATTATCCTACTTTGAATTTGTATTTACAAACCATTGTTGATTAACATTGAACCTGTTAGTGACAAGTGCAGACCAAGATTTGTGCCATCTGATCATGGGCTGCACCATAAACTATTCTAGTATCTTAAAAAAAGTCCTGAAAAGTTATAAAGTTTTGCTCAGATTTAAAGATGGGCAAGGCCATGCAAGATATTTAGTATTGTAAGGAACAGAACAGAACAGAACAGAAACTTTATTTTCTAGACTTATACAAAGTACATCGTCTTGTTAACATGAATTCAATAATATATACAACATAATCACATAAATATATGTATGGCGAGTCATTATAATAAATATAAACATAACAATTACAAGCACCAAATTCATGAGAGGATAAACTACAACCTTGAGAGTTTCAAAATTGTATTTCTTAGCTTTAAAGGCTTCTTTGATATATTTGCAAAACATTTATTAATATTTTTTTATTTTTTAATACACAATAATTCAGTAAATTTAAACATAGATGGTCTGTTATAATAGTAACTTTTTATATATTTTTTACGTAAATCTACAAAACTTGAACACACACATATGAAATGATACTCATCCTCTATATCCAAAACATTACAGCACTGACAGTATCTTTGTTCACGAGGAATGTTATTAGTGGCATACCTTCCTGTTTGTATTTTGAGAGGATGAACAGATAGTCTTAATCGACAAAAATACATTCTAAATTTACGTGGTAAAATGTCAAAGATAATTTTCGTAACTAAGACACAATTTAAAATGTTTGTAATTACAATAAAACAGAACTTCGATCTAGGATACTGGGCCCATTCTTGTTTATACGTATCAATAACTCTACTTTTAAATTTTTGAAGAAACAATTTAGGATCTATATAATTATTCACTATCAAAAATATCAGCAAAACCATAATCACATAACAACTTCTTCACATTTGAGACCCAATTTTTACACCCTCTTTTTACAATCAATTACACCTTCTCTATACATTGTATTTAAATGATATTATCCGAGTTTTTTCAACTTGCACCAAAATTTAATTATTTCTAACATAACGGGACACATATAATGGATATCTTCCTCAATTCACCATAAACAGCAGCAGAACAGGTATTAGGTCTTACATTTAATAATCGTTTGCAAAATTTTAAATGAATTCTTTCTATTTCTTTAGATTTTGTGTACCCCCATATTTCAGATCAATATCCTAAGATTGAGCCTACAAATGCATCAAATAACTGGCATAATGTTTTTGGTTTTAAATCAAATTTCTTACAGTTATAAAATAAAACATTTAGAGCCTTTAATGCTTTCCCTATTAAATGTTCCTGATTAAGTGTGAAATTACCAGTATAGTTTAAAACAGCTACCAAGGTAGTTAAAAATCATTTACAATATCTAGGATTTGGCCGTTCGTAGGTCCAGTGTTCTGTGGGTAGAAGTCCTCCACGCTTTCTAAAAACCATTACTTTAGTTTTAGTAGTATTTACCTTTGAGACCCCAAGTATTACAATATGAATATAAAAGATCTAAATTATTTTTGAAGTTCTATTGGTGACTTGCCCCACGATGGCCATATCATCAGCAAATAATAATAAAATCAATATAACATCATCAAATGTCAAACCAGTTTCAATGTTGTCTTGCAAATAAAGTTCCAAATCCTCAACAAAGAGAGAAAATAAAATTGGAGAAATTACCTCCCCTTGACGTAGGCCAATGGCATAATTGAAATAATCAGAATAACTAGAACATGACTTAACACATAATTTTACATTTTGGTACATATCTCTAATTATTCTTAAACATTTTACCTTGGATACCTATTTTATACATTTTTGAGCCATAATGCGTTTCTGTAAATACTATCAAAACATTTCATCAAATCAACAAAAACTACATATAAACGTTTATTTTGATTTAAATTATTTTTTGGATTAAAGACAAAAGAATAAATATAGCATCCATTTGTAGAACGCCCTTTTCGAAAACCGAATTGAGCATCAGATATATATTATTACTTTCACAAAAAGTTTCAATTCTATTATTAAGCACAGTGGTAAATAATTTTGAAGACAGCTAACTAATGTTATGGCCTCTATAATTGTTAACATCATCAGTTACTACCCTTCTTATGTAAAGGTATTATAATTCCCTCAGTCCATTTCTTCTGGATAAAAAACCCCGAATTTAAAATAGCATTAAATATATCACACAAATGCGCAACCTATTATTATTTAAAAAAACCTTTCTATGAAATATTCATTCAATTAAATAATCACTACCTAAAGATTTACCCCTTTTCAATAAATTTAACAGCTTTTGAAAATTTCCTCTAAAGTATTGGCCCTTATCTAATTCTTCCCAAATGGAGTATTCAAGTCATTAAAAAGGGAATGGCTTTCACCAAAAATTTTCCGCATCAATATTTGTACAGTTAAAAATAAATCCCACTACTTTATTAGCTCTCAAAATTATTCCTTAAATACATGACAGGATACCGTTTATGTTTTGAACTTGGATTTACTCTTAAAATATTTCCAAAATTGTTTCGGATTACTATGCTTTTAAATTTTTCTAATTCAGGAACATTTTTTTTGTAAAATGTTTTTTTCTTTCTGCGCACAATATCTTTATATTTCTTTTTTACAATTTTTACATATATTATTCTATTTGAATCATTTGAGTACATGTATTAAAAAACCCGTTTAATGCTTTTCCAAGTATGTATTTCTTGGCATTAATGCATTCTCTGTCAAAAACCATTTCAGAGTTATTCTATATAATCTGATTTATCATTAAAAATGGAAAACATGTTTGTTTAAATTTACAACATTTTCCAAATAAAGGGTCCGCTACGCTCCGAATTAACAGAAGTGAAGTCATTTAATACACTATTTATAGAGTCTCTGTTTGAAAAAAAATTAATATCATCAATAATAGTATTTTAGCTCAGGTAATTTAGCTATCAGACCGCTTCGCAAAAATTATTGGTGTGTGATATACTATCCCATTTTAAAATAATCCTCTGAAAAACTATCAGGGTTTATTTACATTATTATTTACAAAATAAAGAAAAACGCAAAGGCGCATGGTCACTCCATTCATTAATAGAATCTATAGTAAAATTGTCCACCAATGAAAAGTTACGTTCATTTTGGTCAGCAAATAATCAATAACCGATGCGCCCTTAGGAAAACATAGGTGTATTTACAAGTGTCGCCTAATCTACCGTTAAGAATATCGTAAAACATGAAGATTTACAAAGATCAAGAAGTTTAAACACCGTGACTGTTATTTACATTATCAATTGAGGCCCATAATAGGTTCATATCAGGTGTATAGTCAACATCATCTGTGATTATGAATTTAAAAAATCATTAACAATTTAAAAATCATTCTTTTTACCAACCCTACTGTTTAAAATTCTCCAGTGACAAATACATCACCTTTTTGTTTCATATAAAATATATCATTTTCTAAAAGATTCAAATAAGTCAGTATTAATAACGTTATATGCAGGAGAGTTTTCAACCCATATATAAGCACCACAAATATAAATATCATTTTGAGTCTTAAAAAAATTATGATCAAGTTTAAGCCATATTATAGTATCGTAATGATTTTTTACTATTTCAATGCCGTTTTTTAAACTATCTCTATAATATAAAGCTATACCACCACTAGATCGTTTGGCATTACGGTGTTTAAATTTTCTATAAAAATTATGTACAATATAATCATTTATTTCAATGTTACTGGTAGAACATGCCCAAGTTTCATATAAAAAACAAACATCACTATTGGAAATAATATTTACAAAAGCATCATTGTCTTTTTTGTCAGCAGATAGTCCATTTACATTCCAAGAAAGAATGTTAAGTTTACCCTCCGCGCAATCCTATTCTCTGACGGCCTTGCCATTCACATACAACGTATCATTGTAAGGATTGTATAAGTTTTAAGGTCAAGGTGTTAAAACAGCCCGCTGGGTAGAGTCTGGTCAGACTTCACAGCTAGTAGCCTGAGCTTGAACCTTAAACTCTGTACTGGTAGCAAAGTTCCGTCATATTACAGAAAGGGGTAAAGAAATATGGCTTCAGAATACTTAAATTATAACTCTCTGATAATGAACAAACTGATGCCAATACCCAAACATTTTTATGATCAGATGCCATGGACAGTGATATAACTTTAAAATGATATTTCTATGTTTATTTAGTTGACAGTGATAGTGAATGAGGTCTCAGCAGTTATAACAGAAGCAAATAAAGTGAATTTAACTGAATACAGCACTCTGGTAAGTGAAATTTGTTCAGTGCTTTATTTTATTTCATCAAATTGATTTTCTGATATGTGTTTGTATCTTCTAAGTTCTTCCGGTTGGGGAAAAAAAACAATTTCCCTGGGCTCCCGGATCCAAACTTTTCAGATTTCACATTTATTGTTATTATAAATTGGGTTTTATATTGAAAATATTTCTGCCCCCTTTTGATTTCTGAAATACTTTACATTTATAAAAAATGAATGATGTTAATTCATAGTTATTAGGTGTGCAGGCATCAAAAAATATTTCTAGAGTCACTCATCCAGCAGGACGAGAAGCTTCTAAATCCTGAATGCACAGACAACATTTTTCCTCTCGTCCTGCATCAAGTTCTCTTAAATTCTATTCATAATTATGAGCGGACAAGTGGTTCAATTTTGGGGTTTTGTTCCCCGGGGACTTTTTATTTTGGGGAGTTTAAAATTTTTGCTTGTTTTAAAAAATTTTTTTGAGGTTTTAGTTGATTTCCCTTGGGTTTTTTGTTTCAGGGGGGATACAACATTTTAAAAAGGTACCCAAAGGGCTATAAAAAATGCCCGTCAGATGCTGGGAGATAGTATGACAGTTATCACATTATCTTTGTATATCTATTAAGGTCCTTTTTTTTCTCAGAAACTATGAAAGCTCAGCGATTTTTTTTGGCATATTTTATAGCAGATATTCGGTCATATTCCCAATTGAAAATACAGTTAAACTTTGTGCTCGAACTCGGATCTTTGAATACCTCCCTTTGCTCAAATTTATCGCCCAGTCCCGGCAATGTCTTGAAAGTAAGTTTCCCAAAAAGTATCACTTTAAACTTGGAATATCATTTTAAACTTAGAGTACTTGTTCACTTTCAAATTTGAAATGCATTTGTAGCAGGAGATAATCCTGAAAACCTTTTTTGCTTAATTATTTCCCTTGTTCAACTTATAATACTTGCCTTTTTCTCAAAAACTGTTGAAAGTATTCACGCCAAACTATTGTTGACTATCAAGGGCAAGTAAGTCTGATCAGCATGTTTTCAGAGTTATGCCCCCTCTGTGTTACTTTTATTTTACCATTCAGCACTGATAAAAATGGAGCACACTGTCCACAGACAGATCTTGTTCATATTTTTGCACAGTCAAATGCCATAGTATAAGGCAAGAATAGGTTTTATCTATAGAATTATTTGTATATGTAACAATATAATTTATAACTTTTAATTATGCCCAGACTATTTAAGGGGAGTAGGTATATATATTTGCCCATTTCCATTTGTCACACTGTCATACTGTCCATTTGTTACAAGACTGTTTACTAAACTATGAATACATTTCTGGTTTTCATATCTTTAGTTATATACCTGTGTAAATTGAGATATTAATCATGTACTTTCAGTGGTTAAAGCAACACTAGATACTGTACATGATGATATGAAACCAGAGATAGACACTGCTCTTAACTCTGCAAAGTTTGTAAGATGATTTAAAAAAAATTTGTTAGTCCCCTACCGGTTTACCGGAGGGGACTGACTTTAGGTTTACCCTCCGTCCGTCTGTCCATCCGTCTGTCTGTCCGTCCGTCAGTCCGTCCATCCACAAAACTGGATCCCGCGATAACTTGAAAAGTACTGAAAATATTTTTATGAAACTTGGTATATGGATAGATGGCAGTATGGAGATTATGCACGTCTTTTTCTTTTCTTCCTATATTGGAAATTCTGGTTGCTATGGCAACAAATAGGCTAAAAATATGGCAAATTTTACACATAAACTGGATCCAGTGATAACGCAAAAAGTACTGGAAATATTTTTATGAAACTTGACATATGGGTAGATGGCAGTCTTGGAATTATGCACGTCTTTTTCTTTTCTTCCTATGTTGAAAATTCTGGTTGCTATATGGCAACAAATAGGCTGAAAATATGGCAAATTTTACACATAAACTGGATCCAGTGGTAAAGCAAAAAGTACTGAAAATATTTTTATGAAACTTGGTATATGGATAGATGGCAGTATGGAGATTATGCACGTCTTTTTCTTTTCTTCCTATGTTGAAAATTCTGATTGCTATGGCAACACATAGACTGCAAATATGGCAAATTTTACACATAAACTGAATCCAGTGATAACTCAAAAGTACTGGAAATATTTTTATGAAACTTGACATATGGGTAGATGGCAGTCTTGAGATTATGCATGTCTTATCTGTTCTTCCTATTTTGAAAAAATATCAGTTGCCTTGGCAACAAATAGGCTTAAAACATGGCAAATATAACAATATTTGTGATTAGTCAAAAAGAGCTGAAAATTTTTATGAAATTGCATCTTTAATTCAAGAGTTATCTCCTCTTTAAGAATTTTGCTTTTAAAATGTTATATTTTGGTAACAGGGATGTTTCAAATATTAACTTTAGAGTGTCCTTCAGTCGGTCTGTCTGTCTGTTCATAAAAACTGTTTCCTGTGATCACTTTAAAAGAACTTTTCCAACAAGTTTACTTAAAATAGAGAAAAATTGAAACATAAGTGAATGGCCAATGGCCCTTCAAAATGTTGATGGGGTTCTAACCGGTAGGGGACTTATTGATTGCTTGCAATACTATGATAATTGCTTGTTTGTTTAAGAGTAAGATTCAAATATATATTTCACTGAGCAATATATTAAGTTATCTTTAGAGAAGATATAATTTTAAGTTATATAAAATGTTAAAAGTGAAAAAGAAGTCATTATATAAACAATATACCACTGAAGTGATCTTACAGTAGAATTAGCAAAAATTATAATGTACAGTCAAACCCCGTTTATTCGAAGTGCCTGGGACTGAATATTTACTTCGAATAATCGATGGTTCGAATAATCGTAATTGGAATATTGTGATAGACGAAAACTACTCCACTTTGAGCAATCATAGCAAAACTACCTTTTACAATACACTTACTTCCTGTAATCAATTGAGAAAAATAAATATTAAATAAAAGATGCGTAAAAATTATTGTATTGACTTTGAAGACATAAATACTTGCATTTTATTCTACATTATGTATCGTTTCGTTTCGCGCGAAGCCTTGATAATGGCCGTGTTGTCACTAGTACGGTATGTACAGCTAAACTCTGGTATTTTGGATTATGATAAATTAAGGCTCTCAATGTAGCGTTACAATTAATGAAAAAAATGTTTTGGATGTTTTGACAAATTTACATGTACGGTATGTATGAAAATTATATCATTAATAGTGACAAATCGGACACTGTGCATTGCTTTTCATTTTTGGTAATTAAAGTTGATTAGAGTTATTATCATGACTGTCTAAATACACGCATGACTGTTGATATTTTTCACAAGTCGACTGGTCAGCGAGTGGATCTGCGCCAATTAGTCTGGCTACGAATAATACTTAGGCTGGCTTCCAATAATAGGTGTGAAATTCTTTCATAATTGCAAAATCGGGACCGAAATTTTACTTCGAAAAATAGGAGGTATTCGGATAATGCATTTCGAATAATATGCTCGTATTTAAATTGATTTATATAGAGATAAAAACGGGACCGCCGATCTACTTCGGATAATGCCGGGTATTCGAAAGGGTTGTCGAATAACCGGGGTCGGACTGTATATACATATAATTGTTTCAGGACATGGACTTCAGTGATACATTAGATCCATTTGATGAGACCATTAGTCTGCTTGAAAGTAATACAGCTACAATGTAAGATATTTTTCCTACCACCAAGTTGTAACCAATTAGTACTTTACTCTAAATCATTATTCCAATTTTGATTCTGAAAATTTTAAAAGGTATTCTTGTATGCAGCTATATAATAAATTTAACTGAGAAGGAAACATTAATAGATAAACTCAAAACCATATTCACATAATTGATTTTTATCTTACAGCCTATGTAATTTCATTATTATAATGACACTGCTGCACTTGCAGGTGAAAAGTATGACAAAGTGTGGTTGTTCATAAACATAAAAAAAGCTGAAGTACCTTTATTATGCAAAAATAGCGTTAATGCATCTTTTTCATGCATTAACAAGATATCTTGGACAAGTGATTTATGTCACTTTAAAATAGAGTCTTTATAATAAAGGCCACAACAAAATTTGAAGAAGACCTTAGACTTCCCAATTTTAAAATTCCACCTTCACAACTGAATAAAATGCCACTTTCATAATAAAAAGAAATCTTTGATTTATGAAACAAATAATATTAAAACAAAATTTCAAAGTATAACAATTGAGCAGTTTCACCTTTAAATATTCAAAATTGTTCCAAGCTTATAGGCAATTTGAAATCTAGGGGAAACATATTGATTGGAGAGCACTTCAAATTTGTTTTCTAGAACTATAAAAGCACACTGGTAAAGAGTAAAAGAGCCACGTCACGACAAAACCAACATAGTGCGTTTGCAACCAGCATGGATCAAGACCAGCCTGCGCATCCACGCAGTATGATCAGGATCCATGATGTTGGCTTGCAAACCCTATTACAAGTAGAGAAACTGATAGCAAACAGCATGGATCCTGACCAGACTGCGCAAATGCGCAGGCTGGTCTGGATTCATGCTGGTCGCAAACCCATTATGTTGGTTTTGTCGTGCCGCGGCTCAGATGTGTTTTAAGGTCATCAGAACTGAATACTGTTAGGGTCTTTGGTACTATATATATTTACTAACTAGAATGCTTTGTGGAAACTGTTCATTTTTTTTTCATTGCATTTTTAGTGGCAGTGTTTTTGCAGTTCTGGGATGTATATTTTTCACTATTGGAATGGTGGCTTTTGTTGGCATGATGTTGGGAATTCTATGTACAAAAAAACCTACTTCTATAATGGAGACAGGCAGAACGAAGGCTGGCAGCTGTGGAGCATGTTTATTGATGACGTATTCAATTTTCTATAATCCTACATCATTTCATAATATTTAAAGATGTTTAAAAAATAGAAGAAAAAATACTGAAAGAATAATTTGTTCCCTTTTATTAACTCAAACATTTGAAATCCATTGACATGAATGGAAATGGCAACTGTGACAGGAGATACAAAGGAGTCTTTCAAGGAACACAATTTATGAGGCACTGTAATGTTTCTTTTTTTTTAAAAATCAATTATGTCATTTGTTATTATGAAGAATGCATAAAACACTAGAAAAGTGAAGCAAAAGGCAGAATATTTTTAACAAGAAGCTGGTACAATTATTACTGGATCATGTTAAATCTTATCATCATGATGGGTGGTAGTTTAACATAGTAACAAAACTGTAAAATATTGGAACATTACAGTTGTTAAATTATTATATTGTAGATCGGTTGGGCTTGCTGTTTTTCCTCTTATTTTGAGTCTACTGTTAGGATCTACTCTCATGTTACTGGGGGGTAACTTCACCATTTTATGTGCTCCTCTTGAAGATCTCACAGTGCTCAAAAGGGTAAGAATGCTTTATAGTAACTTATTGTAATAGTGAATATATTTTTTAAACATATCTAAAGGAACAAAATTTTGAAAACAATGCACTTTTCCTGAAACAGGTTATCAACTGATCACACAAAGTCTGCCTCTAGTTTAACGTTTATAGGTTATTTTCCTCTTGTTCACAAATGATTTAAATTTAAAATCGCATTTATATATTTAAACTTTTTTACTGAATTTTTTCTCAAAAATTAAAAACAAATTTTAAAAATGGGGATTTAATGACCGAGAGACAATATGGTTGTTACACAATTAGATAATTAGTTTTATAAAGCAACTTTAAGTTTTAATTTGATTTTTAGTCTCTTATTGTACTAGAATAGAAAGTGATTATCCTTTATTGTACTAGAATAGAAAGTGATTATCCTTTATTGTACTAGAATAGAAAGTGATTATCCTTTATTGTACTAGAATAGAAAGTGATTATCCTTTATTGTACTAGAATAGAAAGTGATTATCCTTTATTGTACTAGAATAGAAAGTGATTATCCTTTATTGTACTAGAATAGAAAGTGATTATCCTTTGCAAAAAGCCGGGCAAACCTGTACATTAGTACTATTTTTATGCTCCCCGAAAAATTTCAGGGAAGCATATAGTCCCTGAGTTGTCCATCAGTCCGTATGTACATACGTCCCGAATTCGTGTCCGGCCAATAACTTTGTTATTTGAAGTCTGAGATTTCAAAACTATTTCACAGAAATGATCACCATTGAGACGACATGTCGCACACAACATTTAAGTCGCTACCTTGAAGGTCAAGGTCACAACATGACCTTGAAGCAAAATCGTGTTCGGCCCATAACTTCCTTATTTGATGTCTGATTTTACAACTATTTCACAGAAATGATCACCATATTGAGACGACGTGTCCCATGCAAGTCGGTAGACAGATCTTATTGAGTAGAAGTTCAGTACAAAGAACAGTAACTCTGCATTGCCTAAGTTTGGAATTATCACATTTTGAACTTTGTCTAGGACATAACTCTGAAACTACAAAAGATATACTTTTCTGTGTCCAAATCCTAGTCGGGGAGCATCACCCGGTTCAACCGGCTTTTGTCTATACTTGTCAAAGGGTTTTAAAATCTACATTGTTTTATAACTTAGAATCTATTTCTATAATTTATGCACTATATCTAAACTATTCAGGTCTTTTCGTCTTTTTACAGCTGGTAGACAGTGGCTTGTTGTTTGGTGGAGAGAATCTTGGGGAGAAGTTTTTCAATGATTCATCTTTAGATTTGTCTGTCACCAACCTATTCAAGTCAGCTGCTAATCACATAAATACTCTTTTTATTACATATTTATGCTCACCGAAAATTTTGGGGGAGCATATAGTAGCCGGTTGTCCGTCCGTCAGTCCGTCCGAGCAAACATTTGATATTAAAAATATGAGCTTCATTCCGTAGTTAAATAAAACACAAAAACTCATAAAATTCAAATTAAGAGCTATTTTTTGTTTTTATGAGCTAAATTTAGCTTATGCACTTACGTCCAGGTGTAGTTTATGAGCTGATTTGCCCTTTAAATATCAAAAGTTGGTACGTCCGTACGTACGTCCCAAATTCGTGTCCGGCCCATAACTTTGAAGTCAGATTTTAAAACTATTTCACAGAAATGATCACCATATTGAGATGACATGTCGCGCGCAATATTTAGGTCGCTACCTTGAAGGTCAAGGTCACAGCATGACCTTGCAGCAAAAACGTATCCATGCAGCCCATAACTTCGTTATTTGAAGTCGGATTTTACAACTATTTCACAGAAATGATGACCATATTGAGACAACATGTCGCACGCAACATTTGGGTGGCTACCTTGAAGGTCAAGGTCACATCATGACCTTGCAGCAAAGTCGGTTCGGTCTGTAACTTCGTTATTTGAAGTCAGATTTTAAAACTATTTCACAGAAATGATCACCATATTGAGACAATGTGTCGCACTTAACATTGGGGTCACTACCATGAAGGTCAAGGTCACAGCATGACCTTGCAGCAAAACCGTGTCCGGCCCATAACTTCGTAACTTGAAGTCGGGTTTAACAAATATTTCACAGAGATGATCACCATATATAATCTAAGTTTCGCATGCAACATTTGGGTCACTACCTTGAAGGTCAAGGTCACAGCGTGACCTTGCAGCAAAAGCATGTCCAGCCAATAACCTTGTTATTTGAAGTTGGATTTTACAACTTTTTTACAGAAATGATCACCATATGGAGAAAATGTGTCGCGCGCAACATTTTGGTTGTTTTTTAATTTTACACTTTGAACTTTGTCTGTGACATAACTCTGACACTTTAAGAGGTATACCTTCCTGTGTCCAAAACCTATTCAGGGAGTATCAACCGACTCTTGTTTCTTTTATTTATGGTACTGTTGTTTTACATATGAAAGTTCAAACAGCTATTTTTCATTTCTTAAATTGCTATGCATAGATATCACAATGTCTTTTGTATATTATGTAACAGTAGAAAATCTATGTGTGGGACTTTGATTAGTCATTTTTTCTCGATGTTGAATTATTTGGTTGGCATATTACTAATTGTAATATGGTACAGAAAACCCTCATACAATTTTTATTGATTAAAATTTCTGCTTTTTTTCACCTTTACATTTAGATTACCAAGAATATAAATAAATAACATCTTTTCGTTTGAACTTATCTAAGAATTTTAATACAAGGTCTTTTTCCAAGCTGGGCAGCATTCCTATCTCAAATATTACTAAAAATCCAATATGGCTAAATTAAATCCTCACTAAACTAAGAGTATACATGTGTATCATGAATTAATTATGACATTTATTTTTTAAGAAGGGATTTTTAGTTTGAAAAAATTGTTTAGGAAATGTCATGTAATTATTAAATATCACAAATGCTCATTGATGATTTCTAAGAAATTCTACATTATGTTTTCAAGGACATGTCGGAATGATGGCACATTGTATTCAGGATTGAATTTAGGAACTATTATGAACTTATCAACACTCTTTTCTGTTGATGAGGTGAGTCAGATGGTTGATTTTGAAGTGTATGAAGCTTTTAAATAGTTTTTAACACTGCCATGTTGATGTTTTGTTGCTTTAAGAACTATATACAGTTTCAATTGAAAAAAACATATATCTTTTAATGGTAAAACATTAAAGTTTAGAATCAGAATATTTCTTCATGTAAATTTAATTTCTCTGAATATTGCTTCAAGTTGTACTACTTCAGTCATTATACCAACGCAACATCATCAGAGATCAGTTGACAATTAGTGTTTTTAATAGTTGTTATTTGTTTGCTGCTTCCGTGACATTTGACATTAAAACAGCTGTCTAGAAATTCTTTAATTTATAGCAGCAAAATGTTTGTAATAACTATGTCACCTAGTAATAAAAAAATTTATGCTCCCCTTCAAAGAATTGGGGGAATATTGTTTTGCATATTTTGGTTGGTCTTTCTGTCTGAAGACCAAGCTATTTCTGATCAATTGTTTAAGAACTCCTGGGCATAGAAACTTCAAATTGATTATGGATATTGGCCATGACAAGTAAATGAAGCCTGATGGTTTTATGGGGTAACTAGGTCAAAAGTAAATGTCACATAGACCTTTTATATCAAAATGATTTCTGATCAATAACTCATCAACCCAATGGTCCTTAATTGCCCTCACACTTTACAGGTGCATTGGTATTGGCCAGTAGATGACCCCTATTGATTTTGGGGTCAAAGGACAAGTTCACATTCACCTTGTATATAAAAACAGTATCCAACCTATAACTTGTCAACCCATGAGCCCTTGGCCATCGAACTTCATAGGTTCATTAGTGTTTGCCAGTTGTTGACCTCTTTTGATTTTGGGAGCAGGCGATCAATGATCAAGGTCATATTCACCTTTTATCTTAAAACGGTTCCCACCAAATCATTGACAACCCATGGGCCTCAAACTTCACAAGTGTATTGTTCTTTCCTAGTGCATGACTTCTATTGATTTTGAGGTCAAAGGTCAAGATCACATTGACCCTGTATGTCAAAATAGTTTGAATTAGTCTTTGGCACTTCATGACCCATTTTGGGTTGAGGGGTAAAAGGTCAAGGTCACCTTGACCTAGTATGCCAAAAAGTTTTTCAACCAGTAACTCAACACCCCATTGGCCCTTAAACTGTATAGGAGCATGATTATAAGGCAGTAGATGACCCCTTTTGATTTTGTGGTTGAGTTCACATTGACCTTGTGTGCCAAAACTGTTTCTGACCAATAACTCAACCTGTTGGCCTCACCCTCTCAAACTGCATAGGTGCACTTCAATAAAACTTGTATAACATTACTTTTATTATGCCTTCCTTCAAAGAAGATTGGCTATATGGCTTTTCACAGTTGGTTGGTCCATACACCAAACCTTTTCTGATAAAGAATAAAAACAACTGGGCTTAAAGGAACTTCAACTTAGTATGGAGATTGGTTATGACCAGTAGATGAACTATATATTGTTTTGGGGTCACTAGGTTAATAGTCAAAGTTACAATGACCCGGCCACATGACTTATTGGCTGGCATTGGGAGGGCATACATTACATGTTTTACAAACATTATCTTGTTAATTTCAGAAATGTTGAACAGTAAATAACCATTAAAACTTTGTTTTGTCAGTTTGTACCAGACCTAGGTGACAGTGTAGTGATGCAGATTAATGACACTATAAAGGATATCAGTATTGTAGATGTCAGTTCTTTCAATGACCTCAAATCAAGCCTAGACCTGCCTAACATAGATAGAGATACTGCAAGAGAGGTAATTCTTCTGTCAAACTTTGACCAAGTGATGTTGATAGCTAACTTTGAATTGCTTTTCTATCATTTATATGGGTTACAAACCTGCTTAAAATAAACCTTACAATTAACATAAAAAAGCATGTAATTTAGTGATAATCAACCTTTTCATTTAAAAGGTATAAATTATTCATCAAAACCTTGTTTGTGTTTGGAAATTTTTGAGGCATTTATCTTTTTGTCTTGTTTTGTCACTCCTCAAGATTTATATTCTATAAACGGCATTACATAGCATTCAGTAATTAATACAGAATGGAAATCAACATGCAACTTCTATGGTCGATGTTTTTAACTCAATAATTATTTATTTCATTTTGTAAAACTTATGTTGTCATTTGTAGCTTATCCAGATGTCAAAGAGGTAATAGTTGTGAATATTGTCCTCATCTTTTATCATTAACTGCATCCTCTCTCCAACTAATCTGTCACTTTAATTACAGGCACATACTCTTGAATTTAAACATAATTGGTTTTTAATGAATTTCTGAATTGTTTAAAGTTCTAATTCTAAATGAAGTAAATCTGTATTTGTTGTAATTGGGTCTCATAAAGATTACTTTAAATAATTGTAATCACACCAGTAATTAATTGTTCAACTGTATTTACATACATTGTATTTGTAAGCAAACAAGTAATTTATCAACTTAAACATGAATAACTGTCATAAAATCATGCTTTTAAATCAACCTTAAAAAACATTAATAGAGTTTAATATTTCACTTTTTTTTTTAAATTGCAATACTAACACTGTTATATGAGCGTTAGGCTTTTATTCTTACAAATAATTTACTAACAGCTTGCAGACTTATATATCTTATGAACACAAAGAATAATCACAAAACCATAGTTATTTGTTATCACATTTCCTACAGTGATAATAATATGAGCCGCGTCACTACAAAACCAACATGCGTTTGCGACCAGCATGGATCCAGACCAGCCTGCACATCCGCGCAGTCTGATCAAGATCCATGCTGTTCGCTATCAGTTTCTCTACTTGTTATAGGGTTTGTAAGCGAACAGCATGGATCCTGATCAGACTGCGCGGAAGCGCAGGCTGGTCTGGATCCATGCTGGTCGCAAACCCATTATGTTGGTTTTGTCATGACGGGGCTCATTAATATTAACACATGTTGTATATGAATCATAATATAACTGGTATTACTGCTAACTTTAATCTTTGTTCTTTTTAGCTTTTAGTTATAACTCAAATTGTGGAAGTATGTCAATTTTCAAATACCTTAAATTTTTAACCAACCTAAAAATGTATGAAAATATATGCATAAAATATTAAGAGGATATTTTTTCGTTTGAGTGAAATATGGAATATATTTTCACGAAACATGATAAAATGCCACATATTTTCACGAGCCGGGACGGCGAGTGAAAATATATGGCATTTTATCATGTTGAGTGAAAATATATACCATATTTCACGAAAAACGAAAAAATAACCTTTTTATTTAATTTCATTATCAAAGAAATATGGTAATGAACCCCATTGCTTGCTACGCAACTGCAATTGTACAGCGCGCAGTAATATATTATTGTGTCTTGTTTTGCACGCGATATTTGGCGCTACATTGTGACGTCACGTAAACAACTCTTTAAACGTCTGTACAGCGTTAATAACTGAATTAAAGATATTGGTGTTCGGATTTATTTTCTTAGTTAGACCATTTTCTATCATTCTAGATAGTTTTCAAAGCAAAATTCAACAAAAAGTTGTTTTGTATTTATCAGATTTTTCAAACAAAATAGCAAAAGTAGTCCCTTAAAATAAATATGAGTTTTGACTCCGCCCACTTTCATATTTATATTTCATATTTATTTTTAAAAAATATGAAATATATTTGACTGATATAGCACCATATTTCATGGGTAAAATTAAATAAACTGTCATATTTTATAATTAATTTTTATGTTGAGATATTTAACAGAAAAATAAAGAACAATATTACAATACCTTCAGATCACGGATTTATATTACAAGGATCGGACACTTTCGTTTAGCTTAAAGTCTCGTCGCGCGCATGCGCGGAATCGCACATAGGATAAAGGTGGACAGAATGAGAGATGGCGGAACGCGCGGAGTGCGAAATATGACAGATTTTCACAAGAGTATATGGTGTTATTGCAGCTTTGTGAAAAATTATACACATATGAATGTATTGATACAGTATTATTTTGTGCAGCGAAAGTATTAATATATGAAAATATGCCGATAGAACGATGCAACGCTTAGTTAAAAAAGTACCTAATTTAAAAAATATTCGCCTATTGTTTAGGCATACTCTCTACACTTTGACGCCCGTTTACTTCAAGCACAAATAATTACCGCGATTCAGATTAAGATAATTCTTTTTTACATGGTTTAATGGGTGCATTGCAAAAAAATGTTTCTTGATTGCTTAAACACTTTTAAAGGAATTCATGTTTGAAATTTGTCTTTATTTCTGTGAATTATTTCCAAATGATTTGTACATTTTTTATTTGATTACCTGTATATTAGTATAAATATAGTAAATATTCTACTAATTAGTGTATTAAATATATTTTCAGATCATTCTAGACAAGCGTTCATATATAGATGAATTCATTAGATTGGCAAGGAAGAAACTTTTATTGGCATACAGAACAGCTGTTTTATATAAAAAAAAATGTTTTGAAGCAGATTTTTTTTTCTCATAGTTATCCTTTACAATTCACGTCAAATGATTTATTTGTCATATGTTTATTTCCATTATATTTCAAAGAAAGGGCTATACAAATTTAATTGTATATTTTCTATTTCATTTATAAATTTTAATAAAGAAAATAGATTTACATTGTATTTATATATATCCTCTTCAGAATCATTTTCTTATCACACATACCATGGACTGTAGTTAAAGACCGCGCACATACAAAATAAACATTCAAATTCCTTTTGTTTTTAAAGATGGTAATGAATGAAAGTTTGAAAATAAAGTTTTTCAATTATCACTTGTTACCTGGTAATTAACCCCCTTCAAAAGTAATTAAACTTCAAAGAAATTTAAGCGATGTGTAAAAAATAATCAAAAGTTACTTTTATTTCGCATAATACTGACTCAAACTGTAAAGATTTTTATTGTTTTTCTAGCGTTACATTAAAAAATATCAGAAATATCTTTCTACAGGCATTCAAATAAAAAGAATAATTAAAATATACGAGTGACATTAAAAAGGCCGGAATCGAGACAGCCACACGAGAGTACTTTTAAAACTGTTACGATGATTGTCTACTTCACTGCACCGACTTTTGAAAACAGATTTACAAAAAATAATAATGATATAAATGATGAATGAAATTTAAATATTCTATGAATATGGCAATATTAAAATCTCGGCAATATTTTGTACTAAAAAAATGAATAAATTTTCTTCACGTGTTGAGCGAATTGTAAAGCCCGCAATACATTATCCGTAAAACAATTGTGCGTTAATAAATTTGACTACATAACCCAATGAATTTTAAATATTGCATATTTGATCATCTGTGAATAACTAACATCGGCTTCTTCTTTATTTTGAAATTGAATTTATTTTATTACCATAATAATAAATTTCAAATACCTGCTTTTTATATAAAAAAAAATGTAAATTTACCGCGGATTTCGTCAAGTTAATTTTTTAATCGTCGTTGCGGACAGATAAACTGTACCTTTAAAAAATAAATTAGATATTTGAATTAAACAAGTATTTTTCTTTAAAATAAAATTTAAATTTCCAAAATCGGATAATAAATGGAAAAGCTATATGGTATTTTGTAAAGTAGGTATCCGTTGCGAACGGGCATTTACGCTTAGCGCCGGTAAATTATCGATCGATGTACCTTTATCGGGTGCACGACAAGATATTTAAGCATTTATATAGGGTTAACTGGGAGTGTCCGATCCCTGTAATATAAATCCGTGCTTCAGATAGAAGATGAGCTTAATGCTATAGATCTGGAGGGCAAATCTAAAGAGATGAGTGCACTTGCAGATACCATTCCAGATAAAGTAAGTTTGAAAATTTACAACAAATTATGTTTAGAAAAATTCTTATGTTAAATAATGTTCTTTTAGCTCAAGATGAGTTTTTATTGCATTTTTTAAACCCTTACCCGACTAAATATCTTACATGGACTTCTCCATATTTCAATCTAGGCAAAACCATTTGTGATTTTTAGGGAAAATTTCAAAATAAATATTGCCTGAATAGCAAGCAGCGGTAGACCATGATCAGATTGGATGAATGTGCCGGCTGATCTATGTCCTGCACTGGTCATATGTTTAGTTCAATCGCCACAAGCAGACGTAGGGATAAACTAAAGATTATACAAATTTTTTTTCTGTTTCCTGATTTAAGGTGTGTTTTCAACCTTAATGATTGTCAAAATTTGTTATATTATTATTAGTAATGCAATGGGATATTTTATGGAAGCAATATGTTGGTGCACATACATTATACTTTTCTGTAAGTTATTACTACAATGTATTTATATAATTAAGAGAAATACTGTGAGAGGATTGTAAACCTTTCTAAAGTTCAAGTCTAAAAGACATGATTTGTGAATTATAATTAAATGAGGGCCTATTATCTATGCTTGCACATTAAAAGATTAAGCTCAATGTTTCGTTATCCAGGCCTTGACATTGCTCTTTTCACATTTGATTTGATTAATAAAAATTTATTGATACACATGTACAAATTAGATAATGTACAAAAAAAAACATTCAAAACAATTACTTTGAAAAAAAAAGATTTAACAGTTTATAATCAATTTTAAAACAACGTATTTGAAAAATAATTTTAAGTAATTTTTTGTTTATATATTACTTATAAGTTCATTATTGACAAAAGAATACATGATAGTTAAAATATTTTCCAGGCATATGCAGACAAGTATAAAACATTAAGCATTGCTCTACAAGACATGCATGATGATCAAAAAGTGCCGTTGCTACAATGTGTTGTAAGGCTTAGAAAGTTTATTAAACATCTGCTTCAACATATTCAAATATAGATATAGAATTGAGTTGCAAAAAGTGTAAAAATTGGCAGAATTTATATATTAACTTATTTTTTCTTCCTTCTTTACTTTTTTTTGTATTTTTTCTGTTATACATAGAGTTATTGTAGGGTTGTTGCATTTTTTACATGTATAATCTTTTATCTGAATGATTTTTTTTTTCAAACAGCCATATTAATTCTTATTACATGTTATCTCATTAACTTTAAGTGTATATGAGCCTCGTCACGACAAAACCAACATAGTGCGTTTGTGACCAGCATGGATCCAGACCAGCCTGTGCAGTCTGATCAGGATTCATGCTGTTCGCTATCAGTTTCTCTACTTGTAATAGGGTTGGTAAGCAAACAGCCTGATCAGGATCCATCCCAAACCAAAATGCATGCCTGCAACAAGCTTGCCGCAAGCTTGCTGCAAGCTTACAGCTTGAATACAAGGTTGCTGCATGCTTGCAACAAGCTTGCGATGACTTTTGAAATATATTGCAAGTTTGTTTAAAATTCATGCAAGCTTGCGAACATTTGATGTAAGCTTGCAATGCCACAAGCTTGCAATTAGTAGACACTTAGAAAATTTTTGTACAAATCTACACTTAGAATTTTTTTGTTAAAGTAATGGAAACACTTAGAAATTTTTTGTCAAAAGTGTACACATTAAAAAAAAAGTTCCAAAAATGATAGTTTCAGTGATAATTAACTAGTTTAAACTAGATTACCACGCTGAAGATTGTCTGCCAATGAAATCGCCCCCTTTTTTGTTAAAATTTTACCAAAATATTTACCATTCAATGCTGTAACTCAACTTTATGTATTAAATTTATATGTTATTAATGAGCTGATTTAATGGACTCAACCTATTTATATAATGTACTCGATTTGAATGGGTGAGGGCTAACTGTAAATCGGTTATAGGTAATATACAGAGTTTTAAGAAACTAATTTTCTCGCCTCACTACCCGGGTGTAGATTTTCCAGGGTAAGCCCGGAAGAGAGGCTGGTAAACCCTGGAAAACTATGGAAAAGCATGGAATTCCATGGACATTCATGGAGAATGCGGTATTTTTTCCATGCTATATGGACTTTTTTTGTCCAGCCATTTCCAGCATTGCTGGAATAGGCTGGAAACTGGCTGGACATTTGTGGTAAAAGACTGGAAAACCATGGACTTTACTTCCATGTAGCATGGAAAGTGGAACTTAGATTTTTTTTGATGCTGGAAATGTGTTAAACTTTCTCTAAGTATGCTGGAAAAAACTTGTAAAAATAACAACAAGAAATCTGATTTTATTTTATGAGTATTGTTAATTTACGAAGAAAATATAAAATCATCATTTATTTTAATGCAAGTTACTGTAAATGTTTTGAAATTTGACACTTTATACATTTCATGTAGTTGGAAAAGGGTATCTCAGAAAAAATGTCTATGCAAAGAAGTAAATGAATTGATTGTTAAATACATATTATTATTTAAATAAATCTACATGAAGTTATGTACATTATGAAATAATATCCATTTAATTACATGCTTTATGTTTTACTATAAATTAATTAAAGTCTGTGATTCAATCATTCAGACACTAATCATCAAGATGGGATTGCATTGCTTGCCATTTTTAAATTCTAAGAATTCATGTTTTTGGATAACAATAAATAAACAAAACAAAAACAGTGCATGAAATAATCTCATATAATTTATATTCTATATTAAATTAATCAATACATGTATATATTGCTTTTATTTAGGAAAATAAATACTACATCCACTGAGATTTTACACTACACAGATCAGAGCCTTGATAAAATTCATTGACCAGCATTTTCCCACCATCTGTGCATGACTAATTTACTCCAAGATCAGGCTGTTCCATGTGATTATTTTTGGGGGGAGATAACATTATAAATTTCATATGCAGAATGTGTCTAGAAGGACATTGCAATCTTTTTGTACAAAAATTTGTAATGATTTTTAAAATCTATATATCTATTAGCTATTTGATATTTTCTTTTACGCTCAAAGAATGAAAGTTAAAATGATGAGTAGATTAACCCTGCTAAATTACATAATGATGGACCTGTCCAGTTTTACAGTATTTTTTACTGTTGTAAAATTTGAATTCTAAGATATCTGGGTCAGCAAAGAGAGCAAATTACAGAGGATGTATTTGATATATTAGCAGTTTTGAAGATATTAATTGTTTTGTTTAAGATTTTAAAGTGTTTAAGTATTGGTATGATAACAATCAGAATCACCTGGGACAAGGAGATATACAACAGAATCAGGTATTTATAAACCTTAAGATACATAAATGCAGAAACAAGTTATATATCAAACTATTAACATTTGTAACAAGAGATCAAGGTTGTTTTTATATTTTCAACTTCATGCATTTGTTTTTCTGATAATTCTTTTTAATCTAATCATGTATAATCTGTAAAATATAAATTATTCAATGATTTCTTTATAATGATTGTTTATATTGTTTAAATGGCATGTTAGTAGATCTTTGTCATTTCCTGCAAATTAAACAAATTAAATCAATTTGATTAAATAGGACTAAATGGTACAATCAGTAGTTTTGTACAGCTGAACAGGGTCAATCATAATCATTTGCTATTTTACATGTATGTGTTGTGTTTTCAATGGAACAATCTAAAATTACATTTTATATTATACATACGGTACATAATTTGCAGGCTGGGACATAAGTGCTGACTGTGAGAATTAGCGGCAGTGTTTAATAATGATGTGCAGTATTAATCCTGAAAAGGTATATTTTTATATCTCAATACTTTTCTATTCCACATCTTTTCTTGAAAAAATACATACTGGGTAATAAATATTGTCACAAATTTACTTAATTCTTATACAGAGAAATTCTTAAACATTTGTGCACATTGAAAAAAGATATTGACTGCATTGCTTTAGTATTTTTTGAAAATGCATAAGCATCCTAAGTTAATATTTAATAGTTAATACTGTTGAAACATTAGATTTGATGTTATTAAAAGATATGAAATATAACTGCATATATACAATAAAACATAATTCATTACCGCATCTGTGTTTAATTAATTATGAATTTTATCTTTAAAGGTGAGCACAACCATAAGAAGTTCTAGGAAACACAGGCAGAGGACTAAAAATGGACATCGATAAAAGAAATAGTAATCTAAATAATAAGAAACATTTAAAACAAATTTACGATTGAAACAGTTTCTCACTGACAGACTAAGAGCAAAATAATTGCTTAAAACAAAGTGTTGGATTCTAAAAAAACAAGAACATACCAAAACCTGCAGCTAGAAAAAAACTGTTTGTGTTATAGTGAATGTAGGGTGTTCTATTCTGTATTTGGACTAAAGGATATGTATTAAATTTTGTGAAAGAAATATGTGATCATGTTAAACTCATAAAAATTCCACCCCAAACATTCCTGTGCTGAATTCCGTCCCAGAATTTTACATTTTAAGAACATTCAGGGATGCTGGAATTAGGCTGGATTTTTTTCCATGTCATTCCATCAAGGCTGGACTATTTACCATGGTAATTGGAAGAAAACATTAGTGTAGCAAATAAAAAATTTAACATCAGCTTCTTTTTACAATTTATGATTAAATAAGTTTATCATAAGAGGTTAATACACGGCAGGAGAGGGCCGGAAGGTGATAATCGGCTTGCAAAATGAATAATGGACCCGAGGGTCATTATTCATTCAGGGCCGATTATCACCTTCCGGCCCTACGCTGACGTGTATTAATGTGTTTAATATTAATGTTTTTAATACACTTGGTAGATCTAATAGTAGCATTTAAAAAAAAAAAAAAATCAAAACAAATAGACTTTGAAGTTCATTCCTTGAAATTTTTTCTACTCTTCTACTGCAGTACAGAGATGTTTACTGTTTGTGTGTTCAAAGCAGTAGAATCAAGAAGCAAGTTTTATTTTCATTTTTTTCGGAATGAATTTGTCGTATTATTTCTTCAAATTTCAATAGTAACAAAAATGTGTTTGTACTAAATACGCTTAAGCTCTCATAATAAAAATAAAGCGATTCGTGCTGAAAACCTTAGTAACTTTCACTTTTACAGTTAACTGTTTGATGACGTAAAATATGACGTCATTGTTTCAGTTTGTGCACGTGCACATGTTCAGCGGGCTGATAACTTGTTCTCGGCCCTGGGCCGCATACTCATAATACTGTAACCCAATTTATATTCGGGAATACAAATTTTCGCGTTTTGCCCAGGTCGGACATATTCGCGAATATTAATTTCCGCGTTTTCTTGATTTCCCAAGAAAAAAAATTAGCGGATTGGAAAGACCGAGGGGGCAGTAAATCCGTTAGCCGACTATTAATCTTCAATAATTGAGGTCATTATTGGTGTCTTACATGGGGTTAACAATACGCTAGCCTTATATTGTATTGGTAAGTGAATTGTGATCACAATTCAGCAAAACATTTTCTCTATATATGTACATGTACGCATCGTTCGTCTTCATTTTATCTAGAAAAGTCTTTAAGAAATTCAATTTAAGCGTTTCATAAAAAAATACCTTCTCCAATCAGGGATCGAACCGAGAAAATTATGTTATATGAGTCCGCAATCTAACCAATTGAGCTATAGAGGCTGTTAAGATTGACGGGTAAAAATCGATACTAGTATGAAACCATCTTGTATTTCACTGTTTGTAATTATTTACATCCAATACTCTTTTGTGATACTCGATAGGTTTATACCACCTTTATCTTAACAATTCACTCAAACAATTATTTTATAGGATCCAAAAAACAATAGCCTTTTGTGATGCTCGATAGTTTTCCTACTTTTGTCAAACATTTATTTTAAAATAAGTGCGAGTACTTTGTATGCATATACTTAGTATAGAAGTGTAAATATGAATAAACTTAAAACTGACACATGCTCCGTATAGTACCCTATACGGAACGTGATTGACAATAGGCCTACTAGTATTTCATAAACTGTATTAAAATGTGGATGTTTATTTTGATTGTTATATTGACATAGAGTTCTTTTGATATTTATGAAATAGTAGTAGTTTACTTAGTTTGTGTTTTTATTGCTTTATGGCAATATTCATAACAATTCATTACTTGCTAACAGGTGCCCGTAAAATTCGAATATATCCGGTCAATCAGCTTTGCATAACCACGTCTAAAATAAAAATTTCTCTCCAATTTATTCGCGAAATCGTGCGGACTTATTCGCGCAAACAAATATTCGCGCTTCGTGGCCATCCGCGAATAAAGCGAATATAAATTGGTCGCGAATATTCGTTGGGTTACAGTAGGTCACGTGACACTCATAATCAGTTGAAATCATAGGCAATTTTGTTACTATATATAGTAACAAGTGTATTAATGGTAATTAATGCCTTTTTTTTTTTGCATGTTATATAGGATTCAGAGACTGTTCGTATATGTAGCAGCTCCCTTTCCAAATAGGGTTTACAGTTTTTGCAAGCTTGCGCAAGCTTATACATTTAGCTTATAGTTATAATGCACAAGCTTGCAACTTAGCCTGTGCAGGCATGTGGATAAACCTGCACAAGCTTGCGATTAAGCTTGTGCAAGCTTAAATATTAACTAGTTTGCAGTCAGATTTTTGTTAAATAACTGATCGCAAGCTTGCCACAAGGTTCCAATTACTAGCCAGTAGCAAGCTTGCAACATAAGCTTGCATCAAGCTTGTAATAAGCTTCCAATGTTAGCTTGCAATTTTGGTTTGGGATGCTGGTCGCAAACGCACTATGTTGGTTTTGTCGTGACGCGGCTCATATGGTTATATATCTGTTGCAAAGATTATTGTTTGAATTTTAGGAAAGAACGCATCCAGTGTGCTGGTATGAAATAAATATGATGGTAAATTGCTTAAAACATGAATGGTGCAAGCACTAAATCATTGCTAAATGGTTAAAACCTTATTTTAAAATATAGCAGAATTTTTTTTTGTTCTAAATCAGGAATAAAATAGCAGAATAATATTTTGTTTTTGGAACTTTTTATTCTGTTTAAGTACCATATGCAATAAGGTACAGATTTATAACAATGCTATTTATATTTCAGAATGATTTAACTACTATTTTGAATGGAATGGACAGCAGAAGTCAGACAATAAAGGTAATTAACATTTCTACATTCTTATATAGCCATTGGTTAGTTACTTCATTCTAAACAAATAAAATCCTATTCAAATACAGTAAAACAAGAACAAATATTTTGAAATTGCAGACTTGGTTATTATAAAAATTAAAAATGAGCCGCATCATGACAAAACCAACATAATGGGTTTGCGATCAACATGGATCCAGACCAGCCTGCGCATCCGCTCAGTCTGATCAAGATCCATACTGTTCGCTATCAGTTTCTCTACTTGTAATAGAGTTGGTACTTAGCAAACAGCATGGATCTTGATCAGACTGCACAGATGCGCAGGCTGGTCTAGATCCATGCTGGTCGCAAACACACTATGTTGGTTTTGTCCTTGCACGGCTCAAATAGTTTTAACCACCTATATAAGGTGTTATCCACCAAAATTTTAATAGATCATCTGATTAAAATAGGGAGACAGTGATTTGTTGCAAAATTGTTCACAAGTAAAAATTAAGTATAACTGTCAAGTCAAATAAAGAAAAGTATATATTCTATAACTTATATAAAAAAATATTTACCTTTTACATTTTTTTTTGTGCCAAAAACAAGTGAAATTTATGTATGATGAACAATATGAATCCATGATAAATAAAGAGAATCTCATTTAAAAGCAAGTATTGAAGTTAGATAACATTGAGAAACTTATCATAAAAAGAAGGTATTTGCTGTTCACATGTAGAGACATACATATTTATGAGTTACTTGCAAAATACGATTTCACTATAAACTATCTGTTGTCCAGATTTCAAAGGAGAGACGAGAAAAATTTAATTTTTAGAAATTAGAATTGTTTGTGTCTCGGAATATATAGATTTAATATTGATAAGTTTACTTTTTGACACTGTTCCTGTATTAATTGATCATGTATTACTTAATCGTTCCGACAGATCATCTTACATCTTTATTGGTCAATTTATTCTTAGGCAGCAATTTAATTGAAGAAAGCCATCACATTTTCACTGTTACATTGTTAAAATTTCAATTTTCTCTACCATGAAATGTCAACTACCTACATTGACTATAATAAGATAGATTTTTGTTTGGTTTTAACCAATTCATTATGTCCTGTTTGATAATTGGTTTTATTTTAAATTTCTAAGGAGTATTTTGACTTACTTTGATACATGTTTATCATTTGTTGTAAACATTTCCTCACATTTTAAAGATCTTTTTTATGTTTAAATTTTTAAAATAGATAATCTGTTTACACTTTTATTTAGTTTTCTCAATTTAAGATTTTGCCATTGTGACATTACAGAAAAAATGGCAGTGGCATCAATTGGGAAAACACATAACATTTCATATGCTATTACATTTTCTTTATAGTTAACTAAAACATGAATCATTGGCATCATTTTAACCTTGATTATTCGAAGTATAGGGAGAGCTGCTGTACACACCCGACGTCATCGTGACTTTGGAACAAGTTGATATAACTAAAACTGCTAAAGGGAATCGTTTGAAACTTCACATACTTATTTAAGAGTATAATAGGAGGTTGCTGTTCAATGCCCATAACTCTAACATTGATTTCAACAGAGTTATGGCCCTTTTTGAACTTAGAAAATTCTACATTTTGCAGGTTCTTGTTTTACTATCAACCTTCTGAAAGCTCTTGTATAAAATCTATTTTCAGGTAGTTGTAACAGAGTTGTCAAATGATTTACAAAGTCTTACAAATTATGTCCGAGACAATGCTGCAAATGTTGTTCTAGAGGTAAGTTAATATTGGTATTATCAAATATAAGTGACCCGTTTTAATTTAATTCTTTATTTGCTTTATTATTTCTTAAAAAATAGTTTGTCATTTGTTTCAATGATTTGGATGATTATTCTGCATGTAAATATGCTACATTCCAAAACTTACTTGTCATTAAATCAACACTCACTTGTAATGTAGCTCACCAACTTGCCAAAGGATGGTTCATTGTGGTGGTTTGTATAGGAAGTTTGATCATTTAAAGAATTCCCTCTTAGTCCTGGATAGAGAAGTATTGTGGGACTACAATTGACTGATACATAATGATGATAATTTGTAACTTTCTGTTCCAGGCTCTCAGTGGAGGAGGCTGTTTGGGGTTACTACTGACTGATGCATAATTTGTAACTTTCTGTTTTAGGTTCTGAATGACTTTTTAGATGGAATGAAGACAGTTCCAGAAACACTGATTGGCTCCGTCACTGATGCTGTAAGAAACTGTTTGTATGTCTACATACAAGAATAATTTTTCAAATGTTACACATCCAACATAAAGCTTTTGTGTCTCTTTAAATGAAATAAGATTTTAAATGCTATACATTGCTTAATTATAAATCATTTATGTATTATGGTATGGCTTTTGTCAGTCTTTCTGTCTGTCAATTAGCCATATTGATGTCCCCTCAATAACTTGATAACTTTAATGTTCAATATCTTCATACTTAGTTGGGATGATGGTCATGGTCAGTGGATGACCCCTATTGATTTTGAAAGATGAAGGTTGCAGTGATATTAAGTGTATAATTTTTGTGGACTCAATTACTTGAGAAGGATTAAGCCTTAGATTTGTAAATTGTAGGTTTGCCCATGCCCAGAAAATGACACATATATATATTATGAGGTCAAAGGTCAAAATTGCAAAAAGTATTAAGTCTTTGTCCCCTCAATGATTTGAGATGAAATAGGCATTATAACCTACATTTGTGATAGTTGATAGGGACACACCCGTGGTAATCAGCAAGCTTGCATAGAGAGCATAATGTTACGTGAGTATCATCAAAAGTGATGGGTTTTAATACTTGGGCCAGAAGTACAGGATAATTTGCTTGCTCATCATTTTGGTTCCCTGTCCTATTAATTTTGGAGCATGCTGGGAATCGGTACTAACTAAAATTCAAGAAGCGGCAATTCAATTTGGTTTCCTGTCTGAATATAATTATTGTTCCCATCCAAATAGACATTTGGTACACCTTGATGATTACCATCGATTCAAATACTAGGTTTTGACTGATCCAAATATAGTGAACAATATTTGATACATTACATCCAAAATTATTACCTTTTATTGCAATTTATTAATAAAATATGAAATTAATGGAAATAGACATTGGGCCAGTAGCAGCCTCTGGTAGGTTCCTGTTTCACGATATCCTTTTCCCGAATTGAAATTATTTTCCCGTAGTTTGATTCTTAGTGAATTCATGTTCTGTGACAGGTGAATTCAATTAAGATAACAAATAAAACATGAAAAGGCCATAATGTAACCTAATGTGAAAGTAGTGGTGAATCATGCATTTAAATTATAATGACATAGTTTAGTTTGACCCCTGGTAAAACTTAAATGTCATGGAGACATCAACATGAAAGCTGGCTAAAAGTCTCCAGAATTGGACAGGGTGGATTGTAACATGACCAATCGGTTGCAAATATTTCACAAAAATCTCTTCTTTCGTTATTTTTATACTAATTTTACCAGTCACGTTTTTGTCAATAAACATTATTATCAAATTCTGATTATTTCAGTTAAGTACAGATATTGGCAGATGTAAAACTTTAGCTGATGTCTATGATACAGTAATTGGCTCGATTTGTACCCATTTTCTAGACTCTTTTGTAAGTAAACTGTTCTTTTATATGTTTTACTTTAAACTCATTCATAAACCATGGTAAACATAACAAATTATGAATCGTTTGATCATTTGCCTTATTAGAAATTAAATTGCTTTTGCCTATTAGATAAGTACTGACAGTCACTACGACAGTCTGATGAAATTAGTTTGCTTCATTTAATGAAAATTAAATACTAAAGTGCTTCTGCTTTTATTATAGTATGATTTTAGAAGATCAAAACTTAAGTTGATATTGGTAACTCGGTCTACCTTTTACCGACATTGAAAGTTTATATAATTATTATACTGTTACATAATTTATAAATTTATTAAAATAAATGACATATAATATTTTCAGAATGTTTTGTGGGCTTCATTCTATACCAGTGGATGGTTGATTATCGTTCTGATGATTTCAAGCTGTACTCTCTCCAAGTATTTCAGGTATCCTCATGGTATATAAACATATTGTTGAAACTAACCTAAGCACCTATGAGCATACTCCCAGAGATATAAACTGATGTTATACTTTTAGACTTAAAGAGAATTGAAGAATGCATGCACAGGCATGCTCAGACAAGTTGAGATACTCTCCAGCCTCTTATGAATCAGTATATTATTCATCCCCTGTATTCCAGTACACTTGCATGCATGCCAGAAATGTACTCAGTGTATAAAAACTACATTCTTGTTTCGAATGAAACATTCATATAAATAAACACCAAAAATCAGACTTTATTATTATATGCTACACATAGAATTAAAAAAAAAGAGTAAATATCTTAAGTTTGTTTCACATGGCCTAAACATCAGTAAATTTTAAACTAAATCAAATGTAATTTTGTGTAGAAGTTAAAACACTGACTTAATTGGAAGAAATAATTATGTGAACTATTATGTTAAATGGCTTCATTTACATTTGTTATCAACATAAAAGGAAACACTGGATTGAAACATGAGATCGATCGTCGAAGTTACATATACACGTGTACAGTTTTCTTTAAAGATATGAAAACAACAGTTAATTGTTACTATACATTCCCTACAGATTCAAAATACTTATTTATGTAATCACCCAGTATACTCAGTACAGTCAACTTCGCTATAAGTATGTTGACAGTATGATGAAAAGTTTTGAATATCTTAGATAATTAGATATGATTATGATCTTTACATTATTGTATCTATTTATCCAAAATAGTCCCTGAGTATTTAAAATTCATGATATTGAATGTGTATATTTCTACATTTAAAGTGTCTAATTTTGTCATTTTGTAGAATACCGTGTGATATTGTTTATGCAGATCAGCTACAGGATACAACATATAATGGACATCCTTCACCAAACAGTGCTAAAGTTGACCTTATTCACTACAAGAAACTTGCTGATGGTAAAAATACTCATGGTGAAAATGCTGATGGTGAAAATGCTGATGGTAAAAATGCTCATCCTTCACCAAACAGTGCTAAAGTTGACCTTATTCACTACAAGAAACTTGCTGATGGTAAAAATGCTGATGGTAAAAATGCTGATGGTGAAAATGCTGATGGTAAAAATGCTGATGGTAAAAATGCTGGTGAAAATGCTGATGGTAAAAATGCTGATGGTAAAAATGCTGATGGTACAAATGTTGATGGTGAAAATGCTGATGGTACAAATGTTGATGGTGAAAATGCTGATGGTAAAAATGCAAGCAACAAGTCCAACAATGCTTCCAAAAGAAATTACCAGAGACTTCACCAGAAATGGAGACACCGAAGGCGTCTTACTACTGGTCCCTTTACTGCCCAGTTTTTTGCAGAAAAAATGCAGGGCAAATCATCAGCAGAGACGATCTTTATAACAGACTCAAAACAAGGTATAAATGATAACAAACCTATGTGCACAGTTGTAGAACTTGATGATTCATCCAAAGACAGTGCTTGGTGTAGTCAGAGTTTATCGTCATTTGAAGGAACATCTGGCCAGGATGTGATCAACTCTCAGGATATAGACCAGAAGCTAAGTGATCCTCATAATAAAGTAGACAGTACATGGGTAGATATAGAAGAATCAAATGACTTAAATATCGCAGATAAATCCCCAATCGACTGTACAAAATTTGATGATCGGGTAAAAGATGATTGGCAATTTACGCCTGAAATAAAAGATTTTCCTTACTTTCAACTTCACGATGACGAATTTATCTTACTACCTTTGACTCGGATGTTAGCAGAAAGTGAAGAAAATATTAATGAAAAGAAAACGATTGTTAATAATAATATTCAAAACAATAAAGATTTAGTTACTTCTGAAGAAATAGGCTGTACAGATAACGAGGAGAAAGAAATGAGTAAGTGGTTAAACACTTATATAATACAATCAAATTCTGAACAGATTGCCTCCTCACCTCTTGTCAAATATAGTTCTGATAATGAAATGCATTTTAAACAAAGCTTAAAAGTAAACAAGAACCACTATGAAAATACAGTAGTAGGGAATACATCATCGTGTCAAGTTAAAGAATCTAATGATGACAAGAATGTAGATGTTGAAATGAATGGCTCTAAATGGTATGTGGATACTAGTAAACCTTTATCGCAAAACAAAGACAGAGAAAACATTGATGAGACAGAACATCCTGTTCAAGAGGTGGTATGTGCTCTGTGCAAATCTGTTGGTATTAAAAACAGAAAAAGGAGATACTCCGGAATGATGGAAATAACTTCAATTAGTTCAAACACAATAGAAAAAGCAGAAAATGACAAAGCAATGAAAACTGTCAACATAGCCAAAGATGATTCAAGCAAAACAAATGACAATTTTGTTTCTAATTTTTGGACAGCAGATCAAATTAAACAGTTAAATAAATCATTTGAAAACAGTTTTCAGGCTTTTGATGACACACTTGGAAATATGTCAGGCGAAGTTGTAAATGACCAAAAGAAAAGATTGGTGAATTCTGTGAGTAGACCTGTGAATGTTATGACCAAACATACCAGTCATCAGAAAATAGATGTTAATGTCAGACCATACAAACCAGTGAAAACAACATTGTCCCCTCAAGCAGCATTCAACTTTTGGAAGTATATTGAAGCAAACTGCTCCTGTCCTTCCGAAATTCCTGATAGCTTATCTCAAAGAAAACAACATCATTCTTCTAGCCTGCATACATTTATTGATAAAGAGACAAACGTAAAATGTTATGCTGAAAATGTTGAATTGTTGACTGGAGGTTATCACAATGAACAAAATAAAAAACTTTACCAAGACGGACCAGACTCTCTTGTGAATTTGGCTATAAATGCAAGTAGGTTAGCATATATTCCAGAACATTTAAATACCATGGAAAGACAGAGAAAGGAACAGAAAACATATACACGTAAAGATGGACAGAAGCAGGAACTTCGATGTGAAGTGGCATCGACTAGAAAAGACAATATCAAGGTTTCATACCTTTAGAAATACATGTAATACTCTAATTGTAAGCAAGGCGATAGGTATGTTCTTAATATATAAAAGCATTTCGCCTTTAAATGTCTAGCTAAATTGTGATTTTGATTATAAATTAAAAGTAATCTAGTGAAAAAGTAGTAGCAATATTATTATTTTTATTGTTAACTTATTTTCATTTGTTGTTTTGAGTGCACTATTGTTTAAGATTTTCTTTATTATGGAAATGTTATGAAAATTGTTCATTGCCATGAATTACGATCGTTTTTATTACAAATTTCATCTTTGTTAAAATAAATTGTTTAATTGAAATAAAAATTCAAATACAACTTTCTGTTTTATTAGCTCATCTGACACAAACCAAAGCATGTTTTCCGTGGTACATCTGTTCACATTTTCGTTTACATGATATCTCTTCAAACACGAATTAACCAGTGTTGACGAAACTTGTCAAATATGCTGAAATAAAGCTTTATAAATTCATTTTTAAGTCGAAGCTTATTTACCAAAGAAATGAAACGTCAAAACCTTTAACCTTCCCAAGAAAACAATGTCCAAGGCTAGGTAGATACCCAGAGTCAAAATTACCCAAGCCATCAATGTTACTTGAAACTAAGGATCGCAATGATTATTGAATATTAATGTGACTTTTCAAAGTTGGTCCATTTATAAAGTTCGTGATCAAAATAAACTACACACATAAATGTATGTGAAAGTTATAGCCTTTAATTTGCGCTTTTCATAATTATGTAAAGGGGTCACTAAGCTCAGAAGAGTCTATAATAATTAGATTTTAAAAAGTGTTTTATTTAATTTGTTTCCACATTTTGCTTTGTGATCATTAGTAAAATGAAGGTGAATTAAAGACAAAATACGTTTAACTACTTTTATGACAAATTATAGCAAATTTAATGCTCCTGCTGCAGTTAAAATAAATACAGGTTTGCCTTTTCTTCAGAGGAAAAAAAGAGTCCATTTCTGAGTTAATTTAATAGAGCATTTGAGCAAGTATTATATGTGTCTTATCAGGTTTTTCTTTATTTTCACAGGCCAGTAAACTGCACAATGTTTCGTTTGAAAACGCAATAAAAATTTTCTTTTATGACGCCACCGAGCACTCTATGTATTATCATTGACAACAAACTGGAAGTGAACCCAAAATACTTTGTCACTGTCCGGTTATGTGCACAATTACCAAACTTTTTACTGATTTCCAAAAATATATCATTCCGATCATATTCAATCTGTTGTGAATAGTAATTGACGGTTACTACATACCGTTAGTGAAAGAGAAAAAAATGAGGTAATGGTTTTAAAAAATGTAAAGAAAATAAAACAAAAAGTAAATTATAATAAAGTATGAATGTTTGATTTATTTAAAAACCAACGGAAAAATAATAAAGTCTTTTATTTAAAGAGGCTGCAAATCCTAACTACACCTAAAATGTACATATATATTTACAACCATACAGTTATTAATGACATGAAATGTTATTCGCAAACATATGCACATTTTGATAGTGAAAATTGCTGATACAATTAAGTGTTTGAAGTTTCTCTATAAGAATGAAATGATCTAGGCTGAATGCATTTGAAAGGTCAAGAAACAGATTTCAAGAATTCTACTATTGAAAGTAAAGTAGTTTCACAGGAAGGAACCACTTGCCTCTCACCGCTGTGGGTTCGAATCCCGACATGGACTTTGCATGGGTTCTTTCATGTGAGGAGGCTATCCAGCTAGCTTAAGGAACGTCGATGGTTCTACTCAGGATCCCATTCGTGCCTGAAATAATGCACGGAATGGCACCTGATGTCTTCCTCCACCAGTAAAGCTGGAACGTCGCCATATGGACCTATAGAGTGCCGGTGTGACGTAAAACCCAATTCAACAAACAAAAAGTGTCGCAGGAGTGATCTTTCCTAAAGCCAGACTGGTGGTTATAGATTAAGTTGTTTGATTCTAAAAACTCTGTGAGGTTGTCGGAGACATGGCGTTCAATGATTTCCTTTAGTATTGCAAGGATCGAGATGGATCTGTAGTTGCTTCTGACACTTTTAGAAGCTTTTTTTTTTTAAAATAGCTACTACCTTTGGAATTTTAAATTGGTTTAGAAATATATCATTGGAAATGTTCGACTTACATGGAGATACGAGTACATATCATATTTTCTCTAGTAGAAAAATAAAACACAAACAAGTTTTAGATAACAGCTTTTATCCATAGTTTTAGACAAATCTATACGAAACAAAAATTCAAGTTTAGCTTTCTTGAGAAAAATGGAACAAAAAAATAATTATTATTTAAATATATACAAAAACAAGTACAAACAAGAGCTGTCAGTAAGAAAAACATGCTTCACTATTTTTAATACCCGATAGTAAACAAAATATATGGCATAGTTATGACCAAAAAATGTTAAGTTCACAAAGGGTAATATTTTGCCAAGAGATTTGGGCCTTGGTCAGTGACTTCCGGTTAGGATCCCGGATACTTGTCTTAAGTTTCAAGTGAACACCTCCAGTTGTTTTGAAGGTGGATGTTGCTTGTTTAAAAGAGGTATTTTGATTTTCTGGCCATATCTCGTCTTTTAGTTTATAAGAGTAGATGTAACATTATGGGCATACTTATTTGTGCATTTATCACACAACAAGGGAAAACAGTGGTCGTTATGAAAGAGATAGCGTTTAGATTTCTTAACCATTAAACTATGCATAATTTTTATGCCCACTCAAAAGTCCTTAGGGGTGTCACTGATTCCAATGTGTTTTAATGAGCATATAAGAGCTAAATTGTGAGAAACGGGTAAATTCATCACATGATCTTTTAACTGTTAAACAGATAAGTGTTATAATATTCAAGTTTCTTTTTTGTCCATTTCCATCACGTTATTTTCCGCTGCAACTTTTCTTACTAATTTTTCCCCTTTTTCATCTGTCTCGAAATAGTCATTTTCAACTTTGGGGTAACAGCAAGAACATTTTACTTCCTTGTCAAATGTTGGAGATATTGGTATATATGAACAACATTTTACTCGTTCAATAAATTTTGTTACATACGGGTATTTGTAAATATCCACGGAATGGTTTGGGTTCTCGGAATTGTCTTTTAATATCGCACGCCATGAAAGAAGTCCTCTTTCCTTGTCTGTGCCTAGCAATTTATTTTTATAAATATGGTTAAAAGTGTTTAAAGACAATAACAAAGATTAAAATAAAGCTTGTATCTTAACATGTACCAGTCTTTATTAAATTATGGTTAAAAATAAAATATTTGTATTGCTTCAATTATATTGTAGATTTGTGTGATCGCGCTGTTTTACATCATTTACTCTTCGATCATTCTTAAAAAAACCCAAATTGAACGTATTACAATGTAATAGTTTCTTTATTCAACGATAAAGGGTTAATTTCTTACAATTATTCTAAATAATGAATAGGATCAATGACATAGATTTTTACAAAGCGGCAAATTCGTTGTACATATTACCTGGTATTGTATTGTCTAATATGCAGCCAATAAATCCTCCGAGGAACATTGAAGTCCCGAACAAAAGCTGTACAATCTGGTCTAAATCAGAATATCCTGTGAAAAAAAACCCAAATATTTAAATCTTTATATCAAAGTTCCTTCCCTTTTTAACCTAGCAGACATTATCAAAAGAAATTAATCATTCAACGCATTCACTTATCATGGCATCACAAGTGATACCGCTGGCATCGAATGCATAAGTAAAATGAAATGTTCGCTTTACATACAGTAACTGAATAAAATAAAAAGGTTCTTGTGCATACTTTAGCAAAATTAAGATATTTTTCATTAAAAAAAGGTGCGACTTGCAAAATAAATGATCAAATCCGAGAAACAATAAGTTTATTAGTACTGTAGTATGCTATCACCGCCAATTAAAATGAATTTAAACTGCCCTCCACCGATTCCATCCAAAACTATTTATTAAATGTGGCAGTAGTATACTGGTAAATGATACGTTGTTCGGTATATTGCCCATAAGAGTTTAAAATACAGAAAGATGTCTTTTTTATAAGAATACAGGAAAACGACTTCAAAGTTTCTCTTTATTGACTTATATTTGAGATATTTTTTTTATAATAAGATTACCCGTTTTAAACTTAGCCGCCATTTCTGTGTCTTTAAAAACTTCTGGCATCATTAAAGCTACAATAAGCGATGTCCCCAATACTGTCAAATTTCTTGTGGAGTCTAACTCGATAAATTGTAATGTTGATAAGCCTGAGCCCATTATCATACCACACAATACTGTCAATACTCCCCCAACAACGGGATCCGGTATAATTGTAAGTACAGCCCCAAATTTCCCAACCACACCACTGACCAGAAGTATGATGCCCGCCGTTAAAAACACTGCTCGGCTTGCAACCTTGTAATAGAAGTTCAAAACGCGAGAAAAAGCGTTTAGAAAATTACATGCATGATTGAAAATAAAAGAATCATATATATAAATAATATTCACAACACACAATCATGATAACTGCTTCTTTTTGTTTGTTTGTTTTTGTGGGTTTTTTTTTCTTTTAATAAAACAATGAATTATTTCAGTTTACTTAAAACATGGTATACTCGAATAATCTTATCTGCAAATTTAAGAAATGAAGACATTTTAGAAACAAAAAGTATCTTTAAAAAGATACGCGGCCGAAGTCAAACGTGTTAACTTGCATAGGATAAGCTACTACTAACCATGCTCACCGCAAACAGAACATTTTATTCGTCCTCAATAGTTTGATTTCAGTTCATTTTTACCCGCAAAGTTTTTCCCCATTAATTGTCATCTTAGATTTAAACAATATTACTTACATTATTTGATTTTAATCAAAATGGAATTTGATTTGAATAGGAATTTATAATAAAACAAAGATTTAGTAGACTGTACACTAATTCCACGGAGAATTTTGCAACTGTAAATTAGTCGAACGTTCGTTTCAATCGTCTTCAAGAAGATCTCGAGAATATAATGACTAGAACAGCTTAGAAGAGAAACCCAGTCGAATGCAAAAGTATCGAAAAGGCGATCTGTGATATTTAATTTCATATATTTATTGAAAAGCTGTTAGAAACATCTAAAAAATATCATTATTGTGTTTTTATATTTATTCTGACATATCTTTTTCCAACACTTCTTGCCATCGCGCAATCGAACAGACCTCTACCTACAACGGAAGCTCTTCTAAAGTATCAATTGAACAGGCTATTAGTGTTAAAATGACAATGAAAATTCTGCCTATATTCATTTCTTTACTGTTAATTTTAGCGGAAGTCAAGGTCAAATCAGACGGCCTTTGGCCGAAAAATAAGATGAAAGCAATAGCGTGCTCACCCTCGTGATTCCAATTGCACCTATGTTTTGACTGTAAGAAGTAGTACCATGTCCAGCACCAACCATACCAGATATAATACTGGCAAAACCCTCCATAGCTATTCCGCGGTTAACGGCATGCGGGGGAGGGGGAGGAACTCCCGACATCCGGGCTGCTGCATGATAATCGCAAACTGATTCGAGAACCGAAACCAAAGTCACGATCAGAAACCCGACAAAACCAACAGAACTTACAGTCGGTATACCAAACTGGACTGTAAATAGAATATACCGGTATTTGTACAACTGCTTCTCATAAAAAACTAGTCCATAAACGTGATCAATTTGAATCATTGTGAACCGCCCGATGCATTCTCTATTTGCCATCAGGATACAAAATTAACGTTGAACAGACAAAAGAACGCCAGAAATTATTGGAAAAGCATTTAGTCTTTGAACGTAGCTATGTCGAGAGAAATGGTGTCTTTACATGCTTGTGCTTTTCTACTTACATTTTTTGAATTAATTTGGAGGATCTTTTAAGTTTAAATGTTTTTACATATTATAAATTACAGGGATATGGCCAATATAACCAGGGTGCATTAAACACAGCATCAAGTTTGGCGTCTGTCCGAACCACGTAATTAACGTCCGTAATATTGTCTGCAAACACATCCGAGACAGTCAGTGTATAGCAGAAGAACCATCCAACTCCTATACTTAGTAATACCTGAAATACGGAACATGTGATTAAATATTTGACGTAATATTTCCCACTTATATCTGTCATTTGTACTAATGCTATTCATATACTTTACATGCAATTATTTTATTCCTCACTTCTTTAATTACTTTACTCTTAAAAAATTAGTAAATATGTAAACACTTGCCTCTAGCATTGTGTTCATGAAATTCTAAAATAGGAGATCCCTCGAGAATAATCAAAGTTTAAAATTCAAAATTGCAAACTCTGTTTGTCCGAGTCTGAGTGAAGTCAAGGGCAACATTGTTTAAAGGAATGCATGCTAAGCATGAAACATTTGTTATTAAGTGATAACAGCTAGACATAATTATCGTATAATAATTTGCTATAAGTATGTGCGCTATTGAGATTTACCGAAAATAACTGAAATATTGGGAATTTCACTATATGACAATGGCGATCCATTGACCATCCTGGAATTGGTGGATTAAAGTTGGCAAGGTATCCACTGAACAATAGTGTCAAACCCATGGACCTGCAAAGAGTAGGGTAATTCAGAAAAAAGGTTCAAGATGTTTTATTATTGTTAAATTAATAATCATATGACATTTAACATTTTATTTAGAGTAACACAAACTTAAGAATAGATATCAGGGGCAAGCCTTTATTTCCTTGGACAAGACACACATTGCTAAGTTCTGGTTGGCTCAAGGAATGAATTAGAGTGTGCGTTTACACGCTTATAGTTTCTTACACAATAGAAATAAACGGAATTTTGTATAAACTAAACATTGTAGATCTATATTATAATTTAAGTCAGTAATTTAAGTAACATGGTTATGAAATTAAAACTGATACGATATTCACTTACAAAAATGCCACGCCCCAGTGTTTGCTGTTCAGTTGTATCAGAACACCAATAAGCATTGGACCAATGAGGGTGATTGTTGGAGCTATTGTGAGTGGACCCACAAATTTCAGTAAAATGCCAATTATACCCGTACACCCCAGTATAACTTGAGTGATAGAAGCGACGATAAGATTACCTTGGATCTGTAAAAGGATATTGATATTAACACGGCCATAATATGCCTACATCTAAATGACACAAAAAAATGAATAAAGCAAATTCAAAACATGTTCTTGCGTTTTTCATTATTGTACCTGTTAATTAATTTATACATCACATGTGTCCAAAACAATACTTCAATGAGTTAAAAAAATCTTCGGATGGAACCGGTGATGGGCAGTTAAAAGCAGGTTTACCCTTTTATTTTCCTGGCAACGAACGCATAAAACACTACATTATAAGACATATCGTTTGTTGTTGGGGTTTTTTTTTTGGAAAGAATTTTATGGCAATTTCACGAAGATATAAAAATGTGATGAACATACAATTATATAGCTGACTGTTGATATTTTTTATGAAATAATGGAGCAAAATTAGAGGATATAGAAAAGGACCATTTTAATTTTAAAAGGCATTATATATACTCCTAAATAATTGAAATGGTTTGATAATCATATATATGACATTTATTGTATCGTTATTATCACTTATGTTTGATAAAATCAAATATATCAAAATAGAATCAGATACAAAATGTACAATATCAATGCAATTGACATTATTTGGTGGTGGATTAAATTTATGAAAATAGAATGAATGAACTGTCTGAACAAGTGATAATTTTATCTTCTTGAGCGATTTAAAGGGTTGTGTTTTAAAGTCCTGTAAGAGATTCCGGCGATACTGAAATGCCTTTGTCTTCCGTGTAATTCAGGACTGACATGCTAGCACAATCTGATCAGACCTCGATTCCTTTGATTTTAAAATCTAGAATTCTAACATCGGAATAGTAAAACTAACAATAAATAGTTCCAAATATTTGTTATTAGCTATTTATGACGTTTACTTCTCTCATCCGGAGTTGCCAAACTTCATCTTTGTCTCCAGCGATTGTGCTGTTCTGCAGATGGCTGTCTTCTACAAGACAAACAGGACATGTTTGTATATCAAAAAGAATAATTCATTTTGAACGTTAAGAAAATAGAATAAATCCATGGCTTTCTTTAACGATTAACATGGTTATTTTTGTTTTTAGTTTTCGCCTTTTCACCTTTATGACCAATTATAAAAAATATAGGAACAAGTGTATACCTGAGTTGGGACATTTCCATTTGTCAGAAGACATCATAGCAACGATTGGCAAAATGTATAAATTTGAACCTCCTTGCACAATACCTAGTCTAAAATAAATGAACAATATCAGCATCAAATAGGACGTTAACATGATATTTAAATAATTAAACATAGTTGAGGACAATGTAATACATGTATAAATTGTACGGCTGAAATCTTAATGCACGATATTTGCTTACAAAAAAATTCGTGTGTCACAGGCCTAAGCCTAACCTTATTTCCAAAATGTTTTCTCAAATGACGTAAACATAAGTTGTTCCAGGCTGCGGACTTTAAAACGATTAATATTAATGTTGAAGAATCTACATCATAAGCGCGCATTGATTATAATTATTAATCACAGCATGCTACTATATTTCCTTAATTTACTTGATTTATAATGTTGGATAATTGGATATATCGTTAAATATATAAGGAAATCTTAATGACTAAATTTCAACTTTTCATTTAATCAGCAGAAATAATTGCAAATTGACTTTTTTTATCAAATATGTTTGATACGATCAGAATTCGTCGATACGCCGGTTTAACGGCACATTCTTTTTGTCACATTTTGATAGTGGGCCCACCTAAGTCCTTACAAGATTTTCTGGATAACGAACCTGTAGTTATATTTTCCTCCGCAAGTGACTGACTACTTATAAACCAAACATAAATGCAAATTGCAATAAAACGTTCATTGCGAACCAGACTTTCTCTGGAATTAAGAAATATTTTGAGTTTTCCCAGAATATTCGAAGTAACAAACAAGCTTTTACAGTTACATTTTCGAAAATAAGCGCAAATAGGTTGACAATTCTATTGCGACCCGTAAAGCACTGTGAAACTTTAACTGTAAAAGTTTTTTTGTACCTGGGATTATATTGGATAACGCGACATTTGCCGAGTTCCGGATAACATCTTTTAAAAAGAACCCAAATAATACCTGATACCAAATAAAGTCTGAAGAATTGTTGCTATACCGCACATGAATAGAGTTATACTCATCAGCTGGGCTGTGACGTCATAGTTCCCTTCGGCACAAATATATCCTGGTATAAGGTAGGGCATAGATAAAGTCCCTCCAATGCACATTATAGCTTGCTGAAGTTTTTACAAAAATAACACTAAAACCATTTGACACTTAGTGGTTTGATGCACAATGTAATATAACTAATAGATGTATACCATCAAAATTGTGAAATAAACTATACAAATGGTTAAATAGTTAAAGTTAAAGCAAATTATAATATCGCATATCAAAGTGAATTGGTCCATAATGTAAGGTCTGTAAAACCATAAAATAATAATAGTACGAGTATATACCAAAACAAACCACGGATAAAATACACATGGATGTTGTTGGTGTGAGATATATAGATACATGATCTGATGTTACATATCTTTGGCAAAGAAATATTTTAGAACATTGTATAATTATTTTTTTCATATCGGGATTTCTTTGCATTTCATAAATATATGTCTGATTTATCAAATTAATCATCATCAACAACAACAACAAAATCTCTGTTAACTAACAAAAGATAACTCCTTGCATCGATTCAAACTGCAAAAAAAACCCACCGTAGCCGAAAAGGAAAAACCAAATGGAGGGAAGGTACTCTTCCACACCCAAAAAAAAACATATTTTTTTTTCCCCAACTTCAAATCAAAATTCCGGCCCGTGCTTTGGGTTGTTTTTCAAATCCATTTTTATTATAAAAAATCGCAATTTTTTTAAAATTCCCTTTCATAAGTTATTGATTTCATTTTTTTTGGTTTGTTTAAATCTTTTTTATCTCTTTTCTTTCGTTTATTTTTAAAAACTTTTTAAGAGCGTGAGAAATGAAAGCAACATCACGTTTACCTTTTTTCCCCATCGAGGCCCCTTTTAAATATTTAAATTTTTTAGATTTTTTTTTTATATCACCAGACCGCTTTTTTTTAATGTGGCCAACAAATGTTAATGTTTATTTGCTGGTTGTTTTTACCCAGGTTACCACATGTGCATAATCATATTTCTGACCCAAAAGTCTCGAAGATGTTCTTATTGGCATTGCTTGAAATGCCCTTTGTTGACGTTAGTTCTTTCTTTTTTATATTTTGGACACTAGATATATTCGTACTGTAGCCTATCGGGGGCATAATACAGTGTGCTAAAACTTGACTAACCATATTCTAAAGATTTGATGTGTAACATATATTAACCTGATGCGTTTAGATTTTAGTCAAACTGCCATGTATATACATGTGGGTATACCAAACCACATCTTAGAAATTTCCATTTTGATATCAGCTGTATTTAAGCTGTATGATAGAATCATTATTTACAATTCACATATGCTAAATAGGCGTAAGTACTACTTGCTTGACTGCATATGTCCCAAGTCAAGCTGAAATGAAGTAAGAATCGCATCTATTGTGTAAATTTACATCTGCTGCTTGATGAAAATGGAAAACAGATGATAGGTAAAATCTAATTAATTAGTTCAAGTGGTAGTAGACAGGTTGGATGGCAAAAAGGGAGGGGTATTCCAGGTTGGATGGCAAAAAGGGAGGGGTATTCTATCTAATGATAATGAGATGATAATGATAAAAATAGTAATAATAACAACACTTGAATAGAATAAAATGATTCAAGACATTTCATTGTCTGCTTTTATGGTCTTTCGGAAGACATGGATTTTAATGTTTTGTGCACGTTGATTATGACTAGATTTGTTATAGCATTATATTTTCTACTATATAATTAATCCTAGATGTTTTCTTGACATCTTGATGCTTGCAAAGCAATAATATTTTTCTGCCTACAAAATGATTGCTTTGCAAGAAGTACTAATGCTTATTTAGCATAATGTAATTATGATCCGTGATGTGAATTGCAAATGATGATTAAAAGTTATGTTGAATAATCCAGTTATACGAATTCAGCCTCATAACTCAAAATGTTCAATATACATAGTCACGAAACAAAGGTCATATTTCAGACTCGATGAAGGTATAAAAAGTAGTTGTACTCCTTTTAACTTACAAATTTTAATAGTACCATTTAATAGCGCTTCCCTATACCCTGGTGATATTTTTAATTTAGAAAAAAAACATTTTGATCAGATGATATTTCAAATCTATCATAAAGTACTTCAAATGAATAAAACGAATTCTTAAAAGTTTACTACATCATTTTTGGATCTTCTTACAGTCCATGACAATACTATTTACATGGAAATCTATGATTAAAGACATGACTTTAATTTTGGTATATTTAATTATCGACAGAGAGGTACATGTACCACATGCAACAACTCACTGTGTATCTCAGTTTATAGATGCGCAATGGCTTGTAGTTATGATTTTGTTTCAAAGTTCAATAGCGATTCGAAAACTCTTTTGCTTCTACTGATAAGTGAGTTCTATGGAAATTGTGATCTACAAACTCCGTAAGATCTTAGGTCATGGTCATTGCTCTGTTGCATTTTT